TTCAAGATTTTTTCTCAGTTTTGCATTCAAATATTAAGTACTAAACAAAAAACAAGAATTATTATTGTTGATAAATTTCTGTACAAAATGAAGACAACAAATGCTTCGATCAGTATATTCTGGTGTATCTTAATTGAAAAATCAAAGATTGGCAAAACTCGGAATATTGTTTAAACCAAAATGATAAATTTCTGGAATCTTGACTGTGTTTTTTGGTAATGACAAAATAATAGATATGTTTAGGATTTATACGGATGATAGTATTGTAATTTATAGAAGCTTGAGGTAAAACTACTTACAATGTTTAGAATCTCAATTTTTTATATTTACAATACAGCTAGAATACAGAATTTAGAGAATTTGACCGACAGCCAGATAGTAATAGTAATGGACTGGGCAATGAAGTTTTTGCCCTCCTATTTCAGAGAAAAACAGTCCGATTTCTATGGACAAAAAGGCTTCAGCTGGCATGTGTCTGTGTGTATTTTTAAAGGGGCTGACGGTACATTAAAAGTAAGTCAACCCCTAAAAATTTTATAGCATTAATTCTTTTAAATTTCAATTCACATGAGTTATTACAGACTGACCATAGAGCTTAACGTTTCATTTTAATTTCCATTTTTTATTACAGCATGAAACTTTTGCTCACCTTTTCCAGTCTGTTAAACAAGATTGGTTTGCTGTTGCTTCCGTACTGGAACACACTTTGGAAAAGATACATTTGAGAATGCCAAATATTACAGAAGCATATTTACGGTCAGATAATGCTGCCTGTTATCATTGTGGGCATATGTGGCAGGCCATTGAGGGAATCAGTAATCGCACAGGTAAATTTATTACACTGTCAAAATTTCTGGACTTTCCATCACATGCATTAATCTTTGTAAAATTGATTTTATTAGCATCCCCAAGATAGAAATATTTTTGTATTGATTTTGTCTAGTTAAAGTATTATAATCCAAACTGCTTAGCTTTATACTCACAACACAATGATTGCCTAAGTCTTGTTGTGCTATGCAATTTTTCAATCTATTTTTATGCCAGAAAATACTGTCAATTTAAACTTTTACTTACATAAAGTATATAGTATATGGATCAATTGTGAATTTTATTTTGATCATATGATTGATATAAGGATTATGGTATCTTTTATAATATTTGAAGCATGCTGTAAAAAATTATATTCCTTACTGATATCCCCATGGGAGCATCATCAGCATCCTACTACAAAATGCCAACATAGGTAATCTTTTCTGTATCATCATTTTTTTTTTTTTTTTTTTGCTTGTAGGAATATTCATTTCCAGGTATGATTATAGTGAGGCACAGTCAGGAAAGTCGTACTGTGATGCCAAAATTGCTCACATGCGTTGCAAAATGAGGATGTTTGTTGCCTCTGGAAATGATATTGAAACACCTATGCATATGAAACAAGCTATACTTAGTGGAAAAGGTGTTGTAGGGTGTAATGCAGCAGTAGTAGAAATTAATACCATCAACCAGCAAATTTTCTCGCACAAATGGAAAGGAGTCCAAGCCATCTCGAATCTAAAATTTAGTAAAGATGGAGTCGCAACTTACAGAGCCTACAATATTGGTACTGGAAGGAATGTACCAACTTCAGAGGTAAATAATATTTTAAAGAAAAACTAGAATATTCAATTGATATTTTTAGCTCATTTATTTGAAAGGACTAAATTGTAACAAGCATTCTGAGAGTATTGCATTAACAATACTAGTCCCCTACGGACAAGTGTAATCTGGTTCCTGTTAAGAATTGAAAATGCCATAATTCCCTCAAAAATCAATGAAGCGGAATGAAATGGAAACTTGATCTGTAACTCATCAAGATACACTTACATACAAAAAAATCAGCTCAATATCTGCAAGCGTTTAGGAAAACCAAGTGGGACAGACTGACAGACAGACAGACAGCTAGACAGATGGACAGAGAGACAGACAGACTCGGAGGAAACCTATAGACCCCTCCGGTTTCACCGGTAGGGGACTAATTAAGCTAAGCTTATCTAATTAAACAGCATCCATAGTGTGTACTTGCAAACTTTTTCCAAGAATCATTACATAGGTCATTACACTGTATCTAGTAAACTTCCCACAAAGAAGCAGATCTTTATTCTTTTTTAATTAATCAGGAATAAATAACAAGAAATTAAGTGAGACATTGGTGGGATATATTACAAACATTCTTTTCAAGAATCACCTGTGAAGTCTCTTTTAGGAACAAAGGGGTCAGCATTACTAAAACATTCCTCAATTGCAACAACAACAGGGGCAATATTACTCATGTGAGCATTGTGGCCCATGGACCTTTGTTTTTGTCAATTAGAAAAATCATATTTTCATGGCTGAAATAAAGATGAAGTCCACGAAGAGCAAATTAATATTCATAAATTCAAAATTTCCTTAATTTCAATATTATTTTCAGGTGAAAAAAATGTCTTGTGCCCAAGGTCCAACCAATTTGTTAATACACGATGATTTCGGAGAAAATTTACAAGCTGGACAGGTTTCAAAGCCAAGGAAAAAAGAACAAGAAGAACAGACATCGGAGGTGTTTGTGAATTTAGAAGAACATCCTATGCAGGATATAAAATCAAGCCCTCATATTCACATATGCCCAGAAGTTGGATGTATGAAGCGCTACCAGACATTTTCGGCATTAGAAAGCCATCTACAGTATGGGCGTCATGTCTACAAGTTAGAGAGAATGTCCACATATGATGAAATAAAGTTAAAATGGGCAGAGGTTTGTAAAAATATCAACATATCTTTAAGGAAAGTCGAAAAATCCAGAGAAACATCCACAGCAGAAGGTGTAAGGCAAAGGCTGGAGATTGGATGGGCTTTGAAGAAAAACAGAAAAGTAGTGCGGCATTCCGAAAAGGTTAAAGAATATTTGAACACTCTCTTTAGCATAGGCCAAACATCAGGAAATAAAATAACTCCTGCAGAGGCTGCTTTGAAGCTGAAAAATTGCAGAGATGACGATGGCTCAAAGAGCTTCAGACCGGAGGAATATCTTCAGCCTTCACAGATTGCTTCATACTTTTCTAAATTAGCCTTTGCTTCAAGAAGGGGACATATAACCTCAACTGACAATTTAAATGATGAAGATCTTGTTGCAGTTCTGTCAACTCTTGAGGAAAATGAAATTCGGGAAAAATTACATGAACTTTGACAGTTACATGAGTATATTGCTTGCAAAGAAACTGCAGGGAATACCTGTCTCTAGGAATCAACTATGGTTGCAAAATACATGACTTTGCTAAACATGACCTGATTTATAATAAGTAAATCTGCATCTCTTGTGAGCATGAATTGTGCAAGGAATTGACAGGTAAATGAAAAGAGGGGGTCACTGGCCAGCTCTTAAAGGGAGATTAATCTACTTCTTAATCTTGATAAAGTATATATGTTTTAAACATCTGTAAAAATATTAGAGAAAGAAGTGCTGCCTTATTCATTAAAGACAACAAGATTATTTGAATATGAGGTTCCATGCAGTACTGTTAAACAATGTTTAACACAATTTTATCATTGCACAGTGATTTCACATAATTATTTTAAGGTGAAAAATTCTGTGAACATGAATTACTTTTTTTTCTCATTCATACATGTATACTGGTAATCTTTCCCATTTTCGCTTTTCGCTGGGAAATGTTAATTATTTACAATAAGTTATTTTTATTATTATTTTTATATCACCAATGTAATGTAGATATACCGTCATGCATAATAATAATTGACTGCTTTTTCATAACCAAATTTTAAAAAAAATTCTATATACTCACTATTTTAACCTTCATTATAATAGCCAATCTTTATAGTTAAAATTTATTTAGATCTTCAAATGTACCTTAATTTTATGTAGCTACTATGTACTTTTAAACAATTTGTTTTCAGATGCTATGTTAAAGGAGAGAAATAATGAGAAAATAGGACATATTTTTATCATTATAGAAAGGTACTGCATGCATATCAATTAAAACAAATATACTTCATGTGACTTTTTCCATTTATTTAAATTATTAGTTACTTATTCAATTGTCCAATATCTAGTCCATCACTCTTTTTCTTCTTGTGTCAATGATTTATTTGAAAATCTGGCACTTTCACATGTAATGTTGTGACATATGAACAGAAGTAACCTTTTATTTTTTATATGTCTCAGGTTGCCTTTCCTAATGAAAACTTATGAATACTTCAATCCATACCTTTTTTATCATCATAGAAAAATGTTTTTGCCAAAACCTTATGGTTCATGTGACTTTCAAATTATTTAGATCATTTAGTAGATCAATTTACGCCCCTTTTTTTCAATAAATAAAATATAAGTTAAAACCCAGATTTAAACTGGTGCAGTAAAGGATAGGAATATTTAAAAAATGTTATAGTTCAGTGTCATGAGGTCAGTCGGTCCTATCTCTCATGTTTCAAAAGATACAGGAGGTGATGTATGGACAGACAGGCTGGAAAAATGATCACAAAGATGGCTCTGCTTAGCAGGTGACAGCAAATAAATATTTGCTCACGTACATGCAATATTCTTTTGAAGTTAATGATAACTGGTAGGAATATCACTGATATCACAGTCTATAGGAGATCCACATTAAAATATCTACATAAATACATGTCAGTGAAATAATTATAAAACAGACGGAATAAATTTTAAGGTAAAATACAACCATTTCTACAAAAGGATATTAGAGATTCATCCTTTCAAAAAAGTGGAAATACATGTATATGTATTCCTCAAAAATATTTTTAAATTTTCCAACAACTACCTGAGATACAACTTGGTTACATGTAGATATTGCAAATTTTATATATTCTGCTCAATTTAAAGAAAATTAAATATTCAATTGAAAAAATCTTTAAAAATCTACATGTATTTTCATAATACATTTGTAATAAATAAATAAATAATTAGAGTTGAAATAAAAATTATCAAATTTAGAGAATCAACTTAAAATCCTAGCACTATTATTCTCTAAATAATTTCACAAACTAAGGACCTATTGTCAGTACAATTCAGCAAATAAAGTGAACTTTCAACCTTCTCAAAGGAAGTCAAGCAAGAATATACTAAATTATCTTCAGTCTACAACACTGGAATTTCATTTACACAGATATGTATCAGTTACTGATGAGAATGTTAGAGTATTTCATGTAGGAAAGCAGATAGAAGGAGTGGTCAGGAACAGTAACTCTGTATATAAGTGGTCAGGAACAGTAACTCTGTATATAAGTGGTCAGGAACATTAACTCTGTATATAACTATGGCTCTGGAGACTTCGGCACCTCTCTCTGACTAGCAACAGATCCTTTCCTCGAGGGTGGAGCTAAACAACAAGAAAACATTTTTAGTGCAATGAAGGCATTCTCACTAGCAGAGATTACATATACTGGTAGTCATATCATTTTAATATTACCCTGTAAAAACATCTTTAACTTACCATTATATGTATGTATTAATGTTACCTGATGGAAAAATTAATGCTCAGAAAACAAACATATCAGACAAAATGTACTGATGACTACCGGCAAATTTTATAAGTAAATGCAACACAATTTTAATTAGAAACCAAAATTAAAACAAAGTTTTTAAAGAATGTACAGCAAAACACCAACAAAACAAAGTCACAAAGTCCAAGTGAATGAGATGAGTGCACAATTGTTTTCAAAGAATTCACAAAATCTTAATATATTTTTAATATAATAAACCTTTTTTTTCCTTTTTATTACTACATGTATTATTATCATTTTTTTTTTTAGTATCAACGCCTTGGCAAAGTTTGTAACACAAGAAACAGAAAACTAAGAAATATTTTGAAATAAATCTGAAGTACAAGTGAATATACACATGATACCCGAGTCTGTACTGGTTTGATATTCACTGCTGTCACTGAGACTACACAGAACAGATAGAAGACTTGTGCCTACAGAATTATTGTCGACACAAAATAATCATTTCGATTTTGGAGGATTTAAGACTTGTTATTTTAATACACTTTTATACAATGTACAATAATATATTTTTATAATCAAGTAACCACAATCAAAATATATCACTGTCACATCAATGAAATAAATGTTTTGAGTCTTAAATTGTATGAAACTATTTTTATAAAGTGGAAAAGAAAGAGGGTATACTGACAGTTTAACAGTGGAGTTATTTTTTCTGGTGATTCTGGAGCACTCATATTTAAGTGTGGAGGGTATACTGACAGTTTAACAGTGGAGTTATTTTTTCTGGTGATTCTGGAGCACTCATATTTAAGTGAGGAGGGTATACTGACAGTTTAACAGTAGAGTTATTTTTTCTGGTGATTCTGGAGCACTCATATTTAAGTGTGGAGGGTATACTGACAGTTTAACAGTGGAGTTATTTCTTCTGGTGATTCTGGAGCACTCATATTTAAGTGAGGAGGGTATACTGACAGTTTAACAGTGGAGTTATTTCTTCTGGTGATTCTGGAGCACTCATATTTAAGTGAGGAGGGTATACTGACAGTTTAACAGTGGAGTTATTTTTTCTGGTGATTCTGGAGCACTCATATTTAAGTGAGAAGGGTATACTGACATTTTAACAGTGGAGTTATATTTTCTGGTGATTCTGGAGCACTCATATTTAAGTGAGGAGGGTATACTGACGGTTTAACAGTGGAGTTATATTTTCTGGTGATTCTTGAGTACTCATATTTACCATAAGTGAGGAAGGTATACTGACAGTTTAACAGTGGAGTTATTTTTTCTGGTGATTCTGGAGCACTCATATTTAAGTGAGGAGGGTATACTGACAGTTTAACAGTGGAGTTATTTTTTCTGGTGATTCTGGAGCACTCATATTTAAGTGGGACATTAGTTACTTTACCCACCTATATCCTCAACTTTCTAGGTTGCTGCTAATTAAACAGAAAGTTGACAGAGTATATACCATCTAAACAATTAAAGTTATTATCTGGCTTTTATAATTTCAGAGGAATTCATTATTTTGAAAAAATAAGATTAACATAAAATACAGAGGAGTTCCATAAAGGTTAAACCCATCAATACACTTCATTACTATTCAGAAAAACATAAAATACAGAGAAGTTCCATAACCCAACAACTACACCTCATCACAACACTGATTTAGGATTTTCTCTACAATTTACCATTTTCTGATCCAGAGACTGAAAATGCATAAAATTCAATTCAGAAGGTAAATACATGTATTCTGAAAAATTATTCATTAATGTGCTCCATAATTAATTAATTACAAGCTGACCCATTTTACTTACCGGATTTCCCCGCAGAACTTGGGCGTGGTCCTGACTCCGAGTACTGAGGCTGTGGGGGAGGCATTCCACTGATGGACCCCCGACTGGTGGGGCGCTTACCAGAGTCAGGGGTACGAGGCACTTTACTGACTTTCCCCTGACTCTGCTGTGACATTCGGCTTTGATTGGAGTTTTTTCCCAGACTTGATACATCTGGTGTGCGGGGAATCTTAGGTCGAGAACCAAAGGCCTGATTGTATTCTTTCACCCTACAATGCACATGTATTTGCTAAAATAATGGCCAGATTTTGCATTAATCAAAACCAGTGGATAACTGCATTAGCATTAGAAATGAAATAAAATGTACAGGTATTATTTACTTCATGGAAATGCATATCATAAATATTCATTTTCCTGGTCCAGAGTTTGTCATTACATGTATATCATTAAATATAACAATTATGAACCTACTATGGATTGTATTTTGAGATTAAAAATCAGTAGTTTCTATTTCTTTTTTTTTCAAGGTCCCACTTGCTCTAGTTTATCTCAGCTAGCCTTGAAACTTCCCTGACTTACATGTAGCTACTTACTCTGGATTATCTCAGCTAGTCTTGACACTTCCCTGACTTACATGTAGCTACTTACTCTGGATTATCTCAGCTAGCCCTGGCACTTCCCTGACTTAGCTGACTTACTTTGGATTATCTCAGCTAGCCTTGACACTTCCCTGACTTACATGTAGCTACTTACTCTAGTTTATCTCGGCTAGCCCTGGCACTTCACTGACTTACATGTAGCTACTTACTCTAGTTTATCTCAGCTAGCCATGGCACTTCCATGACTTACATGTAGCTACTTACTCTAGTTTATCTCGGCTAGCCCTGGCACTTCACTGACTTACATGTAGCTGCTTACTCTGGATTATCTCAGCTAGCCCTGGCACTTCCATGACTTAAATGTAGCTATGTACTCTGGATTATCTCGGCTAGCCCTTGCACTTCCCTGACTTACATGCTTACTCTAGTTTATCTCGGCTAGCTCTGGCACTTCACTGACTTACATGTAGCTGTTTACTCTGGATTTTCTCAGCTAGCCCTGACACTTCCCAGACTTACTTGTAGCTATTTACTCTGGATTATCTTGGCTAGCCTTGACATTTCCCTTACTTACATTTAGCTACTTACTCTGGATTATGTCAGCTAGCCTTGACACTTCCCTGACTTACATGTAGCTACTTACTCTGGATTATCTCGGCTAGCCCTGGCACTTCCCTGACTTAACTGACTTGCTCTGGATGCTGCAATCAAAATTAAAAACATCGTGAAAACACATAAGATTATTTCTTAATTGAATAAATCTATACAGAATATCATTTTTAAAATCATTCCTTTTAAAAATTCTTGCCAAATAAGTTCCACTGAGCAATCTTAACAATAAAAAACAACAAACATTTATTTATCTTGAATTATATTAGACATTATTTGATAACATACAATGTATTTATTAAAAAATCCAGATAAGATCATGAAGAATCAATATGGTAAAAATGTATCATTCTCACTAATACAACACATTAAGGATTGAAATATATTAATCAATGAATCACACAAAACTTACCAGATCTGTGCCCCTCTTGGGTGTTGGGACGACTGCCGCTTCTGGTTGGGGGGCGTGACATGTCAGTCCTCCCCTCAGGAATTTGAGACAGCTGGGAGGTTGGACGACTCCTGATAATAATTAGTTATTTCTTACTTATTTTTACTGCATTTTGTTACATACAATGTATGACAATAAATTTATGAAATTAAAATTCATATCAATTTTTTAAATTAATTAAGGGCACTTTTTTCAGGAGTTTTATAAAATTTCTAAGTAAAAAATTTAATAAACATATTGTAAAACTTTAATTAAATTTTAATTTAATTGTTTCTGTGCTATATATTCACTTACTGGATGATGGATGGGTGCTCTGTAGCTCGTCTCTGACTAGGAGTGATTGGTCTCTGGAGAGGTTCATGCATGACTGCATCAAAGTGCTAAAATGGTTCAAAAATATTTAATTTACTAAGTATAATTATCCTTTAAATTCACCAACTTTCACTAAAATCATCTATTACTGCATCCATAAAATAGTATAATTTCAGGAGTTATCTTTCTTTGTATTCATCACCCTGACCTTTTTCTTGGGTTTGCCGGAGCCCGCTATAGCCTGGTATTCCTCTGTCAGTAATTTCTCTCCTGTGGGTTCACCATCATCAATCTGAATGTCCTCGTCTTTGTCTAAATCTAACTCCATAGCATCCTGGTCCTCCTACGAAAAAAAATCATGTCAAATACCTGTACTTTACATTTGTACATGCAATTTTTTCTGATTTACTGTAAAATCACTTATTTTTGTGGAGTCAAATTTCCGTGGTTAGAAGATAAGTTACTGGTTCAAGGGGATTTAATTTTTTGGTTAAAGAAGAAACATTATACTGCAGTATGAAATTTTAACATTTACTGGGGGATATGAATTCTTTCGTCTCCTAACCCCATGAAAATTAGTGATTTCAAAGTAATGATTTTTAAGAAGTTTATAAAACTATAACTATGACCTTTTTAATTCAATCCGTCATGAATTATCATCTAATCTAATACTGTCAAGAATTATCATCTAATCTAATACTGTCATCAATTATCATCTAATCTAAAACTGTCATGAATTATCATCTAATACTGTCATGAATTATCTAATACTGTCATGAATTATCCTCTAATCTAATACCGGTACTGTCATCAATTATCATCTAATCTGTCATCTAATACTAACCTCTTCTTCATCATCTTCCTCGTCATCTGATTCATACTCGTCCACAGTCTCCACTGGGGCCCAAAATTGATACACATAAATAACAAACTCTTTTTTTTCACATCAATGAATGAAATATTCTGTACACAAATCTTGAATTTACAAAAACAGTTTACAATTTCTATTTATACAGATAAAACAATAATTGTTTAAATGTTAATGAGCTAATTATAGGCAGCTAAGTTTCGAGAAAAATTATGATAATTAGCAACTGCCATGAAATTACTTCAAGAAAAATAAGGACTATTACAAATTTATTTCAAAAATATCATGTGTATATTTTTTAACCCGAGGCTTTTCTACATTCAAAAGTCTAATTAAACACTTTTTTAAAAACGACTAAATGTACATGTATTGCAAGCAGACCGGAGCATCCTTTTTATCTGAATAACATACCTGAATTCAACTGTTTTATTATAAATTCAATTTGTCTGTTCATATCTGGTTGATCGTCTTTAATAAAACATCGCAGAATTTCTTCCATACCCTGGGAAAAATAAAAAGAAAGATAACTCAAATTTCTCTGATTATAATTACCTCCCTTTTAAATTGCAGCCATTTTACATTAGATTTGTTTATCAACATTAAAAAGAAAATCTTACTTTTTCCTTTCAATTTCATTGAATATTTCATTCAGAAATCTCATACATATGCACTAATTAAAATTCTTGTATAATATTTTAATTTATTATTTCATCATTTATGCTCAAATTGATGTGCAATAATTCAAAAACACTAAAATTTATAAAAGTAGGAAAAGTTTAAATACCATGTCGAAACATATCACATATTTAACCGACCTTATCTGGGGGTGTGAGCACACTCAAGGATCGTTTAGAGAGAGTATGCCTGCTAACACCAACACATAACTAGATCCGCACCGCTCGCATGTAAATGTGGGTTTGGGTGCAATTTTTGGAACCATGAGTCATGGTACAACACACAATTCAAGGCTAAGAAGGAACAAGCAGTCTTACCATTGCTTTTGCTTCCTCCCTGATGGATGGAATTGCTAGAATGCTGTACAAGGCACCATTAACATAAGGGCGGATCTGTCAATTAGCATTGGGTATATCATTAATGATACATCTTGTGTAAATATCTTACTTCTCAAATTAAAAGTCATGCAACATTATCTTTCTGAAAATTGTCACAAAAAATTGGGATAATCTGTAAGCATGTCTTACTTCCTGATTCTCATGTCCAAGGAGATCACTCAGGACTTTCAGGGTCTGGTGTGCGTTTCCCACACAACGCTTTTTGCCTACAACAGATAAACTTGTAAAAAAATATTTTGTTTCCAATTTCACTTCTAATCATATTTTAATATCCAGATGTTAAAAAAAAATGATCAGAAACAAGTTCTTAAAACTGACATGGTCCTTTCCTTTGTGACAAGAAGTAAGGTATAATGTACAAGTAGAGCTCTATTCCTTAAAAGAAATGTAGCCTAAGCCCTGAAGGGACTGAGGCCCATTGCTTTATGGAATGGAGTGCTATGAGTATATTGACCCACTTAAAATCTGGATTAAAATGCTTGTAATTACTGTTTGTCAATATGTAAAAAGGACATAATTTAATAATATACATGTAATGTATTAGTAGTATTTAAAGCTGACATGAATTCTTAAAAACGCAACATTTGCATCAATGTACGACTTGTTTCATACCAACTATTCCGCCATATTTCTTTCAGATACCTTGTCTTATTGTAACGATATATACCCAATTGCTCTCGTTACACTTGAGTGAATTTTTGGTTTGGCTATCGAGGCGTGCACATCTCCGACAGTAAAGTATCTGGGAACACATGAATTGATGAAAACATTTTAAAACCAGAATAGATAAAAACAGTCATAATGATAATTATGAATAATTATCGTTTTGAATAACATAAATGCAAGTTTGGAAGAAAAATCATAGTTGCGCGTGTTTTTTAAAAGCATACCAATATATATATGCACAATAAACTTGAAATAATATACAGTAAAACTCGTACAAACAATTTGCAATAATCTATCTTAAGAATGGAACAAACCACCACTTCACCAGCGTATTTCCTATGCATGTCCATATGCATTCAAATCCAACTGATGCATATCGAGAGAACACGTCAAACACTGTAAACTTATTCATACCTGGAAATAGACCACTGTACCCGTTCGAAGATGTGCACATGCCGAATAATTTACACCTTGTATTCCATTTATTGAAATATGCATCACAAAAAGTAATAAACTCCACAAATACTCAACAGTAAACACATTGTCACTTCATCGTACAGCCTAGCACTTGAATACGCTTAGTCCGTGCTGATCAGATTTTGGTCAGGGAAAATATCACAAGTAAAAAAGGGAATTAGTATTAGCGCGACTGGGTAAAAAATAAGAAATCACTAAAAAAAAAAAAAGGCTGATTGCTGATTATCTGAAACCTAAACTGAGTAATTTGGTGTAAAAAATGATTTAGAACACGACATGAGAGCTAACCAGAACACAAATTAACAAATATACACATACGTGGAGGGGGGGGGGGAGGGGGGGGAGGGGTACTCCCTTTTTTCAGAGTGTCTTTCAGGCACGTAATATCTAAGAAATAATTGACACTTTACCTGAAAAATCTTTGACAAGCAAAAAAAATTAATAATAAAAATAATAATAATAATAATTAAGAATGGGGGGGGGGGCAACTTTTTCAAGGATTTGACTATAGTGCAACAAAAAGTGGAGGAGATCAGCCTTAGAGTGTGTATTTCATACTAAACAGTAAAACATTATGCTCGGAAAAAGGGGGGCATCCCCCACCCACGTGTTCGACAGGGATTTTTTTTAATTTAAGACTGGCTGCCCCCCCCCCCCCCCCAACTCTAATCCAACATTATTGTACATTGTACTCAAATATTTTTCTGCCGAAAATGATAGTATGAAGAGAATCTGTCCCTCCCCTGACTACGATTTTTTTAAATGCCTGTTTTCCTTCTTCACTCCCCCCAGTTTTTAAGTGCCTAAAGTTTTTCTTTTGCTTGTCAATCATTTTACTGTCCCCGCTCCCCCTCGCATACACACATTTTGAGAAACGGTGCTACGTGCCTGTTTTATATGCATGTATAGAAAGTCTTTTCAGATTGGAGAGTTTCCGCAGGTAGTCTAAAATTGGGTACCTATTCAATTTCTTGTATTTTGAGAAAATCTTAAAAGATAGTTTAAGGATTACTTAAAATCTAAACCGCAAGATTATAGATAAATATTTTTTGCATTTTCAATACAAGTATACTCTCTCTCTTTTTTATGTGTAAGCATCCATACATGTACATGTAAGAGTAATAATGCATATAAAATCCGATGTAGTAAAAATCTTGGGAAATGATATAGTCTTTATAAGGGCAGATTGAGGAATTTTTCTGGGGCAGGGTGGATCAAACCTGCTGAAAAAAAATTGTCTCCTTTTTTTGACAAGCCCAAAAAAGGGAAAAGAAAAGAAGAAAAAAAAAACCTACATACCCTAACGAAAAGGGAAGAAAACAATTCAATTGTGAAAACTATATTTCACGGGAATGGAAACATGTGGACCCTTCTCGTGTTCTTTCCAGAGGAAACAAATTCAGTTTTTTGTTTCTTTATACCTCCAAAGAGCACAGAGGGTTCCTACCAGAAATTTTTTAGACAAGAAAAAAAATATCAAAATAAAAAAAAACAACTTTTGTGTGTGGGGGGGTGGGGGGGGGGGGGGTGGAGGGGGTGGACACTGTCAGGAGCACATTGTTTTCCTTTCCTATAAACTTTGACTATTTTAAAATTAAAATTATATAATATTTAAAGAAATAATACACATGCACGCAACCATATTTTAATCATTCAGTCACATCACAAAATTTCTTTAAATATCTAAAACGTGTAAATATGTGTAGTTGTTAAAAAAAACTTATGTAATGTAATAATTAGTACTTTTGCATCGCCTCGTGATATCTTTGGCAATGCGCGCGAAGATTGTTGAATCACACCACTTCACATTTGGGTACACGGTAGAACTATTTCAATTATCAATATTACTTTGACATATACTAATAGTTTAATACTTACTCAACTTCAATATATACAAAAACATATACTGTAGATTATTTTATATACACATAATTATGTCTGTGTATCAATCGTGCTTGTAATTTATGACGCCTAAAAGGGTCCTGATTTGAAAATGTCTACACAAAAAAATTGTTCAGTGTGTGTAAATTTAAGATATATCAGTTTTATATCTGAAATAGTTGAGGCCAGTTCATTGCAAGTATTTAAATATATTTGATCAAGGAAAATCCGACCTTTTTTCGACGTTTGTTTAAAATATATTGAAAAATGTATTCTACATACCCCCCCCCCTTTCATTTTCTTTAAAAGATGTAAGATCCGTAACAAGAATGTATGTTTATGTAATAAATTTGTTGTAATAAAGCCACAGTCATGAACATATTTACTACATGTACCGACAACAGTTAGTTCGATTTCTGAAATGTTTTATTTGCGTGACTACATTGTCTAATCAGGCAAATATCAGTGTCATTTCCACATTTCGATATTTTCCCTGACCAAAAATGCTGATCGGCAGGGACCACGTGTGTTCAAGTGCTAGTGACAATTTGTTTACCGTTGAGTTACAAATGGAGTTATTTCTTCTGTGATGCATATTTCAATAAAAGGAAAATAGGAAGTAATTCTTTCAACATGTGCACATCCTTGTAGCGAGCTCTGTATTTCAGGCAGATGAGTATAAAGCGTTCGACGCGTTTTCTCGGCATGCATGCATGCATGTACATGTATAACTTCAATGCGTAAGTTGCATAGTATGTGCTTATACCATGTAGCATGCATAAAGCTCAACAGTACAGTGGTTTTTTTTGGAAAAAAATATATGTGGTACCTTCTTTATTGTTCAAATATATATGTAATGTATATCAAACATGCATTTGCCGTTTTGATTTCTATGCATCAAAATTATTCAAAATTTATATATCCTTTCCAGTTTTCAGTAAAATTCCTAGTTTTGGTAGGATTGTTAGATTTATTGCGTGTTCCAAAACTGCTTTATCGGAGATGTGTACAGGCCTACGTTTTCGGTCAGTTCATGACGTGTTCCAAAACTTTGCTATCGGAGATGTGTACATGTCGACAGCCAGGCTAGAAAATCACTCAAGTGTAAAAAAGGCATCAGGGTTTATATAGCCGGTAAAATAAGTGAGCGAATCTGAAAGAAATATGGCGGAAAAGGGAGTACGGGAATGAAATAAGTCGTACAAGGATGAAAATATCACATTTTTAAGAGTTCATGTCAGCTTTAATTTATATAGAGAGAGAGTATGACATAGAAAGTGTTATGTAGTTATTAAATCCCCAATTCTTCAACAGCTTTGCTAGCGTAGTGAGATGAGTGTCCGACTACCAAAGGGAAGGTACCGAGTTTGATTCCCAGAAGTGTTACATTTTTTCTATTATGAAAATATAACTTTAATAGGAAAATATAACTTTATAAAATTTTCTTAGTTCTTCCCCCATTAAAGGCATGGGAAGGAGAATTTTTACATAACAAACACTGTTTTCAATGTAAATTGCAACTCTCCATTCTAAGAAGTAATGGAGTGTTCAAACAAAAGAGTGACATCACAATTAGGTTTTAACACAATATAATATTCCAAGGTTTAAGTATCGTGTCCACTTCTAGTTTTATTCTGCATTAATTTTATGAATCATAGGATTATTTGCAAGATTGATCATAAATTGCCCTTTTATCCTCAATTAAACCATGATTCAAAAGTAAATTTTACCTTACTATCTTTCTTGTCAGTTAAAAATTTCTGATAATTAGAAATATCAGTTATTTTTTCAGTTATCTGACCATCCCTTGTCCCTCTAATATATAGATGAATAGGTTCATAATCTGAATCTTTGAGACAAAGGTTCTCAAGTAACATTACCTGATATTCTGAGACAGAGGTTTGTAACGCACACAAATTTTTGGAGTCAAAGGTTCATGGGTTCAAAAGTAACAGCTTAATGTTCAGAGACCGAGGTTCATAAGTACCATTACTGGATGTTACAACAAAGACATAAATGCATAACTTACCTGAAGTTCTGAGACAGAGGTTCATGAGAAGAGCCACAGAGTACTCTAAAGTGTAATCAGACAGGTTGTCATTATCTTCCAGAACTTTGACAAGCCACTCTATCAGCCCAGCATCAATCATAGAGGACTGCAGGTTACGTCTGTAAGAGAATGGCTGTAAATCCTACTACACGGAGATTGTACATCCCGATTCTTTCAATCAGACTCCATGTGTTTGGAAAGAGCCATAAAGTAATTACACAAATTGTTTCTATCAATCCCAGAATATGCTGACATACAGTCAAACCTGTATTAAGCAGTCACCTGCGGTAATCATTAAAAGTGACCTTTATAGAGAGGTGACCTTTGAAAAGAGGTTCATCTTTTTTCAAGAAAAATTCTTTTCCAATTTATGTAAGTTCTGTGTTTTGAAACACTACATCATAGAATATAAAAGAAAGATGTGCTTTGGATATCGATGGTCTCAGATGTATTTTTAATTTAAAAAGTCTCAAGATTAAGTTCAAGATAAATTTGATGACTCCAACAAAAATAGGGCACTGCCATTATCCTCCCTCCAAACAACAACAAAACTTTCTTTTATTATAAGATTACATTATCATGTTGTGCCATGAATAAAATGCAATATATTTTTTTTATCTAAACTGCCTCTAAAAATACAAGTTTAGTTAGTCCTGATAATTGTATGTAAATAGAAGTGTAATAAACAGACAAGTCATAATATTCTCAGTTTATCAAAGCAGTGCACAATACAAATTGATATCAAATTCACAGGTGTTGTGACCAATGAAGCGTGACTAATCCTAACTGTCGTCTTACCTAGTTGAAAATCACGAGATAATCAGGACACTTTGAGTAAACAAAACAGTTAATTAGGGTTTCTACAAATAATACGTTTCCTATGTGTTAAAAACTGCCTGTCATGCATGTACACAATTACACCTATAGGAGATGGACATGCCAAAGGTGAACTAATAATTAGGAAACACCTAATTATTGTATCCATTAATAGATAAATATAAGGATGCCTTGTGTATCATTCAGAATTTTTTTTAACCAGATTCCAATTCAATAAGATTAAGATTCTCGTAAGTCCGTTTTCCCGATAACCTTTTCGGCCACTAGCACCCTTGTTTAGCTTTGTTAAATGAATAAATAAATTATCCAATATTTTAAATGGTTTTAATAAGGCCAATTATTTTTTTCATGATCTCGCTATACACGATCAATTTACATTAGTGACAAAAATTGCCAGTCACCAGACTTTAGATCTTGTCACGTGATCGGACAAAATGGCCGCTATATACGAGGGAAAAAGGCGATTTTACATGAAATTTGATGACCGCTGACCGCGTTACGCAGGTGACCGCTTAATAGAGTTACATTATATAGGAAAATTCATTGGGAGGAAATAAAATGACCGCATAGGACAGGTGACCGCTGGATAAAGGTGACCGCTATGACAAGTTTGACTGTACACTGAATTTTAACATGACCTTGAGATCTAATGATTACATGTATGTACCTGAGACTGAGTTTCTGTAGTGCCCCTAACACCATCTCCCTGGTAATGGATTCCTTCTCCTCACTATGGAGGTTGTCCAACAAAGCCTTAAACAATTCCTGGTTCTGAGCAAGATAGGTTCTTCCTGCAATGTATTTACCGATATATGTTTATCCTGACAGTGTTAACAGAATAAAGAGTTGCTGATCGAAATACTGAAACCTGTACCTGATATATTACTTAATAATGTAATAAATACCGCTAACAATCAAAGCAGAAAATATGATTCCTGACTAGTAGGTAAGTATGATAGAATATAAAGTGATTTCCTGACCTGCACAGAGAGAAGCAAATGCATTGAAGAGTCTAGCTGCTGTCTGCTTTACCATTTCATCAGAAGAAGTAAGAAGTCCCAGCACTGCTGTCTGTAATTCCAATATCACAATCAATTATAATTCTCTAGAGATTATTCACAAGATACTGTATGCAGGGAAATTTTTGCCTCCGTTTTATTTTCACCCCTTTGCCCTAGACACAACTGGGCGAATTTAAGACGGGGTGAATTCAAAGAAAACAGTATAATTTCTTAATCAGAACTCTGACTGGGTAAATTTAAAACAGGGCAAAATTGTTAGCAAGTGTGAAAAGGCGAAAATAACATGGGGCAAAAATAACCCTGTATACAGTATTCATGTACATTGTATTAGAGCTGAGTAGCCAGACCTACCCTATGAGCTCCAGCTTTAGCACACCCCAGCAGGTCATTGTCTCTGTACGCAGTCATTGTGGTGTCTCTCTGCTGTGGATTGGACTGGGTCAGCCTCTGTAAGGATTTTTTTAACAAACCATTTTTTTACCCTTTCTTTTTAAATATTTTTTTCCCTTTTCTAATAAGATCTGCTTTTTGCTTTCAACAGAAAGACATTTTCTAGAGAGTTTATGCTGAAAGATACCTCTGATTTATACTACACAAACATAAAATATTGAGTACTGATTCCGCAAAATAAACAACTGATACACTTTTATTTCTGATAATCTTACCCATCGGATGGCTTGTAGGAGTAGAGCTATTCTTTTATGTTGTCCGTTAGCGAGATCATCCTTGACCTTGGTGTAGTCTAAGGGTGGGTAGGCATCTGGCTCCTGTAGAGGCTGCCTGTAAGCAAAAGATCATCATCTCAATTCATTAATGAAAATAGTGTAAAAATACATGTACATGTACATTAAATGAAACAAGTTTCATGAGAATTAAAGGCCAAATGAAGAATGTTTCTTAAATATCAAGATCAGCAATTCATATCTTTCAATTTTTCAGATGCCTGAATTTCAGAAGTATGTGTACTATCAAGGCTACTTTGAAGTATGTTTATGTTTTTCATAAAACAATAAGTTATACTCACACTTGTGGGGCAATGGACTGCCTGAGAAAATGACTAGCGGTGCCTGGCCGTGTGAAATCAACAGAACCGGAGACGTGATGACTAAAGAGACGTGAACAAATCTCCTGTAGATACTCAGGAGTTATCTGAAATATACATATTGGTTTAAACAATTACCTAAACTTATCCACTGAGTAGCTGGTAAATTTTATACATGTAATCATATACAGTTAAACTTCGGTATCTTGAACACCGATATCTCGAATACCATGGATATGTCGAAGTGATTGGGAAGTCCTAATCACATATTTCTGAAGTATTTTACCCTCAATATTTTGAACCCTTGGATATCTCTCAGTTTTATCTCGGTTCAATCGAGTTCGAGATAATGAGGTTTGACTGTATATATAACAGTATTTAATGAGGAAATAGGGGTCTGTACTAACATTACATGTACAGCTGTTCACAGTGCAAAAAAAGCCAAAGCTTCCAATATTGTGCTATAAATACATTATCTTGATATTAGACATCTGTAACAACAAAATCTATCAGATACATGTACTGATGAAGCTTTATTAAGTAATTGAACATCAGCTCATTTTATACATGATAAAGAAATCTTACTGGCTTTCCTTGGACGGTGGACTCTAGAGCATCAACCAAATCTGCTGTAATTCCAATCAAATTGTGGTAATCAGCCTGAAAATATTTTCCTCCATTAAAAAATGTATAGGAACCATCAAGAGTATTCTATAGCATTTACTGCATATGTCACTTGCTTAACATTAATCAAGATAATTGGTTGAAGCAATAGTAATCATTTGCAAATTTGCTTTCAGTTCTTGAAAGATATTCTCTACCCACATGTATGTACATAAGTCTGACTGTGATACAAAATGCCAAAGTTATTGCATCACAGTCATATCAATAATTTTCATTTTGACCTTGACCTTTGACCAAGTCACCTTAAATATGTATGTCTTCCTCTCACTATTCTCAATCCAAACAGTGAATTCAATATAATTATATGAGTATCATGTTTAAAAATACACCATTTACTGTGTCAAATAAATGTCACAGCCATAGCATTATTATCTTGACCTTAGTTTAGCCTTGACCTTTGAACAAGAGACCCCAAATATTATAGGCATCTTCCTATATTACTCTTCATCCATATATTAAGTATGAAGTCTGCAGGTTGAATAGTACTCAGGTTATTTGATCACATATATAAAAGTGTTGATGAATGGACAGATAGACAGGAAGACATGGTGATTATCATATGATATTTGCATCAGCTTGGTTGTTCCTTAGATTTTTAAAGAACCATTTCTGTGTAAAACTTGACTCCTCATTGTTGCCCTATCCTAGCCCAAGAATATGATTTGAATGAAATTAAATCTACAATGGGGGATACCTGCATGATAATTTGCCCAATATTGTGGTCCTGGTGTTCTGCAGAGGAGGAGTTTTCTATATATTTCTACTGAAAAATTCTGACACCTACTGAGGTCCCATCCTAGCTCCAGGAGCCATGATCTGAACAAACCTGACTGTTAACATAGGGATATTTGTTTATAAATTCAACTCATTAGGGTCCTGCTGGAGAAATTTTTTCAGGGTTTGGGCATTTGCTGTTTCTACAATCATCTTAGCTTTAAATAGCTTTAGTAATGAAAAAAAATTAAGTATTTGTTGTAGAATTGATCATTCCCAGTGAACCACTGTAACCTGTAATGCACATGATGGACAGATCAACCATTAAAACAATCCTTTAGATATAAAGAAATGTCAGCAAAATTCAAAGATTAAAAAAAATCCTACATCTAGGCAAGGTACAATATTAAGTAAACTTGGAATAAGTCTATCCCAAGAAAACCAAGTCAAATTAAATAATGAAATAAAATAAAAATAACTATAAAAAAAATATGATTTAATATAATAAAATAAGTAGAAGAAAAAAGTACACTTCATCTATAAAGTCTGTCTTTAAAATTGTGTTTGTAATTTTATATGGAGTATCTAAGGATTGAAGGAAGTTAGGAACTATTATAGCGAATATGCCTAAAATACTCTATAACACTCTAATAATGTGCTGTTCAAAAAAGTTAAAGATCAAACTATAGACACCAAAGACAAAATCTGAATTTTAGAAATATTTTTCACATGACAGTATTTGAAACTGGATATTTTTTTTTTCAGTAAACACATTAAGAACTCTTGCATATCTTGTCTATGGTCTACTTACCCCAAAGCTGACTGTTTTCCAACACAGACAGACAGAAATAAGAACAGAACGTGTTAGTAACAAAATAACAACATACAAGGGCTAAATTTCTCCACTCTGAACTAAACATTAGTATGCAGGGTGAATGCACAGAGACAGTATCCAGAGACAGGCCAACATCAGATTTCTTCACATGCCTCCTTTTTACAACAGGTGCCTAAAGTGCTCTGTGCCATGTGAATGACAATTTTTTTTCATTACCTGTACTCGATTGTGTCGCTTTATATAAGACATTGTTTTACGCTCCGAATCCACCAGTTGTTGCTGCAGGCGAGATATTTGTTGAAACTGGTCTGCAGAAATCATTATTAACAAAAATGATATCAACAATTGCTTTTTAAATCTGTGATACTATTGAGGTAATGAAGTATTGTTTAAAAAATACAATAATTTTGTATGCAATTTTTTTAATGCTTTATTAAAAATTCAGCACAATTTTAATGTAGGTAATGTACTTTTCCACAATCGTGCATTAGCAATACCAGTATTTTAATGTTTAATTGATATGAAATCAAGTCTTGGTTTTCATCAATTACTGTGGATTCCTAAATATACGCGAGGAATAAATTATCGCGTAATTACGCGAGAAGCACAACTCGCGAAATAAAATTACTCGCTTTTATTTTTATGGTGCTTAAATGTATATAAAATCTATAGATAAATCACCCATTCGTGAAATATTGTTCTCGCGATTTGATGCCCTTGGGCCATTTCGCGATATTAAGTACTCGCATAAAATTAGGAATGTACAGTAATCCTTGTGCCAAGAAAAGGCAAAACTATGGGTCCCTCTAAAGTATACCCACACAGAGTATGCTTAACTTTCAACTTTGTGCATGCTTCTCCTAATTATGAGTCATTCTGCTTGACTTTTATCTGGACCATTGATACATTGATTTTTCTTTCAGTTCATGTCCAAGTCTTACCTGTTTCATCTCCATCTTTGCTTCCTCTCTATTATAAAGAGTTAAGGGAACTTTTCCTTTAAACAAATCAATACTGGTAATTAGATTGTCTTTTTGAATTAATGTGACACACAACATATATTACAACAGCATAAATCAAATTATTTTGATGAGCCCTATGAGAGAAAGAGTGTGAACATTGCCAAATCTTGAGCTTTTTTTTAAATCAAGGATACATAAAGTTCAAACAGTTTGGGCTGTGGCCTTGACTTTAGTGTCAGGGTGAGAAATTTCTCCACTCGAACTTCCAGATCTTTTACCCAAGAATCCTGTAAAGAAATGCATTAAGTATCAGGAATTATCACAAAACTATTTTTCCCCCACAAATGAGACTGCATTCATTTAGGGAGTACATGTACTTAGTACATAACATCTTTATAGTCCCACAATTTAATCACACAGAAAGGAAAACAAATGGCCAATAAAGTGAATACCAAATAAAATGTTAATTAAATCAATTGAATGTGTTATGTGCTGATATGAATGGCTTACAGTGAAGATTTCTTTGTAAGATGGATGACTTTTGGCATTTGGAACAAATGGTAAGGCATAAAAAGGCAGAAACTCAGTAGTCTGACTCAGGGAGGCACCCCTGGTCTCCAGATATTTCTTGAAGTCTCCCATAGCTCTATCTGCTTCCCTCTGAATTAACAAGTCTAATATCTAAAATTTCACTGAGCCAAAGTAAATTGTCAGTGATTTTCATGTAAAATTGTCTTTTGTTATAGCTTTAAAAATGCTTAAATATTCAAAATGTTTTAATATGATAAAAATTTAAAAAAAAAAAAAAAAAGACTGAAAACAAGTTGCAAGTTTTACCTGTCCTCTGGCAAATTTTATGGGAAAGGTTGCAAAGTAAATGTTCAGGTAGAACTCAAGTTTTTTAGCCACTGCATCCCCATCTCTGATAGAGGGATGGAGGCTGTCATTCCATTCTTTGAAAAATTTTTCCCTCCTTCCTTTGTGGAAGTGTTGCATTAATTCATTCTATCAAACAAGGAAAACAAAATTCCACTATAACATATACACTGGGGAAAATAAGTGTCAATGTACATTAATTTCTGCACAAAAAGACTACTTTTCTATCAAGTTTACAAAAACAATTCAAATTGATGAAAATAATTTAACATTTAAGTATATTTTGTTATTTTGAATGGTTGATAATTTTGGCTTTAATATTCAGGTGGGTGATTCCTGATGGTAAAACTGAAGATAACCAATAATAAAATCTGTAATATTCAAATACAAACAAAAAACTTTGAAGACTACAAAATTTGGTTACATTTTCTTTACTGCCAAATGAGCAAATTTTCTCATTCAAGAAAATAATCTAAAAACACAACTTCATTAACAGTTTCTGGCAAAATTTTCAACCTGGCATCTTGATGTAAACACTGACTAACTTCTATTTTAGTAGAAGACGCTGATCACTCTTGTAATGAGACCACACAATCAAAAAATCAGACAAATATAAAATTTATCAAAAGACAGTTTTAAAGAAGGGAGCACATTTCATTTATTGATTTTATCTGTATCCAACAGAAATAGAGGCAAGTGTACTGTGCAAACCAAAAGAATCAATACAAGCACAAAATACCTGTAAATCAATACAAGTATATACAAAATACCTGTAAATCAATACAAGTATACAAAAAATACCTGTAAATCAATACAAGTATACACAAAATACCTGCAATTCAATACATACCTGTAAATCAGTAGGTTTTTAAAAATAGTTAGTAATTGCATGTACTGTCATTCATTTTTGGTGGAGCTTGGATTGGATACTGTGTAAGAAATTACCTGTATTGCCACTAATTTTTGGTTGGATTTGGACTTGATACTGTGAGTTGCTATTGGTTTGCTTTTCTGCTCGCACTCCTTTAGGAATACTGAGGTACATTTATCAAAGCCACTAAACTCTAGATACTGTAAAAAACAATACTTTTGAAACTAAGTTTTCAAACAATACACTAACCAATGCTTTATATTAATCAATATTTAAGCACAAAAATGCATCTTTACTCTAAACATAAGCACATAAAAAAAATCTAAATGAATATTCTGATAAATTCATTCCATTTACCATGTTTACAATATTTTTAATATTTGTCATGGAAATGATACAGTCTTCACCAAATCTTTTTTCCAGCAGTTGCCCTTCATGCATATGTATTCGCTAATTAAACTAGCCCAAACAATTATTGACATGCCCAGAATTTTGTCAAGTAATTTTATTCTCATTTGCCTTTTAATGCCAAGAAAATGATCTGAAATTCTTTTTTTATTGACCTATTGTCACGCCATTAATTAGCCATTTCATGGTAACTTTTCATGGTAACTGCGGTCTACTCTGTAATAAGCCATTTCACGGTAACCTTTCATGGTAACTGTGGTCTACTCTGTAATAAGCCATTTCACGGTAACTTTTCATGGTAACTGCGGTCTACTCTGTAATAAGCCATTTCACGGTAACCTTTCATGGTAACTGCAGTCTTCTCTGTAATAAGCCATTTCACAGTAACCTTCCATGGTAATTGTGGTCTACTCTTTAATAGATTCTTAACTACTTGCCTCCTGTACAACAGCATTCAGTTCCCCTTCAAAGGAAACCACCGAAAGAGATCCAGACATTCTCAATGATTTAACTCAGCCAAGTTCACTAAAATGAAATGAAATAGTTTTTTAACTTATCAATATAAATTTATAACATACATGTACATGTACTAGCATTCTTCCCTAGGCCTCTATCAAGCAGCAAGAAGCCAGGCATACACAGGCATTTCTTACAGCAATGCCTGGTCAGAATGTTTGCACATTCATCCAATAAAATTTTTTGCTACCCAAACAGTTAGATAAAATGCCCTTTGTTAAAAATTTGCACTTTGTAGACTGTGAGATGGAAATACAGATAACATACAAATGACTTTAGCCTTCTAAATGTATTGTGTGGTTAGAAAAGGTGGATCTAAGTTTGAAATATCATGGTCCACTATCTATAGTAATAGAGGGCAGAGCCCTCTCAAAGGGCCAGTGAGAGTGAAGCTTTTCTCATACTTTTAGGTAACACATATGAATATAAAATATATAGAATTCTTTAGTATATTTCTCTATGATACCTATGGAACTCAGAACCTTGTCACCAACATGATATTTGCAATAAGATTCTCAGTTCCATGTGTATTGTATTGATCTGTTGATCAGTGTTGATGTATATTTCAGCATCAGACAATAAAATGTAGAAAAAAGATGCTCTCTTTATGCCTCTGCCCTCACTAACAGTCGCGCCAAATAGGTGTACTTCACTCACCGTACACCAATGTCCCATCATCAAACATATCATTAATTAAAAAATATATTTATTTCACTATTCAAGAAATTCATGAAAGTTTGTGTTTTCAACAGACTTCCGTAATTTTTGGAGATAATTGTACAATTTGTAAACTTGAGAAAATTCGGGAAGGATTAAATATGTTTTTCTACAAACAAATACATTGTAATCAAGAACTGTTGCAATTTTCAAACATTATCTTAAGATATCAATATATAATTCCACATAGAACAAGAAAGATATTTACCAGACAACTGCTACTTCAAGATAAATACATTCGGGAATATATCATATCATTTACTAATCAATTTCTCCATTGGCATGCAGTAAACAAATAAATCAACGTCACAAAAAAGTTTGAGAAATCGGTACAATACAAGTCGTACATAAAAAATTCGTACATCAAACATTATTACACCTCAGTTTCTACAACTTTTGCGGAAAGGAGATACCTATGGCTTTTCTTTTGCTTTTTTTAAATGAAGTATCCTAATTTGCATTTTCCCATCCCAGACTTTCTTGAGAATATTTGAAGCATAAATTTTAAGAGTCAATATATTTTCATGAAATCAAATTTTAAATCCAACATTTTTTTTTTAGTTTTCATCGTTACCAATATAATCAATATATTTTTTGTTGGGGAAGTAGAGGAGACCTCTGTAGATGTTTCCTCTATTAGTCTGTAATTTAAATCAACATTTGCTGAAATTCCTTTAAATCCTTTCTCCTCACCAAAATATTAAAGTTCTGCTGTGAAGGAGAAACTTCAGACAACCTATTTGAGAAGTGTATAAATCCGATGTGGATTTATTCTGAAAAACTCCAAAGAACTTGTGGAAATTTATATTAATATTATTAATATCAAAATCTTTTCAGCATCAAAACATACACCCTCACAATGTCAGGGGTCCTAAGTCAACACGCTGCCGTTGTCCAACGTCAACGTGTTGACTCAGGACCCCTGACGTTGTGAGGATGCAAAATATATGACTTTTCTACACTTTATACGACCATTCCCTCACGATAAATTTTTGAGATCATAAAAAACTGCTTCTTCAATAAAAATGGAACGTATACCCATAAATTTTCATACTTTGTGATTTGTCGTCTACATAATTACTTTGTTAAAAATTATTCTCATTCTACATTTTACAAGTACTCTGAAGTTGATATTAAAAAAAGATGCCGATGTTCCCCATTGATAAGATTTCTATATAGTCTTCAGAGACCAGCTAGGCTGCGGGGCCATAAAACTTAGAAAAGCTTACTTTTGATCTCAGTCTCACTTTTACCAAAGGAATTAATAGAGGAAAAGTGAGACTGAGATCAAAAGTGAGCTCTTCTAAGTTTTATGGCCCCGGGGCAAGGTCTTCCAACACTCTGTTGGAATTTCGATGGGCACTTATTGTGCTCCTTTATTAGCCACCTGTTTTTTTTTTGTTTACATTCCTATGAAGCAGAATATATCCAAGTACCACTTCAAGAGAAGAAAACTCTTGCTGTGGTCTTCAACTCAACATCTACTAGATATGTTGACAACGTTTTATCAATGAACAATTAATTACAGTATACTTTCATTCATATGTCGACTCAATATCGATCCCAGTGAACTTGAAATAAAAGACACTGTAGAGTCTGCAAACATCTGTTTCATATTCGGATGTTTAATTGTACAAAGATGATAATGGCCTACTAATAACTAAACTCTATGACAGAAGGGATATGACTTCAGCTTTTCCATTGTCAACTTCTCTTATTTCTGTAGCAATATTCCAGCATTACTTGTACAAGGGCATGCTCTGAATACCATCAATTTTTAAAATGAGGCAAACTACTAAAAAATAATTAGATGTAACAAGGATTTAAACACCCCTATTGAAAGTCAGCTTTTTGCCAATTCTATGGTTGTTTTGTAAATTCAACCTTTCATTGGGTCCTATTTGTCTGACATGTTTCATACCATTTGTAAGGTCATTGCTTTTATACTCAATTTGACTATGGCATACTCCATCAACTGATCTGAATACATAGGGCTCACGGCAGGTGTAACCAGTTGACAAGGGATGCTTACTCCTTCTAGACACCTGATCCCATCTCTGGTGTTTCCAGGGGTCCATGTTTTTACTGGATTTATGAGATTACTGTTAGTTATCTTCAGCTTTTATAAAAGTCACTCTGACACAACAACCCCCCCCCCCCTTTTTAAAAAAAAAAAATACTATTCCAATGACATATGATCTACCTTTGAAAATGGTCAGTATGCAACATTGTAGCAAGTGGGATGAACTGATAGAGAGAGAAAATGCACTGTCTGTCATATCCATCCTACATGCAGCTTTCAACATTCAAGGAGTATTGTTACAAGTGGGCAGAGTCTTGATCAAAGGTTAACTTTTGTTTCTGGCTTATAGAACCGTTAGATCTATATCATCTTGTAAGTTAGTGAGATTCCCCTTTCAATCATCTCCTTCCTTCAAGAGAGAGATCTGATCTCTTTCCTCCCACAATAAATTCCTTTAACTATATAAACTATAATAATATATATACCTTTTGCCATTGAAAAAAGTAGTACTTGTGTAGATAGATTGCCAACCTTCAGAAATGAATTGAATACATTTTTTGACAAGTGATTAAGGCTCTGTTGCAGTGTCACAATCATCCCCAGGAACTATAACATTTATCATAGACCTAAAGCAATTATATACAATCTATAAACAGGAAAAATGATGTTGCTTTTGTTTGTTTTTTTTTAATTTATTTTCATCACTTATAATCTACAGATAAAAGTGTCTGATAAAAGTCTCAGTAACACACTTCAAAACGAGAAAACAGGATCAACAATTAAAACAAGAGAATAAATAATACAATAAATAAATATATCACTGCAATTGTGGTAAATGTAATGCCCATGTAAGAATTAATACATGTACATTTATTTCTTAGATAAGTAAATAATACTGATTAATTAAGGTATTCAATGTATAATGAAGGAATATTGAACAAGTTTACATCATTCAAAACTAGTTAAATATGTATTGCTAAATAATGATAAAGGTAAAATGAGCCAATTCACAAGACTGATAACATTTTAGAATCTGGCCATTTTGCACCTTAAACATTTTTCATGAGTTATCTGCCCTTGGTGAAAAGTAGAAAATTTTAATTTTGTCAAAATATCTGTGGTAGATGATTTTTTTTATTTCATATTTTGATAAAGAGAGAGTTTATGCATATTTTTATTTATATTAGTATTTATTTACAATATCTAAATAAAACATGCGCTGCCCATAGACTTCAATGTAAAATTCAAGGTGCAATTAATTGGACAATAATCAAAATTTTGTAAATTCCTTTGGTGGAGTATTTTTATTTGATAACATCTTCAAAATGCTAACTTGATTTAAAATATCGGACCATTCATTTATTAGGTACAAAATATGCTTGTTATACATTGAATACCTAAGTATAAATAAAGGCCAACAAAAGGGTCATCTTTAATATACAACAGCAGTAAGCAAAACATTCCCATTTCATCTATAAACTTGTAATAATGTAAGTGTATCACCTTCTTATTACATTTCATTACAGTAACAGAGCATTGATATTGTTAAATCATACGTGAAAAAAAAAGAAAGAAAAATAATACTCATTTTCACCTTATGTATTGCTGATGATAAAGTTACACATATTTTGAGAGGATAAACAAATTTAACAATTTCAGTAAGTCATAACTTGGTGGGCAAATATACCCCCCCACCCAATCCCCCCAAAAATGTTCAGCTAATTTACCAATCAGAACATCCATATATCTACACTTCAAAACAGAGTCTTTAAATGAGGGAATAGAAGTGCCAACTACAATTACCTCTGTCCAGTGTTTTGTGTTTAATTCACATTAGAACTTATCTAAAGACAGCATCATTGGAATTCTAGATAAATGTCTGATGTATCTTACATAATGAAAATAAGAAGGAATAATAAAGATTTTAAATAATTAATTGTTTAATTTATTAAGCTGATGCCTGTGGATGCATTGATCTCATATGTTTGTTCCGGTTTGACTGAACACTGAACCACTTTGAACACACAGAACATTGGTAAGGCTTTTCTTTCGTGTGTGTTCTTGTGTGTCTTGTGAAGTCATTTTTGTCGTGAAAGTCTTTTAAGCACACCTCACAGGTATAAGTTAAATTCAGAGGATTGCGGATACGTTTGACTCCTTCGTGTGCCCACATTTTGTGTCGTTTTAGATGGCTAGATGATCGGTAAGCCTTGTCGCATTTATCACAGGCATGAGGTTTCTCGTCAGTGTGAATCAACAAATGACAGGTCAGTGTTCCTTTCTCTGCAAATCGGGCTCCGCATGTTTCACAAACATACGGGCGTTCATTTGTATGTATTCGGAGTACATGCCGTCTTAACTGCTGGTTCTCTACGAAGGCCCTTCCACACAGGTCACAGACAAAGGGCCGTTCTCCTGTATGTGTTCTAATGTGCCTCTGGATACTCGACTGATCATTAAACTCTTTTTGGCAGTAGTCACATTTATATAACATTTCTCCAGTGTGAATTCTGTTGTGTCGTTGGAGGGCACACAGCTGTTTGAAGGCTTTATCACAAACCTCACATTTATATGGGCGGTTTTCGGAGTGGGTTCTTCTGTGGACCCTTAAGGAAGGTAGTAAAACAAAAGTCTTCCCACAGATTTCACAAGCATGAATTGGTGTCTCCTTACTTCTTTCATCTTGTTCCTTTTGGATGTCTTTGGTCACATGATCAGCAACTTCCATCTTCAGAAAAGCTACTGCAGCAATATAAAACAGAAAAAAAAATTATTTTTTATATATAACATTATAAAATTAGGAGAAAAAACCCATATCAATGTGATCTGGGGTGGGGTGGGGGGATATTATAAAAATTAGGAGAAAAAACCCACAAACGCTGTTACTTTAATTTAAATAGTCCTATTTTTACTATTCTCCAAGTGGTTTAATAGAGTTACATGTATCTCTGTAAACTATATAGTCCATATTTTTTTTTTTTAAAATAATTTTATACAAATTAATTTTTTGTGATCTAGAAATACCCGGTACTCACCATGAAAGTGAACAAGTGGATTAACCCATTAATGCTATAGTTTGTAGTTTTTACAACAAAACCTCATCACAATTTAGACCTTTTCCATATTATAAAAGAAAATTTAGATTGTAGCAGATTTAAAAGGAGGAGATATACAACCCTAAATTTGACATCAATTTATATAACAAACGAATTGCTGTTATTAATTTTAACCTATTAGTCATATTTTAATACACAGTAAAATTAACACACAGTAGTGAAGTGACAATTTTGAATGCAAACACAATTATTTCTGAATTTTATGATGTGTTTTAAAACTTAACAGAAGAAAATCACTTTGTGGGAAGCGTGAATTCATTAATTCATTTATATGTTATGTTTCACCATTGTTCTAATTCCTTGTTATATTACCATCTGTTGCAGATGATCCTTCTACTGATCTTAAAAGATTTTAACCCAATCACACTTGTATTTTAACATTTCTATCTTGATTTAAATATTTATCAAATTGTGACAATTTTGTTCAATGATTCTGAAATCAATGCATTATTTTTAAAAAAATCCCTGGGTATATATGTACAAAAAGTTGCACCTAGGTGCAGTGATAGTGTTCAACCTTAAACTGTTCTGAAAACAATGCATGTAAAAAAAATTTCATCAAACTGCATATCCTTCGTAGACTTTGTATTCAGTTTTAAAGTTCTGGGGCAATGTAAAGTATTTGGTTTGTGACCACACAGTTACCTCTTGAATGAATTTATAAAGGAGGTCAATTCTGGTCAACAAGAAAATTGATTGGATAATTCAGCACAATGTGAAGCAATCAGACTTATCCATGTCTCAATGCACACAAGGTGGAGTACAGTTATCCAAACAATGGAAATACATCTTTTGCTTAATAAAAGTATTCAAAAGTTTCAATGTTAAAACAATCTTTGATTATGGTTGCTTTCTTGATACCCCATAGTACATACATAAAATGATGAATAGTGAAATCAGGCCCATAGGAAGCAAATTCAGTTGGGGGGGGGGGGGGGGGGAGCCATACATTTTCAGTAGACAGTTGAGGGGGCACTACCAAAAGTTTTTATTGAGGGGGCACAAGCATATAGTATCTATGTTTCCTATAGTAATCTATATATCGGCAAAATTATTGGGGGGTGGGGGTCACGGTCCCCTGGTTCCTACAGCCATGGATTGATGGAAATACTTGCGACTTTTTGTCTATTTCTTACAAAAAACATTTTTGTGGAAAAAAAAAACTGCATATAAATAGCTTTATCAAGTTATTTTGAATAGTTTAAGATAGTCCCGAAAAAGTTCCGAGTACAGGTAGTAAACAAACAATCGTCCCTGTTCGATATCAAAAACCAATCACCCAAAAACCAACAGCATGTACCAAAATGTGTTTATTTTCCCATGTATTGTTGCACACTTGATCCTGTCAACATGCTCAATGTATCATAGAGAGTCATCTCAAATTAACAGTTTATATTGCAGTGAGATCTTAACACCAGTACTAGCAGATAAATGTCCTAATGACTCTGATTATTCTGTTTACCATCAAGCCATATTAGCAGCATATAAACGACCTAAACTTCTAAGTCAATGTCTGAAAACTGGCAAACATCATCACTTACTGTACCTTAGCTTTATTATACTTCTACAATCAGCAGATTGTGAACTAAATCCAGGTCCTAAAACTCCAAAATATCCATGTATGGTATGCACTAAAGCAGTCCGTTGGAATCAACAGGCAATAGCATGTGATAATTGTGAATGTTGGTACCATATAAAGTGCATAGACATGGGTAGCCACATGTACCAAGCTTTTGCAAAGCCAGACGTTTCATGGATTTGTTGTCAATGCGGCCTTCCAAATTTTAGTACTTCCTTTTTTGAGTCTGCGGACATATCTACTTCTAATTTCTAAGATTCATTATCTGACACTTCTACTTCCTCATTGAATAGTGACATAGGCGAACCTGTCATTACATCATCACCAAAATGTCACCATAATACATCAAAAGCTAAAGCAGAGCCAATGAAAATACTTACAATTAATTTTCAAAGCATAAAGGCCAAACGTGAGGTATTCTGGAACCTTCTGGAATCATGCCAACCAGATATTGTATTGGGATGTGAGACTTGGTTAAAGCCAATTATCACAAACCAAGAAATTGTCCCATCTGGATATGAAGTCTTCCGAAATGACAGAGCAGATGGATATGGTGGGGTACTAATAGCTGTTAAGTCAACTTACATAAGTAGCCAAGTGGATATTGACTTCAACAGTGAGATTGTGGCAGTGCAAATTGAAGGGACAGACAAATCATCCATTGTGGTTGCTTCACTGTATTGACAACCAAACAGAGACTATTCCCATACTCAAATAATCTGCAATGATATCCGACGGATTACAGATTTATACAAATCATCAACAATATGGATAGGTGGAGATGCAAACCTACCAGATATTAACTGGGAAAACGACACCATTACTGGTAACAAATATCCAAAGGATATTAATGAGCATTTCATTGCCACAAAATTGGACACAGGACAGTGAGTGAACCAAATTATCAACTTTCCAACTAGAGACGAAGCAACTTTAGAAATTTTTCTAACAAATCGTCCTAATCTAGTTCACAGGTGTGTAGGTATACCAGGTATAAGTGACCATGACACAATTACATATATAGAAACCCTCAGTAAAGCTAAATACCAGAAACCAGCACGCAGGAAGATATATATTTGGAAGAATGCAAATATCTCAAACCTCCGAACAGCTATGAGCCAGTTTGCTTAGAAACCACAGATGTAAACATTCTATGGAACACCTTCACAGAAAAGTGTGCTACCTTAATGGAGAAACACATACCATCAAAATTCACTAGTGAAAGGTTCAACCAAGTATGGATCAACAGGAAAATGAAAAGACTATCAAAAAAGAAAAAGCGATGCTACAACAAAGCTAAGAGAAGCAGAAAACAACAGGATTGAGATGACTTTAAGAAAATTAAGAAAGAAACCCAGAGGAGATGTAGAGAAACATACAACTCCTACATCTCTTATATGCTTAGTGAGGATGATGCCAACAATCCAAAAAGGTTTTGGGGATTCATCAAAAGCAAGAGAATGGAAACATCCGGAGTGGCACCATTACGTAAAGAGGGGATACTTTATAGTGACACCACTACAAAAGCCAACATTTTGAACGAACAGTTTACTTCAGTATTCACGCAAGAGGACAGCTCCAACTTACCTGAGAAACCCAAGAGTCCTTACTCACCTGTCCCAGACATCACAGTCCATCAGGCCGGTGTCCTGAAGCTCTTACACAACATCAACCCATACAAGGCCACTGGTCCAGACAACATCCCAGGGAAATTACTGAAAGAACTAGCAAATGAAATGTCACCTATACTCACCACCATATTCAATGTTTCAATACAGCAAGGAAAGATACCTGATCAGTGGAAAGAGGCACTTATAACACCATTATTTAAGAAAGGAGACAGAGGAAAGGCTTCTAATTATAGACCAGTCTCTCTAACATCTATCTGTTGCAAATTAATGGAACATATATTACACAGCAATATCATCACACATCTTGAGGCAAATGGAATATTATCGGATTACCAACATGGGTTTCATAAACAAAGATCTTGTGAATCCCAGCTCATCATAACACTCCAGGAGCTAGCCGATGGATTGAATAGTGGAGACCAAATGGACTGTATCCTACTCGATTTCTCAAAAGCCTTTGACAAGGTGCCCCATCAAAGACTCCTGAGTAAATACTACTATTATGGTATCAGAGGCAGGACATTAGAGTGGATTAATAATTTTCTGAATGGTCGTACTCAGAAGGTCATCCTAGAAGGGAAGTCATCAAGAACATCAGAAGTCACATCAGGGGTGCCGCAGGGAACGGTGCTTGGCCCACTTCTCTTCCTAATTTACATCAACGATCTTCCAGAAAGAGTAACATCAACAGCCCGTCTTTTTGCTGATGACTGCTTACTATACAGAAAGATCAGTAAAGAAGAAGACACCAACTACATCCAACCTTGATAGACTGCAGTCATGGGAAAATGATTGGTTAATGTCATTCAACCCAGATAAATGTGAAGTGCTGCATGTGACCAACAAAAGAAACCTATAATAAGAAACTACACCATCCATGGAAAGAACCTAGCCACAGTAAAGTCTGCAAAATATCTAGGTCTTAACATCAGTGGCAACTTATCATGGAATCAGCACATCGGAACAATTACAAAGAAAGCAAGCAACATCAATGCTTTTCTGAGACGCAACATCAGCACATGCCCTAGCACTATCAAGGCGCAGTGCTACACCACCTTAGTGAGACCAATAGTGGAGTATACTTCAATCATATGGGACCCAGTAACACAGAAAAACATCTATGAACTGGAAATGGTGCAAAGGAGAGCAGCATGCTTTGTTACTGGAAATTACAGAACAACTAGCAGTGTGACCAGGATGCTCGAAGATCTGCAATGGCCAACACTACAAGAGCGCAGACATAAAGCAAAGGTCATCATGCTTTACAGTATTGTTCACCATCTTGTTGCAATACCATCACAAAACTACCTTGTACCAAGGGGAGCTAACTTAACAACACAGGGTCATAATATCAGGTTCCTGCTCCCTTATTCCAGAATTCAGGGTCATCAGCAGTCTTTCTTTCCATCTGCCATAACACTGTGGAACAATCTACCATCTACTGCTGTCAACTCCTCTAGCCTGGAGGGTTTCAAGAACAGCATTGGAGCAATCAGAATGACCTAATTCCAACATTTTTAATTGTAAATAGTACCAGAATGGTTTTTATGTACTGTAAATAGACCGTTGTTTCCCTTTGGGCAAGTGTACATAGTGACAATCACGACATTACACCAGAAGGTGGCTTGTGATTTAAAGGAAGAAGAAGAAGAAGTCTGTATCATCCAGACGTTTGCGTTTACCTCCGTCTGTATGATACAGACTAAGTTTAAGAAAGCTATATAGCTAATTCAAACTATATATATAATACTGACTACACCTGATAAACAAGCGTACACCTGCTTATAATTCCGTTCAACAGCTGTTCAAAAACACATTCTTGAAGGGAAATTTTTTAGAAGAATTGTTTATCACTTTGAACAGCTGTTAAATTGAATGCACTCTGTTTGGCTGTCACCCACGACAGCCATTACTGGTCAATTGCAATGAACTGACCAGTCAGCTTATATCATTGATAAACTTTGATTGTACTTACAACAATCTATGAAATTCGGTTTCACTTGAGAAAGAAAATACTATGGTTTCTTATCTTACGAGACCCTCTATTCAGAATATGGACAGATTGACAGCATACTTTACACTTACATGACAGTGATGAATCGAGAGAGATTGAATCAAACAGCTGATTATGTAATACCGGAAGTTGTATTCAAACTATAAATCCGAAAAAACAAATGCAACCCATTTTTTCCCGAATAAATCATTGAAAAGATCAGCATCAGCAAATGGGCGAGATCTGGACCGAGGCCGCCTTGAGTCAGAGGTCAGGGTTTGTCTTCCGGATTGTAAAATGTAAAATAAATTAATAAAATTTTGAATTGCTTTAAATTCACTTAAAAAGTTGTTACAATAAAGATTCTGACATTTTGAGACAAGAAAACCCACGTTTAAAAAATCGTACCACTCGTATATATAATACATAATCTCTACAGTTAGCTATCTATTTTATTTTCCATTATTACTACAATTTGTGCTTTTTAGTCTGATTCTTGTGTTTAATGTAGTGCTTAATTTAACTTGCTATTATGATAATTTTTTTTATTTATTTTTGTTTCTCTTTTAATGGAAACATTTTATATTACAGTTTTCCGTTTCTTTTCTATTAATCACTGGGTTTGTGGAGATGGATGAACAAGGCGTGTAGAGTCCCTATAGCTTCAGATATATGTACATGTAACTTGAAAATCATGTTCAGTTTGTGAATTTAGTATTTAGAGTATAGTTCTCTTTATTGAAATTCATGAAATTATGATAAACAAAACTTTTCCGAGGAAAATTTTCCCGGCAAAAATTATTCTATTATCAAAAAATAATGTGGTATTCGTGGGGTTCGAACCCTAGCAATAAAAATCCTGAGTATCATTTTACTTTAAGTTTGTGATATGACCCTTGACTAAATGGACTTCAAGTATTTCTCGGAAGATGCAAAACAATGCTGTGTCATGAAAGTCTTTGCTCCATGTTTTTTGTCAACCAAAAGATATATATTTTTACGCAAACTTTGAAGATAAACTTTCAAAACAAAAAACAAAAAAAAAAAAATGGAGCGAAGACCCACTCATATCGAAATATTGTGTTACATGTATAGTACTAGTATGCGAAAATGATCCCTTTTGCCCTCTTTAGTGTGTGTATGCTATTTCATAGACAAATAATTCAATCTTTGTGAGATTTTTGCAAATTGTGGTATACTATATATAATGTTAGATGAAATATCAAAGAAAATTTTGTTATAATTGAGAATGAATTTTTTACCTTCGTGTTTGTTGCACTATAGGCACCTGGCTTGCTTGTTCGCCCATCTTCTTTGTTTTATTTACCACGTGTGTGTAATATATGTGCATTTGTTTTTGCATGCATGCTTAAAGCGTATTATGTTGTATGTTATTCCTGTGATATTTTTAGCTGTGATAGTCGGTTTAACAGCTCTACAGAGCTCATATGTTCATTGTCATACTATGTACAAAGTGTCGACTTTAAATAAAATTTACTTACTTACTTTTATCATTTTTCCCCCTAAGATGAACAGTGATTCATCTAAAATCTTTCAATTTAAGGAAGCAAACAAATAATGGTTGCATTCAGCAATTAAACGTCCAGATCTTCGCATCGCAGATATTCTAAGCTTGACAGATTATTGGTATGATTCACACAATGAAATATGAGCTTCACAAGCAATAAGGAAATCCAAACTGCAATGCATACACATCAAAGAACAATGATGAACAGTGCTTAATTTGATTATATACTATACAGGGACAATTAATCTCTAAAACTTAACAAAATCGGAAATTGATATAAGGTATAGAAGTATAGGAATTTGGGTTTGGTATTTTTGATCAGTTTTCGTGTCCAATAAAATGTCTTAAAAGGGGGCGGGAGGGGGTTACACTATCCACACGTCAGATGCCTGTGTTATATACTAAACAATGAGCAGAGACATGAATAACAATATGTATCTGATTATGGGAGTAATTTTTTTTTATTACAGAAACAATGAAATACCTATAATTATAGAAATCAATCAAGCCTACAAAATATTATTTCATCTTCTATATAGGTACAGTGTACGTATATATAGATCTATTCATTTAAGGCCGTTGGCTCGCCGGGTCAGGTCAGATCACCCAGGTTTCGGATGTTTTAAACTAATTATACTGCATGGTATCAATAACTGTACGTTGAGTTAGAATGGATTTAAAAAAAATTAAATTATTATAATTCCGCGGGTATGATTTTTTAAAATAAAAGTTTATTCTACGTTATTATTTTGAATTTCCATATGGAATGAAATATGAAGATAACAAACAGTATTCAAGCTCGAAGTCCATTAAAACAATGCAAATCGGGAGCAGAGCAAACACGGACCTCCAAAAACAGCAGAGGTTGGATCAGGTGCTATGGAGGAGTGAGCATCCCCTGCAGACCGGTCACACCCGCCGTGTGCTTCTTGTCATGATCGGGAAAAAAACGGGAAAATCCGTAGACAATTCAGTGTGTACAGTAAATAATGGCCTAACAATAAGTATGAAAAACGTCAGTCAGCATTTGACTTAATGAAAAATTGTATTTGCTGACAAGGTCATTGTATTGACCATAAAACTTGCAAAATGATGACTTCAAACGAGACTGTTGATATCCTTGTTTCATCAACTTGTTTGTCAATAGCTTGTCTCGTTATAGATATTTTTCGTACGTAGAACATGCTCTTGTGTATCGAATCAACTGGGAGAAGAAAAAAAACATGCAGATGATAAGGGTATATTGCTACATAAGTAATGGAAGTTGAATACATTGTAAATACTAGTATGTGCTAGAAGAATTTTATTTATAAATATTTAAATATCCTTGGACCCGGAGTGTATATGGGGGGGGGGGGGGGTAGAATGAATTAAGAACATTGATTTTTTTATGGCTACACTGCCTCAGAGTTCCTGACTGGTCATAAATCCTTTGTTTAATCCCCACCCCCTTTCAGGCATTTGTTTTTGTACATGTAATAAAAGTTTACCTCCATAGTGTTAAAATTACACTACAATGACTATATTTTTTTTTATACAGAAACAAGTGTCTATGCCCTCCCAACCCATGCCCCCTGACAAAATTCCCACAGAGTCGACATTTTATTAGCGATATGTTGAATGCTTTGACAAAATAATCAATGCTGAAGTTCCTGGAAGTTTCCAATAGCTGAGTGGCAAAATTCTATGCGAAGCAAGGTTATCCACACTCTTCCGTGACCTGCTCATTACACCGCGCTTCAAGATGAGCCAGAGATACAAGGTGTACGTGACACGCCGAATCCCCGACCCAGGGACGAAGCTGTTGGGCACCTGCTGTGACGTTACTTTTTGGGACAGTGATGACGTGATTCCACGAAAAGAGCTTTTGAAGAACGTGAAAGGAGTGGACGCAATCTTGTGCATGCTGACGGATAAAATTAACGATGAAGTTTTGGAACATGCAGGTAAACAATTTTTTTTTATGTAACTGAGTTGCTTCTCTTGTAATTTAGGTACTCAGTGCTAACGTGAACAAGTTTGGGATTAGTTTGAATACAATTAATTTCTCTGAATTTATTTAAAATAATGTATTTATTTATCCAGTACAATCATATAAACTACATTTTATCAATAATAATTCCAAAGTATTAAACATCTTTAGCCGTTCTAGACGCTCTGACCTTGTTTGTTCACGTAGAGGACGATTGTAAAATATAGCGCAATATTCTAAATTCGATCGATCCCGCAGTTCCAATCCATATAGTCAGCAGATGTAAGTCAGGCCGGATTACAAAGAATGATGTCTTGCCACAGTCAACAACATTTCCAGAATTCCCTTCAAACAAACTACTCACTACAGTACGACTAGTTGTGCATTGCAGTAGTTCATTTTCACAATTATTTGTACACATTTCGTTTATTAAGTCTATAACATGCCACGAATTCCCAAGCAGTCGAGATTTGGGGTGAATTAAATAAAAGCCAGGCATGTAGATTCCAATACGTGAGTGCATACACATTACCCTGTCATTCCCCCCCCCCCCCCAAAAAAAAAAACAGCAACATTTGAGTTTCAATTTTATTTTATGTAATATTTTTCTATTCAAATTCCATAATAATTATTACATGTATGTCTATATTATCAAATCTTAAATAGTTGCCGCATCCAAATAAATTTTTCATTTCTATGTAATTAATATGAATTTCAATCACTTTGGTTAATGGTATGATATGCACATGATATATGATTTAAAATACAATATTATTTTTTTTGATAACATTTATTATACATGTACTTGTTTCTGAACGTTAAAGATAGAGAAAACGATACCAAAATATCAGTAAAATGTCCAGCCTTAACTAAATATATACATATACCTACAATAAGTGTCCATGGAAGTTTTAGTTTAAAACAATACATGTATTACTATAAGGCTTTAATTTTTTAAAGAAAACCGAAAACCAAACGGGAAGAGTACCTGAATATTTGCACAATATTGTCCCCAATAAACGCGAACATGTATCAACGTACAATACTCGTAATAAAGAAGATTATGTTGTTCCAAGATGCAGATTAGAATTATTTAGGAATTCCTTCGTACCCGATGCTATAAAACAATGGAATTTACTAAAAATAGAGGTTAGGGAAGCCATCTCAATTAATTCATTCCGAAAAAACATGGTAGGAAAACTGAAAAATCCACCATCATACTTTTCTTATGGAAAGCGATATACCAATATCATTCATACTAAGCTAAGACATTATTGTATACTAAACTATGATTTATATAAACGAAATATTATTAATAGTCCTTCGTGTTCGTGCGGAAAACGCGAAGATGTGTACCATTTCTTTTTTGCATGCAAAAATTATTCCAATGCTAGAAATACTCTTTTCAATCGCTTGTTCATGCTTGAATTGGTCACTATTGATTTAAACCTATTTCTATGTGGTGATGAAAATTTGCCTTTACAGATAAATAACAGTATTTTTGCTGCTGTTCATAAATTTATTGATGAAACATGTAGATTTTCTTAGTTGATATGTTAAATTTTATTTGTATCATTTGTATTATTTTTCTTTAATTTGCATGACATTGTATTATATAAGGAGAGGAACTAGTAAGTTATTTTAGAACTTGTTTCCAATCCTTTTGATTTAATCAATAAAATATGTTCAAAACAAAACCGAGAAAGCATGATTTTTTGTAGAAAAATGACAGGAAAATATTTGGTAAAACCCCAGAAGCTTCGGGGGGGGGGGGGGGCACACGGCGGTCCAGCTAGACCGCCTCCCGTTCTCGTCGGTACACTATCACGATGAAAATTTTACTGTTATAAGAGGTTTTTCTAGTTTCTAAAATTAAGTTTCTGTTTTGTGTTTTTAGAACAACTCTTTCTAAATTCTTGAGCTTTTCAAATTATTTTCTTTACTGCATTTACGACTCTTAGTCTTTATTGAATTAAAACATCGGTGATTTCAGGTAATCCAAGTTAATTGGGTTTAACACCTGTCATCGTTTGGTATTGCTAAATCATCTTCAGGCAAAATAACATCAAAAGGACGATAATCTGGCCCTCAATTATTTTAAGGGTTTACTCAAGTGTCAAAATCTTATCTATTTATTTCCAAATGTCATTTTTACACATGTCACACCATAATTGTTATATATACTGTTGAATTTGTTTGGATGATCAGTCGAAATCGGACAGTAGTCCCAAGTACACTGACCTGTAACAAAATTTGTCAGTTAAGTTTAAAACGCCGGTCGGAGTTTGTCTTGTATCTGTTTAATAAGACTCATAGCTAGAAAGGAACGCAAATCGTGGCTGACAGAATCCGTGCGCGGCATCGTAAGGGAACTCAAAGAGAAGTTCTTCAAGCGAGCAATAAGACGTTCCTAGTTTCTACATGGTTTTGTCCTCTACAAAAATTAAAAAATTTTCGATTAAAATTTGTATACAAATTTAAATTGAAAAATTCTAAATTTTTGTAGAGGACAATACACTTTACTTTCATGATGGCTACGCGCCTGAAAGCGCAACTTGCACTCAGTTCAGTTTTTACTCTATAATTGTCGACTTTTATGATTTTAATATATAAACATGAAAACTGCATTTTACATTTACACAAGAATGTTAAAAATATAAAATATCTCATTGAAAAGTAATGTGTAAGGTTATTTAAGAACATTTCTAATAATAGCTTTTAAGTTTAGATATTTCTTTATAAATTGTACATATTTCTTAAGTTTTTATAAAATGAATATTTAGATAAATGTGAAATTCTTCCATCAACTAAGGTCAGCAGCTTTGAGGGTTTGCAAACAAGTTTTAAATTAAAATTGCTAAATCAATCAACATTAAAGTAAAATTGAAGCTAATTCCTTTTGATTATTTTTCATTTATTTATTTTATTATTTTTTCTTAAATAGACCCTCTGCATGTACTAGCAGATTTTTGAAAGGGAGGTTGAGGGGGTAATATTCGTTAATAATTTGAATTTCTTGTGAGGTTCTAATTGCAAATTATCCCCGAAATATAAAATGCTGTTGTACATGCATGGAATCAGAATAGGAAAACTGGAATTATTTGATTTCTCTTAAAGATTACATTCTTAAGTCTTTGTGAAACAGGTCCAAAATTACAAGTGGTGTCCACAATGTCTGTTGGGTATGAGCACATAGACCTCAAGGCTTGCCAGGACAAGGGGATAGCGGTGACCAATACCCCTAATGTGTCCTCGGACAGCGTGGCGGAACTGACTGTAGCGTTAGTCCTTCTCACGGCTAGACGACTTTTAGAAGGTAATTTCTGAGGAAGAGGATAATGATAATTATGATGGGATATAGAAGAGATGATGTTGCAGCTGTATAAACTCTTTAAATCATCTAACTAAAGTTATTCCTTTACATGGACAAACTGTTTTAATTTTTTGACATTTTGGTACCTATGGGCTGGCTCATTTTTACTATTTTGTAATGGCATCTAGTACATTATTTTCTCAGGTGCGTACGCAGTGAAGAATGGGAATTGGGGAAAGTGGCGGCCTATGTGGTTATGTGGCGTGGAGATGAAGAAGAGAACCCTGGGGATAATGGGTCTGGGGCGTATAGGTTATGGGGTGGCCAAGAGAATGAGACCGTTTGGTGTGGGACGAATTGTTTATCACGATGTTCAGAAACTGAGCTACGACTCGGACTTTGGAGGAGAGTATGTGGAATTTGAAGATTTAGCTAAAGAATCGGACATTTTGTGTATTTGTTGCAATCTAAATCCTCAAACGAAGCATTTATTTAACAAAGATACGTTTCAAATAATGAAAAACTCCGCTATTCTTATCAATACAGGAAGAGGCGGAGTTATTAACCATGTTGATCTTTTTGACGCTCTCACTTCCAACCAAATTGCAGCAGCGGGACTTGACGTCACGGATCCAGAACCCCTTCCGGTTGATCACCCGTTACTCACACTAAATAACTGTGTCATTCTTCCGCACATGGGAAGTAATACGTGGGAGTCGAGAAACCGGATGGCAGAAATTGCGGCAGAAAATGTCATAACTGTACTGAACAACGGCCACCCTAAAGGGGAAGTGCTTAGAAGAGTTGTATTTTAGCTAAATAAGTAACTTGGTTAATTAAACAAATGAACATTACAGACCTGATTATTTTATATCGCTTTATTTTAAATTTTTAGATATACAGTGTATATAGTTATGTCGTGCATACTATGTCTTATATTTATATATCAAAAGAGCAATTATATATTCTTTTATTGATATAGCATCGAGGCAGTTTCACAAAAAAATAAAATGTAAAATCAACTTTTTTATTCCTTTTCACTCGAGTTTGAATAAACAAGCCTTTGGTGGGAGGCAGTTTTATTTACTTTCGAACTCTATTTACGGTAGAAATTTATGGTCCCCCTACTGGGTTTACTTTTGCCGTTCAAGTACATGTTCAAGTTACAAACAGGCCTTTTAAGCATGAAATAAATTATACGGTGAGAAATGAAGGAAATGGCTCTATTCTGTTATTTTTACGATATTGTTTAGTCTAGAAAAGAGGAAAGAATCACAAGTGAAAATTTTCATCTGTAGAGAAAATATAAGAAACAAGAGGCCCATGGGTCACAATGCTCACCTGAATAACTTTGACCCTTCTGTTCTTCATCAGAAGATTATTTTCCCTATATATTCTTAATATGTAAAATTTAGATCACAAACTGTGGCCCAACCCTACCCCATGATTGGTCATGATTTGAACAAACTTGAATTTACACTACCTGAGAATGCTTCCATATCAATATGACTAATGGGTTTGCTGTTCTTCATCGTCGCAAACCACAGTTTGAGTCCACAAAAGACAGAATCGACATGAATCACCAGTGGGTTACCCATGATGGCTGCTCTTGAGAAGAGGATTTTTAAAAATAATTCTGGTATATTCACTCTGTAAAACTTTGATTACCCATTGTGGCCCCACCTACCCCCAGGGGGTCATAATTTGAACAAATTTGAAGCTACGCTATCTGAGGATATTTCCATATAAATATGACTCATTATCAGTTTGCTTACCTTGAGAAAAAGATGTTTAAAGATTTTTTCTATGTATTCCTACATAAAACTTTGATGGCCCATAGTGGCCCCACCCTACCCTTAGGGGTCATGATTTGAATAAACTTGAATCTACTCTATGTAAGGAAGCTTTCATTTAAGTTTCATCTTTTCTGGCCCAGTAGTTCTTGGGAAGAAGATTTTTAAATGGCCCCATCCAATTTTCACTATTTCTTTATATATCTACCCTTGAAAGAGGACACGGTCCTTCGTTTGGAGAAATTTTAATCCCTTCATCTAAGGACACTCTGTGCCAAGATTGGTTAAAATTGGCCCAGTGGTTGCTAAGAAGAAGTTGAAAATGTGAAAGATTTACGACAACAACAACGGCCACAGACAACGAACAGATTTTGTTCAGAAAAGCTCATTTGAGCCTTCGGCTAACACCATGCATAATACAGTCAACGAAGACATGAATGTACGCATGAGAACCTACATGTATGTACAAACTTTCAGATCAAAAGGTTTGTCTTAAAGCTGAACACGATTCGTAAAAGGAAGAGTTATCTTTGTCCGCCATATAAGTCGTTTTCCAGTCCCTAAATAAATAGGCCTAAGCCTCTGACAGCTTTGTTCAGAGTTCAATGTACTCCACCTGAATGGATGTCTCATACTTGGGCGCGGGCGCGACAAAAATGACTTCTGTATGCCTTAGCCAAGTCAGGAGAAAAAGTTACCAAATACATGTAATATACATGTATATTCGATATCAATATAGTGATTTTAATATTTAATATCATCTTTCATCCAAGTATTTCTTTCATCAAAAGTTGACATACGGAAAACTACCGAATAATAAGGTTTGCCATTGGCACAACTTAATTAAATTTTGGCGTGGTATGTTCTAAAAGCATTTGAAGTTATATAGTTTGCTTTTTTCATCCTTTGGTATAAATTTTTATCTATGGTGACGTTCTGGTTGAAAATTAGGATTTTCTTTCAGTTTACTTCCATTTGAAAAAAATGATTAAATTTTTTTTGTTAAAGTAGAAAACACAATTCACATTCGAGGAACTTTTCTTTAAATAAAATCAGTATCCCCCGTAGTTTTATTTAGTTTGAACACTTAATTAAAAAATCCAAATCTGCATATTATAATAATAAAATAATGTGCCACAATTTTTTTAGTACATATAGGTCTATAACATTTGAATATCTGATTTTAACAACTTGATCATCGGATGTCAAATTAATTAACTTGCATCACCCTGTGAGTGAACGTACGTACAACAGTTCCGTGCTCTAAGAGTGACATTGCATCATCCAATAAAGTACGCTAGCTGTTTTGTTATGAACATTATGGACATTAATTATTATAAATATTAATCTTGCTTCTAATCCAATCCAACTATGTAAATATGCAAATCCCTGTATTTGATAACGGGGCGCTATTATTGTTGAACACGATACAAATACGACAGCAAATCGGATATAAGTAAAATGTACTCAAGTAGAACGGACTGACGTCACGAGGAAGCTAAACATAAATATACAAACAGATTTCCCCCAGCCGACTTCACAGGCCAACAGAACAGAGCAGAATGAAACCTCGGTCTAAAATCTACGTGACAGCCGATGTCCCCCAATCTTGTTTGGATGTTCTGTTAAAAGTGGCAGATATTTCCATTTGGGAGAGTTCGGACCCGGTTCCTAGGGGAGAACTGTTGAACGGAGTGCGAGGCGTGGAAGCCCTGCTCTGTACAAGCTCTGACATTATTGACAAGGATGTAATCGAATGTGCTGGTAAGTATACGATTTGTCGACAATTTCGGGCTATACTTATGATGTTGTTGGAGGGGGAACACTTTTTTTTAATCCTAGATATAGTTTCTTTGAAATAAGCGACACACATATATTTTTTATTTATTTCACAACTTTGTTGCATAAACACTGATCATCAGCTGATCATATGCCCTGAAATATTTAGATACATAATCGAAGTGACTCGTCAATCAAGGAAAAGTTAGGTGTCGGGAAACGCTTTCTTCAATATTTATATTGCATCATAGTTCCAGTGAATTGACACACACTACAGTGTATGGTTATATTAATTAGCGTATATTGTCTTCCTAGACAACCTCTGAAAGAGTCCCATGCCCACAACCAAAAATTAAAGAAAAGCCCCAATTGATGTTAATTATATTATTGTGTGTACAAGTCTTTTATTATTCTTAAGGTTACTGAATGCATATCATGTCATTATGGTTATTGCGATAATTAAAGCAATACGATGTCCTTGTCCTATTTCACGGGGGGAAATGCATATAAATGTGTGTAGGTAAACAACTTTTTAAAAACAGGTTATAATTTGGACTTTGGACCATGGGGAAGAATTATTACCGACCCACGCGATGGGTACATAAACAGTCTGGTCACGTTTACCCGTGATTAATTGATTTAGGAACTGATTACTGTCTGTTATTCGGGACAATTGAAAGAATTCTAGAAAAAAAGACTGACTAGACCATATTTATCATTGAATACGAATCATTTAACATGCAACTTCCCTATCCTGTGATCAATCAATAAGTTCTCGGTTAATTCTACGAGTTTTGTGAATCATTTTCTTTATCTTTGTGAAAAAAAAAACAATTTGACACATGACACATTAAACCGAGTACATTCCACTGAAACATATTATATATCAACCTGGGAAGTCACCGTTCATTCGGACGATGAACTTATGAACAACAGAAGTACAGTACCCTTAGTTCTAAATGACCTGGTGATCATTAGCACTTATCATAGATAACGATGTACTTATGTTCTTGATCTTACATCCAAAATAAATGTTAAATAACAACTTATCTGCCAAAAAGTTGATAACTAAAGGAACCTTTGACTCTAGCGAAATCTTAATAAAATACGTATGTGCTTATCTGTACTGTAGGTTTTGCTAAAATCATGAAAAATCTCTCTCTCTCTCTCTCTCTCTCTCAATTCTCTCTCCGTCATTTCTTATTTTAAATTCCTCTTAAATGTACATGCAAAGAATATACATCAAAATCCTAAAATGACGATTTGTAAATGAATATTAAACTCTGCTCAATTTTACAGGACCAAATTTGTGTGTAATAGCCACAATGAGTGAAGACGTCAACCACATTGACGAAGCCGAGTGTCAGAAGCGGAAAATAAAAGTAGTGACCTTCCCAAAGATGTCCAAAGACACTGTCGCTAACCTTACCCTAGCTCTTCTCAGTCAGACCATGGGGGGTCTGGACCAGCCCACCTATTCCAAGTACGTCCTTGGTGACAAGACAGTCGGCATCGTGGGATACGGCCATGTGGGCCAGGCTGTGGCCGAGCGCTTCCATGGGCTGGGCGCCGGGAAACTGCTCTACAGTGACCTCACCCATACGGAGAATCCCGAGGCTGTAGCCGAGTTTGTGAATTTCGAACGACTTGTTACTGAATCAGACATTATTTGTATATGTTGTAAAGACATGACCAATTCGACACACATGTTTCAAAAGGACGTTTTCAGGAAAATGAAGAAAGATGCTATCTTGTTAGACAGTTACTCTAAGGGTCACATAATAAACTACCCTGATCTTTACAACGCCTTGAGAGAGAATCGGATTTATGCTGCCGGACTCGACGTACGGGACGTTAATCAAACACACCCGTTCAAGACGAATTTGAATGCACTGTACAATTGTTACTTTTTTCCATATAGGGAGTGTAATCACGTTTGGGACTTGCGCAGTGCCGCTTCTGCATCAGTTGCGCGCAGCATCGCTGCGACATTGCGGGTAGATAATAGTTCCGAGGTATGTGAGAGATGATAAAGAGTGATTTACCACGTGGTCTGTGATTCATATTTAGACTGTAAACTATAGAGAATTAAACATGGTACAATGATTGCTTCTAATATTCGTTATAGAATTATTGTTGCATCATATGTGAAAAATAAGAATGTTATATGACAGCATATTGCTGTAATCTCATGTAAATAGTTGTACATATTTTATTAGATCTTTAGTTTTTTGTTAATTGAGTTTGATGTCATCTTCATAATAAATAAATCGGATGTTTTTTTTTTAGTCAACAAGCATTATAAAAGTACTGAAACAGCAATACTAGGTCCTCTTGCGAAATCTGAAGTATATAATGCGGGGAAAAATTACTAATGGACAGTTATGGATGATGAGTCCAAGACCGTAATTCCATAGCAATCATCGAAGCGGAACGAAATATATAACTGGCATAGCAAGAATTGACACAGTATCGACAAGCAATCGGAGAAAAGGTCTGGAAAACATGTAAATATACTGTCTAATGAAGATGGGCGAATGAGCCGAGAAACATACCCATGGTTCAATTGATTGATTGTTGTTTTAAGTCCCTTGCAAGCATTTTTTTACTCGTTTGAGATGTCACCAAATACCGTTGAAGGGCTTCAATCTAGACTAGGTCTACATGTATTCAGGAAGACAAGTCGACGGGTTGACAAGTCGACAGGTGGACGAGTCGACGGGTTGACAGGTCGACAAATTGACAGGTAAACGAGTTAACGGGTTGACAGGTAGACAGGTCGACGGATTATTATCTCCAGTGGGCTCCTGCACTAACCCTAATCTCTCGGGTGGGTTTGAGGACTAACCCTAATCTCTCCGATGGGTTTGAGAACTAACCTTAATCTCTCAGGTTGGTTCGAGGACTAACCCTAATCTTTCCGATGGGTTAGAGGACTAACCCTAATCTCTCGATCGGGAGGGTTCGTGAAAATACTTTCCCAATTGGGTGTCAACTGTCGACCTTTGTTGTGATGGATACAATTAGCAATTTGATGTCGACCTTTATTTAGGGATAAGAGTTTACCAATTAAGTGTCGACCTGTCGACTTTTGTGATAACAATACACGTTAAGTGTCAAATTGTCACAATTTATAGAAAAACTCTTCTTGTGGACTATTTTTTAAACGCATTTATTTGACGTAATAAGGCAAACACTCACTTTTTTGTTTTATAAAGGAAATATTTCTTTCCTTATTTTAAATTTGAAAGATGTTAATCGGTTTTACGGATCTACTTTTCCGTATACCCTAGTTGAACCATAGATACAAGGTCAAGGATGGAAATTTATATAAAGCACTAAAAATGACCAACGACACGAACAATAGAAACTGTTTCTTTGTTCGTGTCGTTGGTCATTTTTAGTGCTTTATATATATATATATATATATATATATATATATATATATATATATATATATATATATATATATATATATATATATATATATATATCCAGGGGGGGGGGGGGGGTCCAACATACACTACATTTTAAATATGAGAGGCTGTTCACGGTAGCTCAGTCGGTAGAGTGCTCGCTTCGTGATCGGGAGGTCGTGAGTTCGAATCTCGGCCGCGACTGACCTAAGTCGATAAAAAATGGGTAGCAACTGTTCCTTCGCCATGCGTTCGGCAATTTGAAGTGAAAGTTGCGGATCCTTCGGATGAGACCTTAAAAACCGAGGCCCTGTGTCACGGCAGGCAATGGCACAATAAAGATCCCTCACCGCTCAATGGCCCTGAGTGCCGAGTAAAGGTAAAAATTTGAAGCCTTTCACCGGTATATGGTGACGTTTCTATATGAGTGAAAAATTCTTGAATGGGACGTAAAACAACATACAATCAATCAATTAAATATGAGACTATCAATTAAATATGAGACTATTGATTCAGAAAGGAAGACAACAATAGTATTTTGAACGTAAAGCTAGCTCTTTCAAAACAGAATTTTAAGTTCACTTTTGATTTACACAAAAATGCGCATTTTAAACAATAAAATGCTTTCTTTGGTTGTTAGTACGGGAATTAATGTCGCAGCTGTTGCAGAAAAAATACATAACCCGCGTAAGCGGGTTATGTAAATTTTTTTCTGCAATAGCTGCGACATTAATTCCCGTACTAACAAACAAAGAAAGTCATTTTATTGTTTATAACTATATCTGTATAAAAAACATTCAAAGTAAAATTAAACATGTTAAATATTGTATTGTAGATGTGTATGTCATTGTATGTATAATTGATGGAACAGCCGTTGCTCAAGAAATCTATACAGGTGGCTTGCTTAGTGTTGTTAACTCATTGATAAACGGCAATGGGTTTCTTAAGAAATAAGGAAATAATATTCAAAGAATGTAAATATAGTGCCATACACATATGACGTTTCTACTGAAATCTGTTGTTTAAAAAAAAATTCTCGAAATTTGGCTTACTGCCACACGTATATCTTGGAAAATCAAAATACATTGACACGGTTTTTGGAAGTAAAGATGTAAACAGGATAATATTTGCTTATTATTGATCGGTATGCACTACTTGTATGCAATTAAAAGATAAAGATATAAATTTCTATGGCATCTCACACGAGAACAGCGAACAAACAAACAAAAAGATCACAAGAAACCACAGAATGTTACTATATGTTATATTTGAACATTATTTTCATACATTTTTGGAACATCGATTTTATTCATGAAATGACAGACAGGAGTTAAGTTCCTTGATAAGTTATTCCGCCTCAGAGCTTTAATGAAAGAGGATGCCTGAACACAGAGTTTACATAACCCGGCAAGTTGGACAGGAGGCACTGTCGATTTTAAAGGGAAAATGTGCAGTTGAATTATGGGATAGTGAAGACCCCATTCCAAAAGAAACACTTTTAAAGGCCGTGAAGGGTGCAGCAGCCTTGTTCTGCACAGTCAGCGACACCATTGACAAAGACGTTCTGGAAGCGGCGGGTAATCAAAGATTTGTTTCCAATAAGCTTAGTAGATTTGTCTTTCTTGAACAGAAACTGCATTTCTTTCAGTTCTATAAATATTTTTCAGGACCCTGTCTGAAGGTGGTAGCCACGATGTCTGCTGGCACAGATAACATAGACGTCTCGGAGTGTTGTCGCCGTGGGATAGAGGTCTGCAAGACACCGGACATCGCAGCAGACGCAGCCGCAGACATTGCGGTGGCGCTAATATTAATGACATCACGAAAAATTGTCCAAGGTAGGCGAAAATATCATGTCATATACAATGGCACAAGGTTAAACTGTACATATTCAGTTGTCAGGGATTCATACCAAACACTCGCAAAGTATTCCATATGTTCATTTCTATAATGACGAGGGTACTCCGATTTATCAGGTTCAGTCACATGACTCACTTCACTGCAGAAAATTAACTTATAACAGCCATAAATTAAAATCTTACACTGTGTTTTAAAATGTGCTGAAAAAGGTAATACTTAAGAACTAATTCCCGCGTCGGAGGAATTATTGTGATGACGTTTTTGGTTTATTAGAGAATAATGACCGCGGCATCTCTCTGATCTTTGTGATAACCGTATAGTAGAATTAAGCTCATACCACGATAAACGTCTTCTACCATCGTACAGTATATTAAGGAAAGTAATAGTTCTATGTAGAATACTGAAAATAATTTGAAAATTGGCGTCATAATACAAAAAATCTGTGAGATAGAAAACAATCTTTTCTTCGATTTATTCATACAAAATGTAGCAAACTGCACTGAAGTTTTAGTGAAATGTCGTCAAAGACTAGAACATCATACAATCTTTCCATGTCTCAATAGAAGCGCCGTTTACATGTAGTTTATGACCATTATGCTTTTTGAAAGAAAGAGAAAGGACTACTGGTATATTATAATATGATTTCGATATAAGACACGTGTCCTACCTAATAAGCGCAGGCCACTGTAGTTAAGTTGCAAAATTATTTTTTCAGATTCCAAAGAAAGATTTTTGAACTGATTTATTTAATCAGATAAGTTTTATATATACAGCTAAAGTTCTTTCACTCAACTAAACTTTAACAAACATAGAGATAAAAAAAAAAATAAAAGGTGAAACTTCTAATCATTATTATGAAATCGCACACTATAGTATTTCCCTAGTCTGCAAATGTAGTATTACAATTTGTACTTTGATTATTTATAAATATCTACATGTGTATGTGAATGTATTTTAGGTATTGACGCCATCCGTCAAAATGACTTCCATTGCTGGAAACCATTCTGGTTGTGTGGTATGGGTCTTATTAATAAAACCATAGGAATCCTTGGGTTTGGACGGGTCGGGTTCGGAATAGCACGAAGAATGAAACCTTTCGGAGTGAAACGTATAATCTATCACGACGTGGAAGAAGTTGAATATGCCGAGAACTGTGCTGACTATGTGTCTCTGGATACATTGTTCAGCTCCGCAGACATACTTTGTATCTGTTGTGGCGTCACCGCGGTAACTAAAGGAATGGTTGATACTAAATTAATCCAAAGAATGAAAAAGACTTCCATTCTTATTAATACATCTAGAGGTGTCATTATAAACCATGACGATCTGGCAGACGCACTAAAAGATGGAACTATTGCCGCCGCCGGATTAGATGTCACTGACCCGGAACCACTTCCTGTAGGTCACCCTCTTCTGTCACAACCCAATTGTGTGATTCTACCTCATATGGGTACAAACACCACCGAAACAAGAATTGCTATGAGTACCAACACGGCCAAAAACATTCTGGCAGTTCTAAGTGCTCTTTAAAATGACTTTTAATGCATGGATTTCATTGTAATGCATGTTGCATGTAGCGTTTTTGTTTGATTTTAGAAGCTTGAGAATTATATATTGATTATACGAGTACATTAAATAAATTTTAAGTCAACTTGGTCACACAAATGACTTACTGCGATTCCTTTTGTTCAATCGTCACCTATTTCTACAGTTTTCGACTTCACCAGAACCAACGAACCAATTTCAAGCACTAAGCATTCTTGGGAATCTTTTCAAATGGAGGACCTTGTCATTTTCCACAGAAATTAATCGAGAAGGACAATGGAATTAATGTCAGGTTGATTAAACTCTGAATTGACAATTTAATAGCATTTAAGTCACAAACAACAAAAATTGCGTGGTACTTTCCTTTTCAAGTGAAGATTACAAGTTTGTTTAAAACAGGACCCTTTGGGACCAATAAGTGGCAACAGAAAGGGTCAAAACTTTTACATAAAATGTAAAGGAACAATTATCAAGAACTACTAGACTACCGACTTCAGACTTTCAAACTTGTCTACAATCTCTCTCGTGTAGATTCAAATCTGTGGCAAGGATTCGGGTATCATAGAATTCCGAAGTTTAACATGAAAAATTGAAAATGCATGCATGCGCTTTTGCAGATTTATATTTTTTCTTATATTCTTCAAGATATTTTTTTTTTTCGAGGTTTAAAAAACCCAATTTACGCGTTTTAAATTTCTCAAGAATAAAATTTTATTTACAGTAATATTTCTCTTAATTTGTCGTCTTTACGTATCCCGTATAAAGTAAGGAAGCTCATGAAGTTCAGCCCTATAATTTCTATGCCAGCCTCCTTGTTTGACGCCCCCTCTAAGAACATCATTCCACTGTCCCCCCGGCAAGTACACGTCACGTGACCTTGCCCCCTTGTCCAGAACTGGTGCCACAAGAATGTCGTTTCCCAGGAGGAATTCCGAATCTATTGTCAGCGCCACCTCGTCTGTTGGTGCTATCCACCATAAGGGTCTTATGATGGGTGCACCAGTGCTCGTGGCTTCCCTTGCAAGTTTTAGGAAAGTGTCTGTGTAGTCATCGTGAAGCTGAATAAATTTACGAGTAAGGTTTATTACTTCCTCGTCGTATTGCCATGGTACTATGGAAAACTGAAGCGAAGGTAGAAAAACATTAGCTTGCATCCAACGGATGTAGAGTTCTCTCTCTGGGTGAGTATAATATGCATTCCCTCCTATCATATCCGGAAGTATAAATGGATATCCCAGAATGCCAAAGGTCAGTGCCGTAGGGATCAATGTTTTCAGTCCATTGGTGTAATCCCAGTTGCTGTCTTTATCGAGCATTCTTACAAATATGGGTAAATCCTGAGTTTTATAGCCGACACGCACTTCTTGGTGACGAACTGTTTCATCAGATTTATACGCAAGCTTTGCCCATTGTTTGCTGTAGTCGTTTGGAATATCAAAATTTGAAGAATAAACCAGTGGAAGCCAATTCACCTCACCAGCGTCAAATTTGAAGGAGCTTATGTTGTACGTGTTTTGGAGAAACTTGGTTTTATTTAGATACCATTCCACCGCTTCTGGATTCGTTGCATCGATTATTCCAGCAAGTTTACCGTCCCACCAAGAAACCAGTCCAGGTCGTGGGGATTCAAACTGTCGAATCAAGAAGTACCTTGATGCTGCTTCAAAGAACGCGCTCGAATCGAGATTAAAGAAAGGATGAAGCCAAACTGTGACGCGAAATCCCATGTCATTTAACTGGTTGATCATTGCTTTTGCATTCGGAAACTTTGCAACATTGAAGTCGATGTCTCCATATTTTGGTGTCCAGTCATCGTCAATTTCTAGCTGAGAGTGAGTGAAATTGTTTTTTATTATATTGTTTGCAAAGTCTATGATTAAAGACTGGTTAATGTCTTTGTGATATTGCGCCCATGTCGACCATATTGGCTTTTGGAACATAGTGCTATCAGGAATATCCGTTGGTCGAAGTTTTATGAAGGTTCTTGACATGAAATCATGAATTAATTTAACATCTGTCGACACACAGATATGGTAATTAAGTGAGGGAAGGAGCTTTTTATAGTTTTGGTAAGGGTGTTTTTCGTACTTAGCTTGTAAACATACTTTCCTGTCATTTGAGGCGTTGATGCTGATAAATAATGGCACATCTTCCTCTATATAAATACCAACCCCTTTAGAGGTAATGAAATACCTCTCCTGCACGCCCCCGAGTTTCTTTTGATATGAATCGTTAACAATAAAAGCCGATATATTTCTCGACATTTTTTCAAGAGGCCACGGTTGATAATAATCTTCAAACCCTCCGTACCAGTGTGCGTCTCCTATGTCCCAACAGTCTGACAAAACTGACTCCATACCCACCGTTACCTTCCAGTGAAACTGATAGCAAGGTACACCGCCCTCTTTCTTGTAAGATACCTCCAACTTCCTGTCACGTGGCCACTCCACAGTACTCTTCCAAACATTTGTGTTTGACCATTGTGTAACGTTAACACGCAACTTATCGTTCCACAACTGCCCCGATAGTACAGTTAGAGTTTTTCGTTTAATAACAATTTTCATATTGTTTTGAATTGCAGCTTCTCCAAGATGCATATCTTCGACAGACTTCTGTGGACTTGCATGCGAAGGCGTGTTGTTTTCGTTCGAGCGCTTAGTGAAATGCCACGTCACAACAGCGACGACAATACACACAACAAGAAAGATAAAGATGAGCACTCCAAGTTTATGTCTTCCTCCTGTCTGGCTCATTTTGAACCTATAAAAGAAACACAAAAGTAAAGGTAACCCCGTTCATTGGTAAAAATGTCTGAAATATGTAGGGGGATAGCCGACCTGGATATTCGCAATACTCCTTGCATAAATAGCTTAGCGACAGCCTTATCCGATTTAACACGGGTTCCCAGATTGGTTACCACCTCATGCAAACCTACTACTATATTCCTTGAATAAAGAGTACGCGTATACAGTAAACAGGATCATTTTCGACAAGTGTTATTTTCGCCCTATCACACTTTTTTTTCTCCAGACATTGTTGATACAAAGGTCAATCGACAAGATTTGTCCTCCCAGGTCCTCCATGAAAATTAAATGTAAATCACTTCAAACACACTTGTACCGGTTCACTAAATTCTTATCTACTACATCATCATTGCAGAGAAAGAATCGTTTGAGTTTTTGGAGATTTATGAAGTTTTGAAAATGAAGTTGTGAACAGTTGATACTCTGTTGTTTTATCACGGGAAAGAACGTAAATACTACAACAGAAAAGAAACTACATCAAAATTTTAAATCTGTGCTAAACTTGAAAAATCAGTTAAAGGAACATTCAAAGAAGTATAAAATTTAAAGGGAGACCAGCAACAGGAATAAAGAACTGTTTCCAGGTGGTTAATAACCACCTGGAAACAGTTCTAACTTAAAAAGATTTAAAGATGGAAGAGAATGTGTTAATGATAATGTACTATCTGGGAGACCAAAAAGGTTAGTAATGCAAAAACTTGCTGAAAATCAGATTTGGTAGAGTGACAGGGAAGGTACACTGCATGGCCGTAGGAACCGGGGGGGGGGGGCTTGCCCCCCCCCCCCCCCAATAATTTTGCCGATATATAGAGTACTATAGAAAAAATAGAAAAAATAGATATACTATATGCTTGTGCCCCCTCAATGAAAATGCCTGATGTCTTTTTTTTTTTTTTTTTTTTGGTCAAGGAATTTTTGGTAGTTGATAGTGCCCCCTCAACTGAAAATGTATGGCTGTGCCCCCCCCCCCCCCAACTGAAATTGCTTCCTACTGGCCTGCACTGTTAGGGACTTAGCTCGTACAGTAGGAATGTCAATGGGAGCAGTTCATAAAATTCTAACAAGAGACTTAGAATACAGGAAAATCTCTACAGGATAGATATCTCATTTACTGAGTGAGGAACGGGAAGTTAATCGTGTTTCCTGTCCGAAGAAAATAATTAAACTATTCAGAAAGAGGGAAAATCGACTTGTTTAAGACATAATAACAGGATATTAATAGCATGCATTATTTTCAGCCGCAAAGAAAGTTTGATAAAAAAAAAGTATGGATGACAAAACATGGAAAGCGTCCAGTTATTGCCTAACGTTGTCAGAGTACAAAAAGATTCACTATGCTATTTTCTTTGATAGGGAGGGTCTTTGTTGCAATTTCAAAGAGAGTAACTGGAAAGATGTACAAATGTGAAATTTTGCAGAAACTTTAACAGAAATACAGAAAAAGACGTCCAAAATCTGGTATCAATTAAGGAACTATTATTGTAGCATGATACTAGTAATGCCCCAACCCACAAGTCGAAATCAAAGATTTTCTCAGTAAGGAGGGGTTATTGTCACCCCTCACCCTGCATACTCCCCAGATCTTTTTTCCTGCGACTTTTTTTTCTGTTTCTTGAACTTAAAAGACATTTAGCTGAAAGACGACATATCTTTAGATCATCACTATGTGAAGTGTATATATATGCCTGAAGAGGAAAACGGAAAAGCGTTTTAGGAGTATAGATTTTTTCATGTAAAAAGTGCCTTTACTTTTTTTATTGCACTGAGGACAAAACATCTTGAATGACCCTCGTAACTCTGTTTAATACGCCCCAGTTTTAATTCGCCCACTGACGACGAAGCCGGTGAAAGGGGCAAAACTATAAGGGAGCAAAAATTTCTCTGTTTATACATTATCTTCCCCAAACGAAGTTTGTGAACAATGTTTTGACTTCGTTTCTTATTCCTCCGGTATTTTTTTTTTTTATCTGCGAGTGACCTCAGACACTACTTATCCGATTGAGATGAAACCTTTTCAGGATTAAAAGCATGTTTTGTAGATGCGTGAAACAAAGGTCATTTTGCGAGCAGTTGCATGCACGTGCGTGCGCGTTCGATGAGTTAAATGACATATATAATTGAAATAGCTTGAAATGTCAGATTTTTATGAAATACTTTGAAACTCAGTGCATAAACAAACACAAGTAGTCTAGGCAAGATGACATTTGAATTAGCACACGCATGCACTTGTTCTTCGTTTTGATTGGCTGGGACCAAAATCTCAATAACTTCCTTGTATTTGTTTTTGTTGTTTTTTTTAAACAAAATACTATGAAATTTTAAATGTAGGTTCATATTCTAAAATACTACAATATGACATATACAAAGTTCTTTGAAAACATGCGCATGCATGTGTGCTGCCATTTTATTGCCTGTAGATGTAAATGATCATGCATAACAACAAAATAGGACGGAATTTAGAATATAGACAAGTATAATGTTTTCCTACATAATGATACTATCAAAACTGAATGCAAGGACATGCATGCACGTGTGCTGAATTCTGATTGGCTCATTCTTTAATGACCGAATCAATCAAATGTTTTGAAATTTAACAGAAAGTTCTGTATATTATGAGATCCTTTAAGATGGTATATGTAAGATAAAATTCAAATTTATAGGCAAAGTATATGCTACCCTGCATTATATGTATCATCAGACAAGCACATGCATGAATATGAGCTGAATTCTGACTGGGTAATAATACATGTATTTCGACTTCTGTAACATTTTAAATTTTCAACGAAATTCTTTGAATATATTAAAGGTAGCTTTATATTATGAAATACTTTTAAATGATAGATGTACATGTATATGACATTTCTTGAAAACATGCGCATTCATGTAGGAACAGAAATCTAATTGCTAATACAACTGTTCTCATATGGCTACATCTGCGTTGTGATTCGAAAAATGTACTTTGGTAAATAAGTGTAATTTTTTTCATGCGAAATTATAGTCTGGTTCCCGCCCCGCCACTCCGTTTTTCACTTCGTTTTGACGAAGTGCAAAACGGAGTGGCGGGGGCGGGAACCAGACTAGCGAAATAATTGCCTAATTTATTGAAGATTGCAGGGAATGGGGCCTTACAAGGGAGTAGAGAAGCCGTTTGGGGAACATCTGTAACGGTATCCGTTACAATTAGTATTTTTATCAAACTGAGAAGTCATTTAAACAAGCTAGCAGTCAGAGGCTATTATGGGGTGGGGAGGGGTTCTTAACAAACGTCTCTAGACCTTATTTCGATTTTTACATTGTACCAAGTTGTGAGTAACAGGTCATTTCGTCGAGGTCAAAAAGCATCTCGTGAAGAATATAAAAAGTATACACTGTTTATATCTGGGGCACGGGTACATCAAGTACTATAGTGGTATACGAATGTAGGTCTCGTTACAAGGAATCTATTGCTTTGGATTGAGAGAAATGGAGGTTTGCATCTTTATTTTCTTATTCCTGGATATTACTGCAGTATTGATTTATTTTTTGTTTGATTTCATCGTGTATATGCATGTACGTCTTTATCAAAGCGTCATGTTTTTACAGTGTTGACTTTTTTGTTAAACTAAATGTACCCTTTTTGCTTTATCGAAACAAGATAGAACACTACAAATAATTTATCAATCATGCTAGTTCAGGTGAAAACTCTCTCTCTCTCTCTCTTTCTCTCTCTCTCTCTCTATATATATATGAATAAAGAAGTCAATTAGTATAATGTCATAAACTATATGCATGAAATCTTAAGATCCTAATGAACTATAATGCTTTCAGACCTTCAGATTATTAGAGCAAACATTCCACACTCACCTCTTTCGAAACACAATTCTGAAATAGTTCCAGGTAAATGAAATCAAAAATTCTTCCACCTATGTAAATGAAAAGTGGATGAACACTGATTTATCGCATTTCAATGATAAAAACTTAAATTTATATTGTATGGTGCACTGATATGGCCATTCGTTCTCTCCTGTCAAGAAACGAAAGCAAGAAAGAAGGGCGACAACTAGGGAGCGAGGGGTGAGGATAACAAAATGGGGGAGATTGAACATGAGGATTGAGGGTGAGACAGCGAAGGTGACAATGAGAGGAACTAAAGACAAACAAGTGAGAGCGCAATGGCGATGAAGCGAGGGAGAGTGAATGCAAGGGGTAACAAATCAATGTGACGTTATCATCAACCTTGCTTTGAGGTTCCCACTCCGTCGCGTTTTTCTTCGTGTGCTTTGTTGCCATAATGTGCTTGCTAAAAACAGAAAAGAAGGTGACCCTCTCTGTACACCGTAGTTTTGCCCCCTGTTTCAGAGGAATGTTTGTATTACGCCAAAGTTGACATGACAGTTTTCTCAAGTGGGAGCCCCGTACTTTGCATAAAATTACATCAAGCATGATTTTTTTCTATTAAATTTATCATATCAAACACAATCAGTGTAAATAAGTTGCCAACCATTTTAAACAGAAATGAGAATATTCTCTATGTGCTAAATATATCACTCTATCATTTATAAAAAGCTATTTCTTGAATTTCAAAGGCAAAATTTCTTCATTTTAACCGTGCCTAGAATTCTGAACCATGTCTTGAGACGAAGTAGGCAATATATTCTCTAACTAGTATATGTCTTGCAGTTCAGTGGGCTACAGGTCTACGAAAGGGGATGGATGAAAAAGAGTGGAGGAAGGGGATAGAGACACAGACGATGGCGGGGGGGGGGTCATGGAGGAGGAGGAGGGGAAATAGAGAGGATGTCATGATCAGGGAAAAGGGAGACAGAAAATAAGAATATCCTATGTACAGTAGTTGTCTATATAGGATATTCCTATTTTCTGTCTCCCTCTTTCCCGATCACCTCCATGATCTCTCCGCCATCTTCTGCTACAAAAGGGGATGGATGAAAGGGAATGGAAGAAGGGGTAGAGACACTACCCCTTCCTCCATTCTCTTTCATCCATCCCCTTTTGTTCTGCATTTTGAAATGGTCCATTACTGCTTGTATTTCAATAGAGAAAAATACTGAAACACAAATGTTTTTAGTAGCCAAGTCATCTCAATGTGTGACTATTCTGAAAATTACAAAATTTTCAGCATCAGTTCTATTAAAATGCAATTTGGTGACCCCGTCAACATTAATTACATACGATGTGCAGTTTGACGACGTTCAACACTTATTACATAAGATGTGCAATTTGGCGACCCCGTTCAACACGTACAATTATACATGTATAAGATGTGCAGTTTAATTGGTGATCCCGTTCATCTTACAAATAACATCTTTACTTTCCAACATGTTCATGTAAAAAAAAGATCAACCAAAAAACAAAACAAAACAAAAACAAAAACAAACAAACAAACAAAACAAAACAAAAAACAACCAAAAAAAAAAAAAAAAAACAACTTGGGTAGATAATTAACGTATTAACCATATATGTAATTCATTCGCAAAACTGGGAATCATGTTACTTAAAAAATCAGCTGGTTTACGATTGTAGAAAACAAATTAAGGTCAGACGACACCTTCCTCAATAATATATAATTTTTCCCAAGAATTTGTCATTGAAGTATTGGTACTTTAGCAAGTTTCCTCACAAAAAATTGAGGTACCTTACCAGGCATTTGTGCAAGATACCAAAGGGTGGTGTTTCCTATATAATTCTATTTGAAATCACTTGAATTGTCATTTTTGCTGTATTTATTTTTCAAGACATTTTGAAAACAGTTTAGATATCACAAGATAATGTTAATTATGAATATTTTTTTAATATATATTACGAAGGGAAACAAAACAGATATTTGAGGAACGTGTCGTCAGACATTCATGGTAAAAAGTGTAACGGAAAATGCAACTTAACTTGCTACTTTGAAATGTCAGATGAGTATATTTTCTGATTATGGATTGAAATAATGTTTTTTCGGTAAGAAACTATAATATTTGAATGAACTTCATTATACTATGGTGTTACGTGAAAGTGCTTTTAAAAATCGGTAAAAAGGACAGAGTACTACTGCATGTACCATTGTTGAATTAGTTTCCTTTGAAGAAAACATAACTGTCCACATATATCTAAATGGGCAGTGCTTTTCATGTTTGTTTATATTTACATTTCCAAATATTTTTGCTTAAGATTCTTTGCAAATTAGAAAAAGTTCATGTTCTCATGAACTACCGTGGGATGAGTAAGAATATTTCCATTGTGATGTGATTGAAGTAAAAAAATAGTGCAATGTTTCAACGCACTTTGAAAAATTACGCACTTTGAAAAAAATTTTCAAAGTGCGTTAATTTTGGGACCACGTTAACGCACTTTGAAAAAAAATATTTCTTTTCAAAGTGCGTTAATATCGACCATATTAACGCATTTTGAAAAAAACATGTGCACGGCTTGGTCAATATTCTTGCAAATTTTAGGTATGATAAATAATTATTTGAACCTGGATGGATAACTTTTCGGTGATGACGTCAAGATCTGAAATATAGACGTTTTAAAGATTTTTAGGAGTTGTCTTGTTTTCAAAGTTCTCGTAACTGTTATAAAAGGGAAATGGGTCTTAGAAATAACGTAGGAATGATTGTTTAATAGCACAGTTTCGTTTCTTTCTTTTTTTTTCTTTTCTTTTTAAAATTTTATCCAATTTCTAATAAGTTAGGTAGATGTAGGTGTCGATTAGTGACTTAAAGCATCGCATTTTTCTTAGGGAAAAGGGAGCAATTATGATTTTTCCAAACCATGAAAATTCTCTCTCTCTCATCTATCTTTTACCATATTCATCTGTTTATCTATTTTGAACATATATGAAACAATGGTTGACTCATTTATTTGATAGTAAGTAAATAAACCTTAGCCACATTACTCACTCGACTGAAATTTTTACCTCGTTTCTCAAAAATGTTATGCAGTCAGATTACTTCTTAATCTGTATTTGATATCATAAAAACGCTAGACATGTCAAATAGCATGTTTTAATTACCATGTAAATGCATTTTTTCTGAGGAATCATTGTGGATACATTTTGAAAAAAGGTTATGCGTCTCTCTTCTTTAATATAATACAGTGCATAATTTTTTTTTTTTTCAGGAAAGCTTATCTCAATTTTTTCATTTATTTTACGTTAACTCAAATTTAATGAGAGAAATAATATCAATGTCATACCAGTTATGTAAATACATATTTGTGTAGGAAAGATAGAGAGTTGGACTGAGGGACTTTCTACCTGTTTTCTCCTCGTTCTCGATGAGGGTAGATCAATTCGTCAGTTTTCGGAAGAAATGTAACAAATTAATGCTGTCTATTATTAAAATATAAGTCCAGAATTTTTGTTCTATATGTATTTTTTCAAAGTGCGTTAAGTGTCTCCAGGGTAAAAAATGTTGATGTACACTCTTAACGCACTTTGAAAAAAAAATTCAAAGTGCGTTGATTGTGTCCAAAATTTAACGCACTTTAAAATTTTTTTTCAAAGTTCGTTGATTTTGTCCCAATTTTAACGCACTTTGAAAATTTTTTTCAAAGTGCGTAATTTTTTCGAAGTGTGTTGCCACAGTGCAAACTTTTTTTTCAAAATTGATCGTTGAATGACAAAAATATGTGGCAAGTCATCAGAAAAAAAATGTAAATATAAGATACGAATTTAATTTTTGAGAATTCATGAGGTACATGAACTACAACGCTTCACGCCTGCATATTTATCATGAAGCGCTAACGCGCTTCATGAAATATGCCGGCGTGAAGCGTCATAATTCATATCCTCATGAATTCTCAAAAAATAAATTTATCTCTTAAATATATTGCATAAAATACATTTCCAAAAATCCAATACATACAAAGGAAAACAAAATTTCATCTTACTTACTTACTTGCCTAAAAGTATGTTTTCTTTTCCTTTCAAACTTTAAAAAAAGTAATTTTGTCTTCTGTTTAGCACTTTGCGATTGCATATGAGGGTTTGTGGCGGTACAGTGTCGTTCTGTTCATATTGTCTTCGGCGATGATATGTACCTACCCTCACTGCACATATTGTCGTCCATCGTATATACTGAGCATTGTCACCGGCTGAAGATCTAGAGTTACACATGAACATATTGTCGCTGAAAGATCTTCTTCTATATACACTGTATTATGTTTCAGCTTTTCTGACACAGTGGTTCTTGAGAAGAAGATTTTTTTAAAAGATGTCACTAAATTTTCACTAATTCTTAATTATCTTCCCTTGAAAGAGGGCGCGGCCCTTCATTTCAATAAACTTGAATCCCTTCATCCATGGATGCTTTGTGGCAAGTTTAGTTGAAATTGGCCCAGTAGTTCTTGAGAAAAAAAGCTGAAAATGTGAAAAGTTTACCGACGGATGGACAGACGTACGACAGACAAAATGTGATCGAAAAAGCTCACTTGAGCTTTCGGCTTAGGTGAACTAAAAATGTCGACCCCAACTCTAATTATATCGGTACATGTATAATAATAACGCAAAAATATGGCCCAGATAATCATTACTACTGAAGACAAAAAGTAACATTCAATCTCCAAGTACATGTATATACATGTGTAACGGGGACTGGGTACGTCGGCCCGGTAGCTCAGTGGTGAGAACACCCGCACGGTTAGCGGGAGGTCCCGGGTTCGAGTCCCAGACTGGGCGACATTTTTCCCCGCCTGTTACACACGTATATATAACGAGAACAAAGAATAGGCTGATTTATCAGATATATCAAGAATTACGGTTTCTTGACATATAGTGATGTACAACAATCCTGAACACAATATCTTGACCAAAACCTTTTCTCCCTACAGTTTTGCGAGTAAGTACACCTTGTTTACTTATCTATCTACCATGCTGTCTGTCTGTCTCTCTCCCTCTTTGTGTGAGTACCAATCTCTCTCTCTCTCTCTCTCTCTCTCTCTTCATGGCCTTAGTAAATATTCTTCAGTACAATATATCGGCGATAAAATATCCAAATATTCACAGTACATATTGTCGCCGACGACAATATGTGCCGATGCATGTTGTCGTCCATTGTGCAGGAGGAAAAAAATGCTCGTCCCAGCATGTACTGTCGCCGGCGACAATATGTACCGATGGACGACAATTTGTAAAGTGAGGCTACATATTGTCACCGACGACAATATGTACAGAACGACAAAATGTACCGTCTCATTCAGTAAAATCGTAGACAAGTTGTCTAAAATTAAAAATTATTATAAAAATAATCAACGTTGCGCTCTAAAATTTTCAGTATACTCATTTACACATTATTTAAGCATTGAATCATTATTTTTTGAAAGAGATAGCCTCATAACTGCAATTGAGTAACGCGCGTTAGCGCGTCAGTCATGAAAATTTGTTTGCACACACCGTTGCAGTTATGAGACCTTTCAAAAAGTAATGATTCATTGCTTATATTTACTTTTTTAACTCGTTGGCTTGACTGCAAATATGATTTTTATTTCAAAATCCCTGCATTATCCTTCGAGTAAATTACAATTAATGGAAGAGCCATTGCAACAGCTTTTTTTCAGAGTGAGCGTGAATTATGGTTTTCGCTTATGACGTTGCAATTCCATGGCGTTCAGAGTTTGTGACGTCAAAATAAAACGTATACCTTAACCTTTTGACCTCCTGTCCGTGTTGCTGTAGCTTTCCACACGCTGTATAAGCAAAACACATATGTAATGTAAATATTCTTTAATATACATAGCAACTTTCATATAGATATGTGCATATATATATATATACAAAATATGACATTTTATATTATATATGGTATTGTCTTACGGCACATGGATGATAACTAAATTGTCTTTTGCAACGTCATGTTTTATTTGTATTGATAATCTGCTGAAAAAAAGTCGGATCAGCCTGCATCGATACAGGATTCCCACTTCGTAAAGAGACGAGAGGCTAATCTCTCACACACATGGACTTCCTGAAGTTTTGCATTAGTGTATCATCGATCGAGGTACTCTAACAATATAGTCAACTAAACAAGTTTCTGACATTTTGCTATGAAGGCATCTCTCATTACTGCCTGTGCCAGTAGCCATTTATTATGCCCTCCTTCGAAGAACGGAGGGCATGTCTGTCGGTCGGTCGGTCAGTCTGTCTGTCTGTCGGTCCACCAACAGTTTCTGTTCATTTTCTTCGCAGAGGTTGCACATACTGAAATGAAATTTGGTATACAGATTTATCGTAAGAATATCTATGTCAAGTTTTGTTTTGGGTACGATCGAGCAATATTTGACAGAGTTATGCCCCTTGGACTTAGAAAAATTCCAATTATTTTGCTTTCCGTTCATTATCTCTGCAAAGGTTGAACAAATTAATTACTGATATCATGAGAAACGTGTTTTTGCCAAAGATGTGATGTAGAATAATTAAGACTATTTCTTGTTGATGCATCTCAGATAGTACCGATAGATGACCCCTATTGATTTTAAGTTCAAAATGTCAATTTCATTTCCATGTACACTGCCCATAATGTATACTCATAATAAAGGCTTGTGCACCCTATAATGTATGTCCAAGGGGGAGAGAGGCATAAGTGTTTCACAAACATCTCTTGTTTATACATGTTTTGGTCTATCGAACATGCCATTTAATATTAAAGATCGAGTGATTTTCTTCTATTTTTTGTCTTCTTATCGTTATAATGAGTATACATGTATATTAAAGTCAATCTTTTCATCATGGCACCAGGAATAAGCATAGGCGTCAGAACAGGAGGGGGGACTAGAGGGGGCTTACCCCCCCCCCCCACTTTTTTGTAAAGATAAACATAATATAGGCATTGAAAATAAGGACTTAGCCACCCCAAACGATTTTGTTGGTTTAGATCCCCCCTCCGCTTTCAATTTGCTTCCGACGCCTATGATAACGACAGTGTAACAACAACATGGGAACGAATAGTTTACATAGTAAAATTTATATAGGGAAACAATTCTTTTTTAAAAAAAAAGAACAAATTAATTTTACACAAAAATATATTGACTTCCACAAAAATAGCATTGAAACATTTTGTAATCTTGACACCAAGACTTGGCAAGTCTCAGTAATGAGTCAGTATAGTAAAGTAAATGAAATACGGAGATTACTAGCTTTGATTTTATATCCAAAGAAGGAGTTTCATTATTTGTTAGAGAAAAATTAATGATTTGAAAGTTGTGGCCGATGTATTTTTGGTCAGTAGTTTTCAAATATAACCACCCTTAAAATGTTGGAGAGCAGTGATTCCACATGGGCGGATCAAGTTGGGGGTTGGTGAAGGGGGGTCGTGGAGGGGGTCCGGACGCCCCTGGAATTATCAGAGTTATGAAATATTTATGTAAAAGTAACGAAAAAATGACCTTGGAATACCTCTAGGCAAGACGGACCTGTCTACCCCCCCCCCCCCCCCCCCCGCAACGAAATAGAATTTTGAGGTTTGGGCAAGTTGTGAAGTTTTTTCCTACATTTTTTTTTTTTTTTTTTTTTTTTTTTTTTTTTGCCTGTGAAAAAAATTTCCGAGTTAAACATTATTTTCAGTTGATATGGAGCCCCCTGAAAAAAATCCTGGATCCGCCCCTGTTCCACGTAGAGGGAAAGCTTTCTCCTAAGATACCCTATTTAATTAATGCTCAAATGCCGAGTGCCGAGTATATGCCTAAATTTGCAGCCCTCCATCCGCAAGTGGTCGCGTCTCAATATGAGTGAAAATTCTCAAAGGGACGTTAAACAACCAACCCTATACAATGTAAATAAATGTCAAAATAAGCACGGTGTACCGATGTACTAGGATTTTATTTCTGTTTATCCTTTCGACGAATAATTGAAACAAGGAACGAACGAAAGATCGAACTAATGAACAACAAACAAGCAAATAAATAAATATACATGTATAAATAAGTAAAAAATTACATGCACGATTTGGGTATTAATTAATTAATTAATGTGCTTGTCATAGACAAATAGACAAATAGATTCGACACATTACGTCATTTGTACATACAAAGACATAATTCAGCGCAAAACAAATTATGACAGAAGTCAAAAATAAATTTAGAAGACACATACATGACATTGTTCTACCAAGGATTAATTTAATTAACTCTTAGTTAAGAACTTACTAACACAGGCACAGGGGCTTGTCACTGTATTTTTATAGTAGGGGTAACTTTAAATTAAGAGAAGGTAAATATTTCGTGACAAGCCCCTGTGCCACTGCAGGCACTTGTATAGTATATGGGGTAAAATATATATATAATATATTACAGAAACAAGTGTCTGTGCTTACAACTTATAAAATAAATGCTATAAATAAATTAATCAATGAATTGGAAGAACAGTTATCTTTCGGCGCTCAAGACTAAAGTGCTTCCGACACCTAAGAATGAATAGCGCTGAGATCCACCACCGATCTTTCTCTATGATAAATACTAAGAATATCGATTGTTTGTTATAACCCGAGGTTTTCCGATAGCGCTACACTAAATTTAGCTTGATTTTCATTGGTTGGCTGCTTCTATATAAATCCGGCTCTAAACCAATGTTGGTCTCTTCAGTTTTTCAATGCAAGCGCATAGGAGTCTGTGTTGGAAAAATCATTCGCCGAAAAACAAAATAGCTGCTTTAATTAAAGGTATTGCATAGCAAAAAATTAGTTCATGAATGGGAAAATTATGCAAACACAACAGGTAGTATGATTAAAGTTAAATTTATTGTTAACCAGTGAAAGGAAGATTTATTATAACTGTTGTCAGTAACAGTATTGGTCATCGTTATTCGACGATGCGGAAACTGTAAACAAAACATTACATGCCTTTGAATGTATTATTGCGAACGCGTATGTTTACTTTATCAAATAATTTTAAAAACTGCTTAATTTCTTCAATACATGCATTTTCTTATTTTAAAAAGAAAAGTACTTGTAACGTGGTAGATCTGACGACTCGGAAATGTTTTGACAGATGTTTAGTTTGTGCTTTTATAATTAATCTGGCCCTATCTAAAAATAAATAAATAATATGCCTTGAATTTGAGTGAAATGAACCAGTGCATTCCGATATTGTGTTTTTCCATCCAAAAATAATTTATTGAAAGTATAGAAATTAGTTTTCTTTCTTTTCTCCTTGATCATTATATAATCACCTGTATTTACATAACAAGCAACATCTACTGTGATCCAAGAAGAATGACTTTAAAAATGTAAAAATGGCCATAAGTGAGTCATAATTTTATTTTTACACAATAAATATTTCATTGAAAAACCAATTTGTAAAAGAAAAACAATGTGAGGTCAATTTTAGCCCAATTTCCATGATTTTTTCACTGAATCATGCAGAATTATTCAAATTTTCTTGTCTTCATGTGCCAAACAAAATGATACACTAATCATTGAGAATAATTTGTGAAATTGTCAAGAGAAAAAATTCTAACTTCAAAGTACTATTATTTCTTAACAAATTAGTTGTAATTTTTTAATTTCACATTTGACGTATCTAGCCTGATCACCGCAATGCCTAAAGATAAAATTATTTTAAAATCGTGTTAAAAACTGCAAAGAATTCTGCATTTTATGGTGTTTTATTCATAAAATATGATCAACAATTAAATAAGACTGCAATAATATTTTAGAAAAATGCATTTTTCAATAAAATAGATAGTGGAAAAATAAAATAATGATCACTTATGATGCTTATGGCCAGGTACATTATTTTCAGAGTATATCAATGATTTAAAAATTTGAAGGGAAAAAAAGTTGTGCATATAACAAGGCAAATATATATTACTGAACCCCATAAAGAGTCGGAAAAATTGGAAATGGAATCTAAGAAGTAATATTTATTGATTATGGATAATAAAAAGGTTTTGTTTTATTTAGATAGTCATTCATTTTTTTTTAACAATTTAATTATTCAATGTTAACCATTTTTAAGACACTTTATAAATGTTGATCTGCAAAATTGCTCATATTGAGGATTAAATGGTGTTGGAATCACATTTTTAGATGAGTATTTCATTCAGTAATGATATCAGGAGAGTCTATTGTTATAATTAATTCACCTGTGAAATCCTGGACATATATGGATGAATCCACAAGTATTTACGTCAGCATCTTACCCATAGACCACAACTTAGACCGTTGTTTTATCGAAGAGGTTCTAAATTGAGCCTATCTCTGTATCTGATCTCAACATTTAGCACCATTTAATTGTTGTCAGTAAAGAGTATAGAATTAATGCTTTATGCTGTCAAACAGATTTCTACATTCTGTGTACCAAGGAACATTGATTTATAGAATTTAGTGTTTTAGTGCATTTAGTGATAGATGTATATTTGATCAGTATATAGTAAGTTAAAGATAAGAGATGTGAAAGAAATTCTGAAATGAGTATTTTAGTGCATTAGGTGATAGATGTTTATTTGATCAATCTACTTAAGAGAGGTGAAAGAAATTCTTCAAATTAATAAACAATAGCAAAAAGTTCAGTAATTGAAAAAATGATGCAATTGATTTTGTGCATGGAGAATCTTGGACTGAATTTTATTAAGAGGTATTAATTTTGATCTTTTAGCAGGTGATCTGAAGCCATGCCTGAATTACTGAATGGGACCACCGTCATTGGCACCAATGGGGTCATTCCCCACTCCCCAGTACAGGAGGCAGAGTACGGGGAATATCGGAGCGTGATTGAGCGCATCAACCAGAGGATCCAGTCGGGGGATCCCTTTTATTCTCTCGAGTTCTTCCCACCAAGGACAGCTAATGGGGCAGTCAACCTTGTTAGTAGGTGAGCGATTCCAAATTTTTTTCCCAGCAGGAAATGCAGGTATGGGTAAATAAATTATTCCTGCTGGTAGTCAATTAAGTCAGTTGTAGTAGATGATTTAAAGTTAATAGTAAGAATTCTGGTCAGTCTTGCCAGTTAGTAATAATTCCAGTAGTGTGTATATATAGTTGTCCTTAGTCAACTGTGTGATTAGAAATCCTGTCAGTACAAAAAATAAAATAATTAAAAGGCATGTTTTAAATGAGTCAAATTTGCTTGTATACTACCAACTCAGGAACAGGATTTGCACTTAAGAATTCTAGAGTAAATGGTAATATTGATATGAAATTTTATTTATCTGAATGTATTTATCACAGTCACTCATTAAACTTGGAAATCCGAAATGAAGTTTAAATTGAAAAAAAGAAACCCTGAATTTAATTATCTGATATATATTAGAAAATGATACAATTTAATGTACTGCACCCTCAACACTTTAATGGAAAAATGATATACTAGTATACTAAAAATATACCATTGAAACACTGAATTTGTGTAGTATGCTAATTATCATGTTTCCTCCAATATATTTTCTGCACCAATACAACTATCATGCACTGTCTGTCTGACTGCATGCCTCCATGAATTATCCATCATTAAAGTACACTGACCTATATTTCACTGTCACTGCTATAAAATTTACTTGTATTATAATTGTACGTCCTCATTGTCTTGGAAGATGAAGAAAAAACTGGGAAATGGGTGGGCTATGGATTTTTTCCTGTTGGTTGTCAGTAATAAATAACAATTATTGGATTATTCATACATGCCGAGCGTGATACTCATCTGACCTTCACCTTGTTTTTATTTTGAAGTCTACAGAGCATGCTATTCAGTACAATAGAGAATTCAATTGGCTCTCAACTACCAGTCCGCAAAACATTTAATCCATTTTACAATTAAAAACATTTATACAATTATGTGATCACAGAGTTTTACTCTACTTAAATAAATGAAATAATTACTATTTATCCTTTTCAGAAGGCAAATATAACAAATATAAATCTGTTTTTTGATACTGATTAATCGTTGAGCATTGAATATGAACATTTAAAATAGTTTGGCTCTTTGAGTGATTAATAATAACACATGATATAAGCTTTCCAAGTAATCAGAAAAATAAAGTCTCAATAGCGTAATTAGCATATGCCATACAAGTCTTGACACAACTATTTACTCTAGCATGCATTTGGTATTTTATGTAAGTTAAAAATAGCTCTCAGGAGAAGGGAAAATCCCATTCAGTTATCTGAAGGTCGTGAAATATTTCGGTCATTTCCGCATGACATGGTTGCCAATGTTTATATTAGATAAGCTGTGATTGCCTGACTGGCAATGAGTACATTAAAAATTTTGAGTATAGTAAGAGCAGAAATGATTTATTTAGCACTAAAAAAGATTTCTGCATCATCGGCTTTGCCTGCAGTATTTTGACCCCTATGTGGCTTTAGAACTATGATATAATTTATGCACTTTTAAAAAAGCATACTCTGGGCATTATCACCAGAATAAAAAAAAAATCACTGGGTTGAATTCACTTTACAAATGATTGATGAATAAAATGAATTAGATAAAATTATAGTGGTCAATTGATTACACTGTAATTGGAATTTTTGTATTAATTACTCAAGGATAGAGAGAATGAGTGAGGGTGGCCCCCTGTTTTGTGACATCACCTGGCACCCTGCAGGTGACCCTGGGAACACAGAGAAGCCTACGAGCTCCACGTGTATGGCAGTCACCATGCTGAACTACTGTGGCGTGGAGACAATGCTCCACATTACCTGTAGCAACCAGGATGAAGACGAAATAAAGAGGAACTTGAAAAAGGCCAAGGACATGGGACTGAAGAACTTGTTGGCTCTTAGAGGGGGTGGGTAGAAATAAATGCTAAGTTTTTCTTAACAAATTTGAACAATACCTCAAAAGAAGTGTTTAGGGTAGTTGACTTCATCACAGATTATATGAAAAAAATGACAACATGAGGATAATGTGAAATTTTAGTAATGTAAGCATCTTAAATGTTGAAACGTTTTATTTTACAATGTATTTATATTTAGAAAAACTTTTTTCATCTTTCCAAGATTAAGAAACATAAAAAGAATATCATGTCATTTTTTTTTAAATAAATAAATTTATAAAGTGAAAATTAACATTGTGTTTCAGATCCCCCAGATGGTGGGTTAACTTGGACAAAACAAGAGGAGGGACTGAACTATGCCACAGATCTGGTCAAACTGATCAGGAAGGAACATGGGGATCATTTCACCATTTGTGTGGCTGGTAAAGAAAAAATACTATTGACGGGGCTAGGAATAATTTCTTATTTTCACTTGCTTCTCTGTTTTTGATCAGATATTATGTTAAAGAATGTTTTAGTGTTAAAGTTGTTGAATTAAGATTAACTTTGCAAGAAAGTCACTGGTCCATCAGATTAAGCGTATTTCAGAATTGACTCCTTTTGAGGCCATTGGGTCACCTATATTTTCTTGCCTTGGATTGTTACAGTCATACCTTAAGAATTATGTGATGGGGAAAATGAGTCATACTGCAAGAATATTGTTACCTAGATAAATGTTAGACTGACACTTTTGAAAATTAAAAGCAATTAAAATGTGCACTGTTTTTTTTTTTTTTTTAAAGTTTTATGTAAATTTTTGTAGGGTACCCAACTGGACATCCAGAATGTACTTCTTATGCAGAAGATCTGCGTCATCTGAAAGAAAAAGTGGATGCTGGTGCAGACTTTATCATAACACAGTTGTTTTTCAAAGCAGAGACTTTCTTTCAATTTGTTCGTGACTGTAGAGAGATAGGAATTACCTGTCCAATAATACCAGGTGTCCTTCCAATTCAGGTATTTAACATCTTTAAGTTAAAATACTACAGAAATTCTGTCTTTGGCTTGATAGCTTTTGTAAAATGCTTCACTAAATTTTCTTTGAAGATTCAAACTTTATTATTAAATGATTTCTATAAAAAGAGTGGAAAAACGTAAAAAAAAAAAAAATTCCATTTACAAATAGGCCTACCAGTCCCTCAGACACATTGTGAAATTGTCACGATTAGAAGTACCAAAGGAGATTCTGGATGCTATTGAACCGATTAAAGACAATGATGAGGCAATCAGAAACTACGGTGTGGAACAAGCATTCCAAATGTGTCGTGAACTTCTCAAACATGAGGATGTGCATGGTGTTCACTTCTATACACTCAACAGGGAAGTCGCAACCATTGAAATCCTCAAAAGACTTGGCATGTGGGTGGAGGAGCCTTGTAAACCATTGCCATGGAAACAGACTGCCAATTATGTGCGTTGTAAAGAGGATGTGCGACCAATCTTCTGGCGATCTCGACCAAAGAGTTACATTTACAGAACTTCAAACTGGGATGAGTTTCCCAATGGTCGCTGGGGGAACTCCTCAGCAGCTTCTTTTGGAGATCTTACAGACTACTACTTGTTTTATATGAAGCATAAACCTCCCAAAGAGGATCTCCTCAAAATGTGGGGAGAGGAATTGAACTCGGAGCAGGATGTGTGGGATGTGTTTCAGTGTTACATATCTGGATGTTCCAATAAGGATGGGGTCAAGGTTAGTTTTACACATGTGGATGTTCCAGTAAGAATTGGGTCAGGATAAGTTAAAAAAAAAATCAAGAATATATGGAATTACACAGGGAATAAGAATGCATTTAATCTTTGAAAGGGAAGTCAAATAGCCAATTAAATGGTATCTTTCACTAGGTTCGGTCTATGCCATGGAATGATGATGAATTGTCACCAGAGACGGGTTTTATTAAGGAGCAACTTGAAGCCATCAACAAACGTGGAGTTCTCACCATCAACTCTCAGCCCAATGTCAATGGAGCTCCCTCCTCAGACAGCAAACTGGGCTGGGGGTCACCCAATGGCTACATCTACCAAAAGGTCAGAGTTCCTTTGTAAATGTTCAGTTCACTTTACTGACAATTAGCATGTTGGCATAGTCATAAACATAATTTCAGAGGAAAATATTTTTAAAAAGAAAGTGTACAGTTGTCATATTCTGTTTTGCTGGTACATATATATATTCTTTGAATGTTTACTGTGAGTAACTTACATTTATTAGGCATACTTGGAATTCTTCACATCTAAAGAAAACGGTATTGCTCTGAAGAAAATATTGAAAAACTTTCCCCTAGTCAACTATCATATAGTGGATAAGAATGTAAGTAAAGGCATGAGGTGATATATGACAGTATAAATTTAAGCAAGCACCTGATGATGTAAACTGTTTTTACCAGCTTTCTTTTATGAAATTTTTAAGGGTGAGGCAGACTACACAAACTGTGATCTCACTACTCCTATAGCAGTCACCTGGGGAGTGTTCCCTGGTAAAGAGATTATACAACCAACAGTGGTGGATCCTATTGCCTTCAAAACCTGGAAGGTATGGGTACTAAATGACTTTGAAAAAAAAAATTATCCCTGGCCTGCAGATCTATTTTTTTCTATTTGTTGAAGACCAGAAGAGCATACATTCTCTGTTTGACTGATTGCAAACATTTTGCAAAGTACTACTCTTCCTACAGTTTCAGTTTATTTGAATGAAACTATAGCATACAAGTAAACTTCACGGGCACATATAAATATTGATTTTTGATTTTGATGAACATTGTTGCCATAGTTGCTAGAAATTTCTGTGAAATTCATCAAAAACTACAGCTACAGTTTTGGTCCTTTTTCTAAAAAATTAGCTACATAAATAGATTACATATAGATCCAGAATTCTAAAAATGTTTCAAAAAAAATTATCAACCCAGTGCAACTTCTCTTTTATCTTCTATCTAAGTACAGACCAGTCGAGCTTCAGTCTCGTTGGAGACCTCTGGTTACATGTATGTGTACATTTCAGGATGAAGCCTTTGAATTGTGGAAACACCCCTGGGGTAACCTTTACTCAGAAGGATCGCAGTCTAGAAAAATCATTGACCATATTTTTAACAGTTATTACTTGGTTAACTTGGTGGACAATGACTTTCCAAAGGAATCTTGTTTGTGGAAAATTGTAGAACAAATGCTGGAGGAGGGAAAACGGACAACGTCCACTCCAGAACAGATGGAAGTTAATGTATAATAGTAAGTCAGAACAAGTGGGTTCTCCTTACTTTTTGATAACATATGATGGACCGTGATCTAGAAAGTATTCGTAGTATGAAATGTTAAATGCACAAGCTACACAAAATGCAAACAAGAAAGGGCATAGAAAGATCAAGCATTAAATACTTTTCCTTACAGATTTTTTTTTCTTTTTCTCATTTCAGAATGAAGACTGTTTGTACAGATTGTGCATAATCCATAATCCGTGACAAAGACAACTTTAGTGCATCTCATTAAAAAGTTTTTTTTCTGGGATCAAAATTTTCTTGTTTTAAAAATCCAGTTGCTTTACATGTAGAATTTAAGTTATTTTGTGCTTGTTAAACACTCCCTCATAAAAATCTACTTGCATTGGAATATATTTTTTATTTACCTATATCCAGTATTAGATACTGACTGTTAATGTATTTTTAATGTGGACTAGAGTGGTGATATGTTAGGATACAATCAATAGATGTGATAGGATAAAGAAATGGCATGTTGTTGTTATCTTCTATTTACAAAATTGATATCTCACTTTTATAGGATTATTTTTGTTCTTTGATGTAATATGTACCTGATCATTTTTTTTTTACATGATAATTAATATTGTATTATAAAGCCTATGTAAAGAGTTGTTTAAAGGAATGCTTAATTGATTTTTAAGTTCACCACAAGAATTCATTGGACTGACTAAACGAATGGATTTTGGTGTGGTCTGGTGGATTTATGATACTTACTGTTTTTTGTATAAAAACAAGGTTTTTTTTTTTTTTTTTAGATGTTATTGTTTGACCTCCATGTGTTTTCATAATTTTGAATAGTAATTTGGACAACAGATTGTTAAAGTTAAATACTGCTAAATAACCCCTTGTTTTGTAGTAAAACTTGTCTAATCAGGGCACTAATGGTTCCAGATGAGACAACATTCCAGATTAGAGAATATTTTTAAACAAATGAATTTACCTGAAGTTTTCATTATAATACATAAGATTTTGGAATACTCGGTACACACCATCCAGATTATACATGTTTTACTGTCCAATGTATTTAATTTTGGGAGGGTCCCAGTGAGGTTTTCCTTTATGTGTGTGTGTGGACTGTAGAAAAATCCTCTGCTTTATAGTCTGTATTTAAAGAAAATGCAGCTTAAGAAATGTGCAATTTGATTCTAAGCAAGTTGTTGCTTTGTTCATTTCTCTTCAAAGAGTGTTCAGTGAAATACTCCGGTGAAAGTAAATACCGGTACTTCCTCTGCAACTCTATAAACTTTGATGTAAAACAGAGCTCCAATGCATTTTGTATTAGAGAACTATATTATACATGTAGATGTGGCTCTAAGTACCTGTGTGTAATGTGACAGTTGTATATTCATGTAAATGTATTTAATATGTAGACTGATATGTAAAAAAAATACTGTTGTCTGTATTACACATAATGTTTTGATGCAATACTTTTATAGTAAGAATTCAAAGATAATAAAGGATTGGAAAAGTAACAGTTTGATGCTCAAAACCTCCTTCAAAGCAGTCAATGGAGAACATTTTATGTATCCGATTAATATTTGTCCGATTACAGGATACAAAACACTAATGATGGGGTTTAGAAACTAGTAGAACAATAATCTCCATGACAGAGTGCTTGCAAAATTATGATAGGTATAACGCTGTTATTACCTTGGAAATCGGCCTCATAGCGGGGAACCCCCCGTTTGTTAACAACTTTTGTTTCTTACCTTGTGTGTTATTATACCATACAAGGCCATTCTCTAAATGTAAGAAAAAGTACAATCTGCTGATGGATGTGATTGACGAGGAAATCTTACATTTTTAGCTCACCTGAGCTGAAAGCTCAAGTGAGCTTTTCTGATCACCCGTCGTCCGTCCGTCCGTCTGTAAACTTTTCACATTTTCAACTTCTTCTCAAGAACCACTGGGCCAATTTTAACCAAACTTGGTACAAAGTATCCTTGGGTGAAGGGGAGTGTAAATTGTTAAAATAAAGGGCCAAGTCCCCTTACAAGGGGAGATAATCAAGAAAAGACAAAAATATGGTGGGGTCATTAAAAAAACTTCTTCTCAAGAACCACTGGGCCAGAAAAGCTGAAACTTATGTGGAAGCATCCTGGGATAGTGTAGATTCTAAATTGTAAAAATCATGACCCCTGGGGGTAGGGCGGGGCCACAATAGGGAATCCAAGTTTTACATTGAAATACATAAGAAAAATATTTAAAAAATCTTCTTCTCAAGAACCACTGGGCCAGAAAAGCTGAAACTTATATGGAAGCATCCTGGGGTAGTGTAGAATCTATATTGTAAAAATCATGACCCCTGGGGGTAGGGCAGGGCCACAATAGGGAATCCAAATTTTACATTGAAATAAATAGGAAAAATCTTTAAAAATCTTCTTCTCAAGAACCACTGGGCCAGAAAAGCTGAAACTTGTATGGAAGCATCCTCAGGTAGCGTAGATTCTAAATTGTTAAAATCATGACCCCCGGGGGTAGGGCGGGGCCACAATAGGGAATCCAAGTTTTACATAGAAGTATATAGGAGAAATCTTAAAAAATCTTCTTCTCAAAAACCACTGGGCCAGAAAAGCTGAAACTTAAGTGGAAGCATCCTCAGGTAGTATAGATTCTAAATTGTAAAAATCATGACCCCCGGGGGTACACTGTAGGGCGGGGCCACAATAGGGAATCCAAGTTTTACATTGAAATATATAAGAAAAATCTTTATAAATCTTCTTCTCAAGAACCACTGGGCCAGAAAAACTGAAACTTGTTTGGAAGCATCCTGGGGTAGTGTAGATTCTAAATTGTTCAAATCATGACCCCCGGGGGTAGGGCGGAGCCATAATAGGCAATCCAAGTTTTACATTGAAATATATAGGAAAAATCTTTTAAAATCTTCTTCTCAAGAACCACTGGACCAGAAAAGCTGAAACTTATTTGGAAGCATCCTGGGGTAGTGTAGAATCTGAGTTGTTCAAATCATGACCCCAGGGGGTAGGGCAGGGCCACAATAGGTATTACTAGGGGGGAAATCTGGTAAAGAACAGCATGGCCAAAGTTACTCAGATGAGCGATGTGGCCCATGGGCCTCTTGTTGAGAAATAATAATCTCTTGCATTTTTTTTAAGTAAAGGGGGGGGGGGGGGTTATTGATCCACGCTTTAGGTGCCTGTGATTCTGGATTGTTCATTATCTTTGAATACAAACATTAATTCATTTTTTTTCTGGAGCCAATTTCTATTTTCAATCAAACTTACTACAAAGCTTTCTAGGGGATTCAAGTTTGTTCAAATTAGGGGTCATGTCCCTTTCCCGAGTGAGATAATTGGGAAAAGGTGAAACTGAACCAGAAAATTTTTGAGCATCAATATATAATGCAACCTCTTCAAAACAGTGATTACCACATGCTTTTTACAGTGACAAAATGACATGCATTAATGTGACTATATGCAAACATTAACGTCTAGTATAAATAAATCATCAAGTTCTGGCAGCGATGACTACAGGTTTTTAGCTCACCTGAGCTGAAAGCTCAAGTGAGCTTTTCTGATCACATTTTGTCCGTAGTCCGTCTGTCCGTCCGTCCGTCTGTAAACTTTTCACATTTTCGACTTCTTCTCCAGAACCACTGGGCCATTTTCAACCAAACTTGCCACAAAGCATCCTTAGGTGAAGGAGGATTAAATTTGTACAAATGAAGGGCCATGCCCTCTTCCAAGGGGAGATAATTAAGAATAAGTGAAAATTTGGTGTCTTCTTTTAAAAATCTTCTTCTCAAGAATCATTGGGCCAGAAAAGTTGAAACTTATGGGAAACCTTCATTACATAGTGTAGATTCAAGTTTGTTCAAATCATGACCCCCGGGGGTTGGGTGGGGCCATAATGGGGGATCAAAGTTTTACATAGGAATACATAGGAAAATTCTTTAAAAATCTTCTTCTTAAGAACAACAAAGCCACAATTAGTCATATTGATATGAAATCATCCTCAGGTAGTGTAGATTTAAGTTTGTTCAAATCATGACCCCCGGGGGTAGGGTAGGGCCTCAATGGGGGATCAAAGTTTTACATAGGAATATATAGGAAAATTCTTTAAAAATCTTCTTCTCAAGAACAACAAAGCCACAATTAGTCATTTTGATATGGAATCATCCTCAGGTAATGTAGATTCAAGTTTGTTCAAATCATGACCCCTGGGGGTAGGGTGGGGCCACAATGGGGGATCAAAGTTTTACGTAGGAATACATAGGAAAATTCTTTAAAAATCTTCTTCTTAAGAACAGCAAAGCCACAATTAGTCATATTGATATGGAATCATCCTTAGGTAGTGTAGATTCAATTTTGTCGAAATCAAGACCCCCGGGGGTAGGGTGGGTCCACAATGGGGGATCAAAGTTTTACATAGGAATAAATAGGAAAAATCTTTTAAAATCTTTTCAAGAACAGGAAAGCCGTGATTAGTCAATTTTACATAGGAATAAATAGGAAAAATCTTTTAAAATCTTTTCAAGAACAGGAAAGCCGTGATTAGTCATTTTGATATTGAAGCATCCCCAAGTATTGTAGATTCAGGCTTGTTCAAGGCATCCTCCAGTAGTAGGGTGGGGCCATAATCGGGGATCAAAGTTTAACAAAAGAATATATATAAGAAATATCTTAAAAAATCTTCTTCTCAAGAACAACAAAGCCATAATTAGTCATATTGATATGGAAGTATCCTTAGGTAGTGTAGATTCAAGTTTGTTCAAATCTTGAACCCCCCCTCCCTTCCTACCCCCCAGGGTAGGATGGCAGACATCTTTAAAATTCTGTTTCAAGAACAGCAAAACCATGATTAATTATATGAATATAGAAGCATCCTCAGAAAGTTTAGATTCAATTTCATTCAAAACATGGCAACTGGGGATAGGTTATGCCTAGAACAGTTGATCAAAGCTTTACATATGAATATATAGAAGAAGAAATCTGCTGACAAAGAACAGCAGGGCCATATTGACTCAGGTGAGCATTGTGGCCCATGGGCCTCTTGTTTCAGTGCATCTCCTAAGTTGGACTTTTTGGAAATTTTCTTTTGAAAATCAAAGTCATGTACCAATCAAACCCAGATTCCCTCCATCACAAATTTCTTTATGCTAGCCATTTCAATGACTGATGTATTGTACAGGGATGAAAGGGCAAGTGACTTATTTTGTGAATAAAACTCATGAATGTACCGTGTGTGTTAATTTTTCAAGCAAAACTTTCATCATGATGCAGTGTAGAATAAAATTTCCTTGTCTTCTTTTTAAGGGGGATATCTGACATCATATTTTGATGGGAGTTTTTAGAAAATCTTCATGACTTCAAAGTATTCTCGTGTGTTGGGTCAAAATCATTACATTTTGGATTTGGACCAAGTGTAAATATATAGGGACTTTCAAATTTTACAAAGTACATTTAAAAAATTGCATGTGACTTGGAAAAATACATGCCTGGTAACTATGGCCTATGGGCCTGTTTAACAATTGTAAAAATAAAAAGCACAGACCAAATTGTATATGTTGTATTCACTAACGAATTTTATCCACCAACATCAAGTACATCTTGATGAAAAAGCAATGCTATGCCTGCTCATGCTCTTTTTTCCTATGCAGAAAGTACCTGTGATATTTTTTAAGACGCAACATATTCTTGATCATGCACCAAGGCCATGCACAGACCTAGAGGGGGTCAAGGGTTTTTTTTTTTTAAAATGTTGAAAACAAGTCTTCTGTTCCCCTCTATTGCCTTTGTTAAAGCTGTTAATATGGGGTTCATTTTCAATTCTTTGAGGGGCACCATGTTAGGTTCCTAGGTTACCATAGCATTGTTGTACTAAGATTTGTCTTGCATTGCTGGCATTTTGCTGTTGCATTGCTCATCAAAATCATACACAGCTTGGTAAACAGGTCCAGCACAATACCCTGATAAAGCTATATAGCTTTATCAAGGTATTACAAATACCTTGATCAAGGTATTTTATGTAATGAAAATACCAAAAAAATCCTAAAAAAATAAATACTGAAAGTCTAGTTCTGAGTTGTTTTCAGTAAATTCACTCATGCATGTAAAGTACTCAAACACTAAGGAATCAGTATAAAAGCACATCTGTGAGGAAACGTTCCTTTATGATGTCTTTTTGATACCTGAGTACTTTTCATGCACGAGTGAACACACTGACCACAACTCATAATTCGACATTTAAAGTTAAATTTTTTAGGATTTTTTTTGTATTTTCATTACATAAAATACCTTGATCAAGGTATTTGTAATACCTTGATAAAGGTATATAGCTTTATCAAGCTATATACCTTTATCGGGGTATTGTGCTGGACCTGGTAAATCCAGAAAAAAAGGATGAATTTTAGTCCATAAAAAGCTGAAAAACTAATATAATTGACTGTATGACATTTAATATTTAAGAACATTAAAGAAAACTGAGAATATAAATGTGTATATCAATTTTATTCTACTCTAATACATTTCAAAGCAAACAAAGATGTGTAGGTTGTTTTACTTATTTGTCAAATTATTATGTATTTATACCTTAAGTGTTTATACATCAGTTTTCCTTTGACCTATTGCACAGTTACAATCACAGATTCTTTGCAAAAAGTGTATTAAACAGTACATAATATAGTTATCAATTAAATTTAAAAAAGAGAATTTGTATCACAGACTAAAGGCATGTCTTGCATGTTTCAACTGATATGTGGCAAAAAATGAAACCAAAACAAACAAACAAACAAAAACAAAACAAAACAAAAAAAAGGGCCAAGAAGCAAGTCTGTAAAAAAAGAGAGGGGATATGTATTTAACAATTCAAATTCAACATGTCTATTAGAAGCTACAAATGAAGGTCTTTTTTATCTTAATGTATGACAGTTTCTCATAACTGATTTAATTCTGTTACTTTTGATGTTGATTTATTCTTCTTCAACCAACTGAATCAGAACAGAGGCAAAGTCTTCAATGTCATTCTTAGAAATTCTTGTGATCCTATTCAGCTCTTTAATCATCTGTAATTACAGAAAAACAAATCGGAGAAAAAAATCCAGAAGAGCTCTTTTCTTTTCTTCTTAGATAAATAAAATGATCAGAAAGAAGATTGAGATACCGGAAATCTTAGTGATTTTTATTTTATAGAGTCTGTTTAGATAATTATTACTTCATCTGCCTTGTCTTCTTGGACCATGTAAACAGAGCAGCTTATGACTGCAGTGGCCAGCAGTAGTTGGTCTGCTTTCACTTTGCTAAACTCCCTCCTGCAAAAAGGTAATTGACTATAGAGGTTCAAATAGTCTTTATATAAAAATGTGTTAAAGGGGGATAACTCTTAATGCATTGCAATGTTTTTATTCACAAAAATGTTATTATGTTACATATTTTATGGAATGTAAAAGAAGAGTGATGATTCCTTGTATCACTGAATGCAACACTCTGGTGATCATAATACTTTTGTTCCTTGGAATGTATCTTAGATGAACTTATAACTTCAAACAGGATCTTGTAGAAGGTGTGGTACTTCAAATACAACAAATCCAGAAGTTTGAGTGCAACATAGTAGAATGTTTTCACCTCTGCTTTAGTATTATTACAACCTGAAATTCAATTTGATTAAATCTTAAATTGACTTACAATACATTTAGAGACTAAAAGTAAGAGCAGGTAACTTGCATGTCACTCTTATTACTACATAAAGCTTTATTTTGCCGAAGTGTTACAATATCATAATCTAGGAAATAATCTTGAATAAGGAAATTTCAATAAAATGACCAAAAACAAACAAACTGCAAATTCAAAGTTCTGTGAAAATGGTTTAATAAAAATAACAATGAATGAGTTATTAAAGCTGTATAGAGTAAACACACAAGATGATACAAATTATATTAAATGCAATGAATACTTCTTCAATTCAATCATACAGATATTGATTTGTAATTTCAAAAAATACCTAAAATTTCTAGTAAAGTTTCTATAAAAACAATGGGCGTTGGTTCTGTAACTTGAAATTTCAGAGTTTTTAGCACTCTCAGCTCCGATTGAAGAAGACTTTCAGAGGCATAGCGATAGCCACAGGTACATAAAAATCTCTTGGCTCTATTGACGGACACAACCTGAAACAAGAATGCCTGACAGGCAGTGATGTCAATGAAAATAAATGAAAAGTATTCATGTTTACCTTTAATTATTATGACCAAATTTCAAACTGCAAATAGTGTTCTCATCTTTATAATATGCAAAGTGATATGAAAGTGCAATGGGTAAAAGATTTCCCTTGGACATCTAATTCTCTCTCTCTCTCTTGAAAAAAAACCTTCATACCTTATAGTGTGACGTTAATTTGCTGGCTATCTGACAACAGGATACGATGCGCAGCAACACCTGATTTGACACACCCTCCTGAAGACTACTCCATTCCTTCATTTGTCTTTTCTTTGGCAACTTCAACACATGATCACGAAGATCTTGAAGGTGATTGTATAAAAATCTGAGAGATTAAAAGAAAAAAAAACCCAACAACAATGATACTAACACAAGATCCCACATAATTATCTGACTTTATATATATATATATGTCCATTACCTGTCAAATAACTCAATTGCAAGATATTTGGCTTCTTGGGCTATTTTCAATTTTTCAGCAGCATACATGATAGTCTCTACAGCATTCACTTGTTTAAACAGCCCCTTAAAATTAAATCAGTCAGAAGTAAAATAAAAGTTAAATGTAAGTGAAATTGCCCAGAAAAATCCATCAGTTTTTATTCCAAAATTTATACATATGTATACCTGTTTGGAGTGTGCTTGATTAATGTGCCTGAAATTCTTTTTTGCCAGATTTATCAACCAGTCTTGTAAAATATGTGTCTCCAAGGCATGTTCATGATTAAACAGAGGTTCTATTGGAGAGGCAAATATTTCTCCTTCCATTTCTAGAAAAGGGTAAAATTTTTATAAATTCAATATTTTTTATGATCAATTGGCCTAGCTACCAGATTTCTGGAATAGGGTGCAGGGGAAGGTCTTGAAATGGCACTCCCTCCCATTGTGAATTGATACCAGTTTGGTGCATCCTAAAAAAGTCTTTTATCTCTTTAAAATTAAGTTTTAAAAAATTAGCAGAATTGTTTTAAACGGATTAACAATGAACTTTTGTTTCAAAATCAATATTTTTTGAGATATTTTTTTAAAGGGGGGGGGGCGGGGGGGATGGGGATCTCTCCATGTGTACTGCTACATCTGGGAGGGGGGAGGGTAGTTAGAATAATCTAAGCCCTCACCGGGTCCGTAGGACAAAATCATTTTAAAGTTAGAATGTTCTATCTAGGGGGGGGGGGGGTTGAAATGTACCAGTATATTATACAGGTCTCTATAGATCTTAAAATTTATCTCATAAGTTAAAGGCTTATTTATTCATATTGTCCGATTGGGGTTTGTGGGATCACTATATTTATTTAATTGCACCATTCAAATATTTTATACTGAAAGTAAAATTCTTACCTATTCGGGCATGAAATAGATTACATATTTCAAAAGTCATATGCCATCTAGCCTACCTGCAATATATTGCTCGTTTCCTGCCGAGCAAAATATCGTCTGCACAGGAACTCAAAACACTTACTACTCTCCGGATTACTTGTACTTTTACTTTCATATTTCTATTTCCGGTTTGAGGTTTGGGGATCATTAGCTGGCGAACAGTTCATTAGTTCATAATCATTTCAGATTTCTTCTTTTAAAGGTAATAGTAATTGTTATCGTACATTTGGCAATGGACTTTGTCTGATTGAATTTGAAAGTTCTTTTCTGAATCATTCATAATGTGAGATGAAATGGCTTAAGGAAATAAAATAACTCAGTGACATATGCAGCAAAATTCATTCAGATTTTAGAAATACTGCAATGTTTGATTAAAGAATGGTGAATATACATGAATAATGTGTGAAGTCAACTTTCAAATTTCATTGCTTTTTTGTGACTAGCATATATTTTTTTTAAGAATATGAGGAAAATGTCTAGCCAACAGCTGATAAACAGGTCCGACACAATCTCTTGATTTAGCTATGTAATGGTTTGGGATGTGGATATTCTGCCTCAGTCAGTAGAGCACCTAACTAATGATGCAGGGGTCCCAGGTTCGATTCCCGGTCCAGCCATACATTTTCTCCTCTCCTGTTACAGCTATATAGCTTGATTTAGCTATATAGCTTTATTAGCTATTTAGCATAGCTTGATTTAGCTATTTTATCACACTTTTTTCTTCAATATATTATTTTCTCAGCATGCACAAAAAGTCGCAGCTTGGTGCAGTGATAATAATCAACCCTGAACTCTTTTGAAAATAATGCTTGTAAAAATACTCATCAAATTGCATCTCCTTAAGACACTTTGTACTCAAAGTTCTGAAAGTTTTGGGGCTATATAAAGCAATTGATACAGTTACCTCTTCAGTGAAATTATAAAGGAGGCCAATTGTGGTCAACAAAATAATTAATTGGTAATAATTTAGTACAATGAGAAGCAATCATACTTATCCATGCCTCAACCCACACAAAGTAGTGTACAGTTACTCAAACAATGGAAATTCATCTTTTGCTCAAAAGTATTCATATGCTGCAATGTTAGAACTTCTTTGATTTGGGTTACTCTTTGGATAGCCTGTAGTACATATATAGATACCTGTAATCAAATACTTGCGACTTTTTGTCTATTTCTTACAAAAAACATTTTTCTGAAAAACTGCATTTAAACATGTTAAATAGCTTTATCAAGCTATTTTGAATAGGTTAATAAAGCTATTTCAAGCTATATAGCTAAATCAAGAGATTGTGCTGGACCTGATAAATGAGCTATAGCTAAAATACTGGTGTTGAATAGAATTATCAGAATAGCTATCAAAAAGTTGACTGGCATAATTAAAGGAGTGTTCTTTTGTCTGTTTTAGATGCTACAGAGTTCAAAGGACTGCTCATCAACATGTAGATAATAAAACTGCAATATGACAGTCAAGATTGGACATAAAAGCAGATTCTTTCAACTAGGCTTTATTGTAGATGTATGGACGTAAAGTATTCTACCATCTCTCTCCTAGATAACACAGAACACATGTGATGAAAGAGTTGCTAGATGCTGTTCAGAATTTGTGCCAAAAGTGGAAAAGCATTAGTCTTAGGGAAAAGATGAAAACCAAAAATTTTTATATTATGCTAGCCTTTATGGGAGCAACTTCCATGTCTCTGTGGTTACTAAGTAATCCAACACCGAATTTTAACACAATTGTTGCACAAACCCATAAACAGATCAACAATTTCAAAAACATTCCAAGCAACATCCGCAGTTCAAATCAGGAGGATTTTCATGTAGACCTTAAGTTATTGGATAAACTTGGATTTGATGTAGATCCCATTAACACAGAAAATGTAATGAAGTTCAGCAAGGAGAAAATTAAAAAGATTAATGCAACAATCAACAAGCCTGTCATAGCTATACCTGCTCTTCCTAAATCCTTAGATAAAGTTATTGCACTCGTCAAATCAGCCAGCAAATTTCTACCAGATGTTCCTGTTATAATATATGATCTAGGGTTAAGCTATCAGAAACATTTAAAGGTATGAGTAATATATGTATGTATAGCTATACATTGTTTGTAATATTTTGCAGTGGTTTTTTCCCCCAATGTAAATTAGATATTTTAAATACAGTGAAGCCTGTTTATGGGAAAGTCAAAAGGATAAAAAAAATATATAAGTATACTAAATGTACATTATTACATATGGAAATGGAAATCATTTTAATTTCTGGTATGTGGGATGTCTATCCCAGTAGCTGACTTGAATATTGTTTATTGTTATGATATCTAATCAATGTCATAAATGTATCAGGCCATGTTAATTTTATATCTCTACATGTCTGGATTATGTAAATTCTTAGTTGATATTTTTGGATTGTGAAAATTCTTTGTATTTCAACTCTATTACAGTTGACTGTTCATTGCAACAAAACTTCCTCATGTACAGTAAAGATGTTTGAATTTGAAGATTATCCATCTCATCTTAGAGACATTTCAATACCCAGCTACAGGCCAGTTCTATTACAGGTAAGAATGTTATCTTAATGAGTCATCTAAGAGACATCTCATGACCACATACAGGCCAGTTCTCACACAGGTAAACATGTTATCTCACTATGTCATTTAACAAAATCTCAATTCCCAACTACATGCCAGTTCTCATACAAGTTAAATGTTATCTCACTGAGTTATTTAAGAGACATCATCTCATATTCAGCTATAGTCCAGTTCTCATACAGGTAAAAATGTTATCTCACTGAGTTATTTAAGAGACATCATCTCATATTCAGCTATAGTCCAGTTCTCATACAGGTAAAAATGTTATCTCACTGAGTTTATCTCATTACTAAGCTACAGGCCAGTTCTGATACAGGTTAATTTTTGTTTATTAGATAAGTCTACATTGACTTAATCCTTAAGAGTAAGAGATATCTCTTCTAGTTCTCATACAAACTTAATTATTGTCTCACAGATCATCTTAACATGTTTTTATTTCTTTAGATTTGTTTCCTTTATTAAGAACTTTCATCTGAAAACCATTTTACCTGTAATACTTTTGCCATAACAAATGTATACAATATACCTGTCGGAGATATAGTAATGCTAAGAATTATTAGCCTTTAAGCTGAGATTTCTCAAATTGAATGAATCATAATCTATATAACAAACTTCTCTTCAGAAAATTTTAAATGACAATGGAACAGTGATATGGGTAGAGCCATCTGAATACAGTTTTATTTCTGGAGACATTAAGCCTCTCCTGAAGAAAGCTCAGAAGACTGGGATAGTGGCCTGGACAAGTAAGGACCCAGTGTCCACCATAACTTATGACAAAATGTATAAATACTTCAAAGCTTCAGCTGAACAATACTACTTCCTGGAAACTGCCCAGGCTAATCCCCTGATTCTACACAACACTGAAACACTACACAGCAAAGTGATGCTACCGTGGGTAAAGTGTGCCCTCTCTAGTGACTGCCTGAACCCCGTGGGGGCCTCAAACACGGGCTGTACAGACAGGAAGCCTCTATACCTATACAGAGGCTGTCATAAGTATGATGTGGCTGCTCTAAATATCATTTTAGGACAGGTGTTTCGGTATGATGAATCGTTTTACAAGACTAAAGAAAAAATCTTTGGAATTCCAGAGGAGAAAAAGACAACAGAATCAGGTAATGCCACTAGCTTTAGCATCAGCCCACTCCCCCTAGTAGCTTCTGTATCCAAAGCTAGTTTACTTGCAATGTCAAAGTACTGGTTTCTTGGTTTTACAATATGTATCTGTGTAATTGCTCTTTAATTCTTCACAATTTATGCTCTAAAATTGTGTCACTGAAAGAAATAATATGATGCAAAGGACATGGTAAAAATTGTACAAGGGTTTTTTTTTTTTGATGATACAAGAATTTATGGATTATACAACTGCAGATAGTAGTAACAGTCTATTACTCAATGAGTTTCCTATGAATGTAGTTTTTATTTTAGAATTTCTTAGAATAGATGTATTTATAAACCCATACCTGTATTTCACATTCCTATAAACTTTTACCCATGTCTTGGAGCAAAGTTCCCTAAAACATTGTCACTTCATAAAGCTAGCAAAAACATTTAGAGCTTGGATGTTGGTCAGGTTGTAAAGATCTGATGATGCATTTTTAACCTCAATTTCTTGGATATCTCGAATCTCAGTTCCATTGAGTTCGAGATAATGCAGTGTAACTGCATGTACATGTTCTTTTTCTGTTGTGGATTATATTATGTGATTTTCATAAATATTTTTTTTTAAATATGCAAAAAAGACAACCCACAATGAATATTACAAGAGTCTGCTTGGAAGACAAGGAGGGGGGGGGGGGGGTATGGGGGAGGTGTTACATAGATAAAAATAAATATATACGAGGGTTGTCCGGTAAAATCGTGGACAAAGCGTTTTTCTCGGAGAATAATGGGTGCACTAAGCTGAAATTTTCAGAAAATGTTTATTCATCATATTTATGTGCATCTTAATTTTTTGATAAAATATAGACAAAAATAAAGATTTTATTAAACTTGAATGTGCACAGGGTACGGTCCAACGGCGCACGATCAAAAAACCAGGGTTTCATTAGCAAATATACAAGTATTATTTCGAAATGAAAGTATTTAATAGATAAGGTTGGGGTAAAAATTATCCTATTTTTTATCCACTATCTATTATTTCGTCTTTTGTAAATATCAAGGCATTTGCTTAATTTTTGGCAGTTTCCCGAGCATTTGAAATGGGAAAGTGGTATACGCAACACACAAAAAATGGTGATGTTTGGTGACATTATGGCACACCGGAGAGCAGTTCAGTTTGATTTAGATGTAGTAATGATGCCCTAAGAAACTTTAAATGACTACAGGAGGAAAAAAAATATTTAAAAAAATCACTAGATCTTTAGTATACAAGTGAAATGGGAGTTTTCTAAGCGGAAGCTTTTTGATTGGGTTCCCGGGTAGAACAAAACATACGGACAAACAGCTACTAGCAATAGCAAAAGACGCTGTCACTATAGATTGTCGATATAAGATAGCCTATTTAGTTGAATGATAGTGAGAGTACTGTCCATAACTTACTAATAAATCTTCAGAAGTTCCCATGCATGTGTGTGCGAGATTGGTTCCTCGACTGTTTATGGAGGAATAAAGGGAAAATCAAAATCCCCAAATTTAAGTGGGGATTATCTAACTTTCATTTAGCAAAGAAGGAACGTGACGCTGCTTTAGACACTTTGACGTTATCATCCGTGCGCCGTAAGGCGATACCACACATAACATAAAGTCTCATATTTTGTTTATTTGAGCAGATATCTATTTGAAATTTGCTATGTATGTTGATGAAAAATGTACTAAAAAGTAGTGAAAGTTTTCGAACGCAGTGATGATTATTTTTTCAATCTAGACAACTTGTCCACGATTTTACCGGACAACCCTCGTATATGTAAATTGAAATTTTTTCTGTTTACTCCAACATTGGATTTGTCAGTCATGGCATCAAAATGTCATTAATCTCCAAAATGCTGTTTACTTTCTTTGAGCCTAAGTAATAAAATCTACATGGTTGAGAACATTGAACACCTTAGGGTTTCCCTAGACCTTTATACTTTTGATTTTCATATGACCTTTAGTATTACCCAAGACCTCTGACTATTAATGGTAAATATACATGTTTACATTAGTTGTGGATGATCTACTCTTTATTAACTTCACATGTAGATAAATCACAATGAGATTCTTAGGAGTTTTAGCAATGCATGTTTATCCCCACAACAGATAATCTTATTTTAGCTCAAGTAACTTAAGTCCTACCTGAATCAAACTTGCATAAATCATGCATCATGAGATGAAAACAACCTCAGTTGCTCCAGATGCAGAATCTTTCTGGATGAGAGATCAGGTTAAAGTTTTTGGAGCAGGTTAGAATGTCTAGAGCAGGTTTCATTCCATAGACAGTAATTAATATACCTTATGGTAACCAAACTTGCATGTATGATGCACATTTCCAGACTGGCTTCTGACCAGATGCTGGATCTGACCTACTTTTCATTTAAGTGAACTAGATTGATTTTTTAGCAGGTTCTTATCCAAGTAACCATAAGCCCTATGGTGACCAAATTTGCATAGATGATGCATCTAGAAATGCACCACAACAGATTGACTTTGGATGCTGGATCTGACCTACATTTTCTGGATAAATGACCAGGTTAAATTTTTTGGAGCAGGTTCTCATCCACAAGTACATTGTACAGGCCCATAGGAAGCAATTTAATTTTTTTTTGGGGGGGGGGGGGGGCACCCAAACATTCAGAGGGGAGGGGGCATTTCCAATCAGAATCCTTGACAAGCAGACATAATCATTAAGGGGGCATGGACATAAAGTGCCATATTTTCTACAGTGTTCTATATATTGGCAAATTTATTGCCCCTCTTTTCCTACAACCATGTTGTAACTATAAGACCTATGTTTATCATATCATCTAGGGATGCATGATACTTCCAAATTGGCTTTGAATGCTGGATCTGACCTACATTTTCTGGATGAATGAACATGTTAAAATAATTGGAGCAGGTTCATCCACAAATAAATGTGAGCCCTACCAAAGTTGCACCTAGGGATATATACATGTACATGTATTACTAGACTTGCTTGGAATGCTGGATCTTATCTACATTGTTTAGTTAAGTGAACAGATTAAAGTTTTTGGAGCAGTGTCATTTGCAAGTAACTGTAAGTCCTACCTGGACCAAACTGGATGCAAGGATCTAGGGATGCACATGCTACAAGCTACACACTACTTAGGATGCGGAATCTGACTTATATTTTCCAGGTGAATGAACAGGTTAATAACTGGTCAAATCCAAAGTCATTATAAGTCTTATAATGGTGACTGATTTATATTACTATACTAAGGAAGCACACTACCAGATAGGATTTGTAAGCTGAATCTGACCTAGAATGCAGGGGTGATTGAATAGTTAAATTCCCGTTTTACAAAAGAACTTACAACTAAGATCAAAATGTTATTATGCAAATAACTTTCCTTTTTACATTGCTTTAAAAATGGTTTTAGTCTTCTTGAAAAGAATATAGAACAATTTTTTTTTCAAATTTTAACAGAAACATAAGTTTTGTAAGATTTTACAATCAACTAAAGTTATTGGTCTTAGTCATAAGTTCTTAAATGTAAAACGGACCCCAGGTCCATTTTCAAGAATCTGTTCAATCTGTAGATCCTACTTGGACCAAACTTGTACAGATGTTGTATCTAGAGATGCACACTACCCAAACATTTGTTTATTGTAAGACTTGATGACTTATAGATAACATTTGTCCAGGTGAGCTTTGTAAGTTTTTTCACTTTTAAGACTTTGATGTAGTACAGGTAAATCATGAAAGTCTTCCAGCCAATTTTTGTAGATTAGTCTGGATTTGTTTTTTAAAGACTTTTATATTCATTTGTTAAGTTTTCAGTGTTTATAAATACATATTGGAGTTGCTTTTATTCTGGCAAAAAGTAGCTGATGTTTTTCTTTATATCTTTCATTTGTTTTTACCTTTTTATTTTGCATGACTGCATGTTTTCCACGGGTGCTTAAATTTAGTTTTCTCTTTATTTTCAGGAAACCCAAAGTATGATTGAGTTGGGATAAGTATATTTATAGTAAATAAAGCTAGTATTAACAAAATAAGTAATTATTATTCATGATTTAAAAACACTGATCTAAGTGGTGCAATATAGTGATTATGTGAATGGATATACTTGTATTTATATATGTTTGTTCAACACGTGAATGTATATTAAAGTAATGTTTGGAATGCTACATATATCCATAATTCTAAATGTTAAATAGTCATAAATATTGTAGATATTTTAAAATATGCTTTTGTTTTTTGGAGTCTTAAACTTCAAAGAATCAAATTCATGAAATCAATCCCTTTAAGTTCAAGTGTTGCACAAAATATGCAATTCATATTGTTTTTTGGTGAAAGACTGGTAGTACAAATGTATTCTTTTGGAATATGATTACTTATTGTACTTTTTGTCAATTTTCTGTAGTTTTTTACTGATACATTAAAATGAAATACAGATGACAAAAAAAGTTTACTGTTGTTAGATTCTGTGACATTTAATCTGTATGCAAAATTTTGATTGAATTTTAGTGAGGTGTTACATTCTGAACAAAATTATATGGTACATATAGATAGGGAGCTAATTTGTGATTTTATGCATAATTTAGAGATGTATGTGTTTTTTATTTTTGATTTATAAATATTTTTATTTCAAAATGGTTGCTCTATATGATCTGATGGAAGCTTTTGATAACTCTCCCAAGGTTTTATTCTCTGAAGCCAACTCTACAGTCCTACTACAAAATTACTGTGGAATCATCATTGTTCTTGGGAAACCAATATTTATGGATTTTGTGGGTCAACCTTACCAATGAATTTACATCCCCATGAATGATCTCTCTCGGCAAGTTGGTTCATTGAATCCTTTGTTTATAGTTGGCTCCCCATGAAATTACATCCCCAAGAACCATTTAAATTTTGGTTGCCATTGAATATTAAAATGATTCCACAGTACATATTTCTGAAATCATTTTACCATTTAGCCTAGAATATTCAAACACACTTTTTGGAAAATATTACATACCGGTACCGGGTATTTATAATGTATACGGTAATTTCATTTTTATGCCCCTTAATTTAATTAGTTTTTAGTCTGTCCCTCTGTTTGTCTTGCCAATAACTTTTGATTGGTTGGAGCTAGAGCTTTCATATTTCACATGTGTATTCTTTGTGACAAAACCTTTCTTTGGGTATCAACATATTTGATCTCTTGACCTTGGAGTTTGACTCAGATTTGCAAAACTCTACCAAACTTTAACATTGGGCATAACTTTTGGATGGTTAGTGTTAGGGCTTTTTTAATTTCTCAAGAAAAACTAGTCCAGTGTTTGGAGAGACCACTGATTTAAAACCATGCCTTGATCACCGAAAGATTTTTTTTGGTTGAATACGAATGCTCCTTCCCCCTTCCCCCCTTATTTTTTTTTTCATATACATCATTGTCATTTTCATCCCTTGTTGAACCTTAATTGTCATTAGAGTTTTTTTAAATGGTATGTTCAATTTCATAGTTTATGTGTTTGAATATTAATCATTTGTAACTTTTTTCCTTTACTAGTCAACTTTTAAAATTCAATTTAATGCTGAGAAAAAATTGTTCAGTATATTATCATATAAATGCTGTGGTAAAATTGAAGTAAGCAAGAAAACCTAAAAAAAAAAATGTATCCATTATTCATTATATTCAGCATTTCATAATACAGGTACTAGGTATTTAAAACAATGTATGAATGGTTTCCCTACAGGCCAAAAAAATAATCAATATAGTTTCTCAGACATCACCACATCAGATCAAACACTGTCGCTTTGATCAATTTTATTGACATTGAAAAGGGAAATAGCTCATTTTTTTTTCCGAGTTGAAAAAGAAAATTGAGTTATTCCCCTTTTCATACATAATGATAGACAAAATTTATGTTTTGATTATTTAATATATTTATTGCTGATCATTATTTCATGAATTTATTTCATACAAATGGTTGGAATAATATTATTTAAGGTTGAGTATATATTATAATTAATGTAAGAACAAACAAGTAAGAATCAGTTGATATCATCATTTTGTTGATTGACCAATAAGAAAAGAGAGAACACCTGTAAAAAAAATAAATAATATAATATAGCATTGAATTTAGAAATTTTTGGCCTGAGAAACTAAAGATTTTATTTTGGCCTTACTCTGTCTCATCCCCTAGCAAACTCCTGAAATCATTCCCATTTTATTGAAGATATCTGTGTCTAGGTTTAGTCTAACAGAATCGGCATGACTTCTTTTTTGTATGAAATTGTTCATCATTTGTTTGTAACTTTATAATGTTAATGTGCAAATAAAAGAGGTACAATCTAGAAAGTTTTGTTGACAGAGCTTGGGATTTTCTCAAATTTGGACCAATTCAGATTAGATGTTAATCACCAGTTATCTGAAAAAAAATTACATAGTTATAGTATTGAATACTCTATTTATAATGCCTTTTTTTTTCTTCTTTCCATTCTTTTTTTTTTTATATTGTTTTAGAAATCATAGAGATAAAATTTACATGTATTTCCCCCTTTTATATTTGTTGCAGAATGATTACTGCAATTACAAATTGCAAACTCTTCTGTATGATGATGACAGGGGTATACTTTTAAACAATAAAATGTGACCCCACCCTACTCCCAGAGTCCATGATATGAACAATTAACAATATACATGATATCTGGAAGCTTTCAGACAAGTTTCATTTATTAATAGATTTTTTCTATTTAGTTTAACGTGATGTAGTAGTCATGTGATTTTGGCCCTTATTTACTTCAGTGGTTCTTGAAGAAAGGATAATTTTGAAAAAGATTTTTCCTTTATATTTCAAAGTAAAAATTTGATCCCTTTTTGTGGTCCCACCCTATCCTGGGGGGTCATGATTTAAATATTTTAGAATTTACACAGGTTTTTCTTATATACTTCTACGCCAAACTCTCATCCACTATTGTGGCCCCAGTAGTGCTTGAGAAGAAGTCAAATATGTGAAAAGTTTATGGATGGACAGACAGGTGAATGGATGCCAGACAATGGGTGATCAGAAAAAGCTCATTTGAGCTTTCAGCTCAGGTGAGCTAAATAGAGTTATCTCTCTTCTTTTGATAAATAATTTAAATTCTATGAAAAATTATATAAATATCTATCGGGTACATTAAATTTAAAAATAATCCTTGCAATATGACAACTGAAAATTGACCTGGAGGTAGCCAATTAAACAATACAATTGTTCCCAGTCCCTCTCCCATTGCTTTCAGTGCAGCACAACTAAAGGAACCACAATTGTTAAACAATATCATTATATATATATATATATATATATATATATATATATATATATATATATATATATATATATATTCACGAGTGGGACAGGATTTTTTGAAATTTTCATGAGTGCGAAGCACGAGTGAAAATATCAAAAAATCCTGTCTCACGAGTGAAATAAATTCCATATTCATCTACAAAACATTGAATTTTCTGTTTATTATATTTTCTTTGATTTTCCCTTTGCCTCTGTCTTTTCTTAACACAGTGTCATAGGCTTGACGTCATAGTTGAGAGGTTGAGACGTCATAGCTTAGAAGTTGTGTGTCGGACTGAAAACATTACATAGCATGGATTTTAGCAACATATTTAGGAAGAAATTTGCAGTTTTAGCTCTATCATGTTACTTAGTTACTATCTCTATCTTATGACAGGCCAGAAATTATTTTTTACTTACTTTGATATCCTTTCACACTGTGAGAGAATATCATTTTTTGTATTCTTTCACACTGTGAGAGAATATCACTTTTATTCAATAAATAAATCACAGTATTTCACTGTTGAAAATGTAATAAATATATATATATATATATATATATATATATATATATATATATATATATATTACCAAGTACCAGTATTTAATTTTTTTGTAATTCATTTTCTGTCTTATATCCTACGCAAATGAGTTAAGGCTAAGTATAGATGTTTCTATGCAAAAAAAACTAATTAAAACGCATAAGGGCTATACTATCGTACAGAAAAAGTTAAATCTTGTTTTCTAATACAAACTTGTTACCCAAGACATGTGATAGCCAGTACACATTCTGACATCATATTATGACATCATCATTCTCTACTACACAAGTTTATAAGGAACATTAACAAAATAGCTTCAGCGCAAGGGCATACCTTATTTTGTTTTACAGAAACAAGGTATAAATAGAAGCAGGATATTCCAGGGATTTATGACATTGCTGCACAAATGTTGACAGTGCAAATAATTACCGTGTAGTTACTAAGTTTTTAGTTGAAAAAGTAAAACTTCACAGTCTGATGTAAGTTTCCTCAAAGAACTATATATGGTTTCCCTCATAATAATAAATAAATCTAAACTTTCTCTGTATGAAAGATATACATCTTATACACAATCCATGTGTCAGGTGCCTGCATGTGGTTTTTCACGCATTGTTGGGGCTAAAACCGGGGATCAAATTTTACATAATGCATGAATTCAGGGGAAAAAAACTTTTGATAATCTTCTTCCCCAGAACAACAAACCCATGTAAATCAAACTGGTATTAAAGCATCCCCATTTCGTGTGGATTCAAATTCAATAAATCATAACCCCTTGGGGCCAGGATGGGGCCACAATATCAGGGCAAATTTTTTCATTACTAAGAAAAGGGAAAAATTCTTATAAAAATGTTCTCCTGAAGAACAGAGGGCCAAAGTAACTCCAATAAACTTTGGGCCCATGGACCTCTTGTTTGATTTTTGGATAAATCACTTATTCATAATTTTTTAAATAACATTAAGTTGAGATAAAATACCTTGGTGTTAACTTTCAAAATGGAAGATATGCATTTGAGCAGAGAAAACACAACAGTTAATGTATAGTATATGGTAGCTGTGCATGATGTCACAATTTAATAACCTTTAAAGACCCCTGCAACTATTTAAAAAAGATCAACGCAAGCTCACAAAATCTGCAGGCTGCAGCAAGTAGTTAATATTATAAAAGAAAAAAGAGTGACATATTTTCTTTTTATTTACATTACCATCTCCGATCAATACATAAAAAATGAACATATAATGATATTGCACTTTTTGTTCCTTGCTAACATCCAGACCCTTGTTAAGTGCTCTATTTAAGTTGAATTTTGTCTTTATGAAAGAGAGTTGCTGCAAAGTAGAGTTTGGTTAAAAAAAATTTATCAGAATATGAAATTCATCAGTCACTCCACATACATTTAGCACCACAACACCCACTGCAATGGACTCTGATCTCTACTTCTTTTTCTTTGATTTTTGTGAACTCTGTGAGGAAGAGGAAGTAGAATCCTTCCCAGAATCCTCTGCAGGTTCTGGTCGTGCTTTCTGCCATTGTAGTGGTTTTCTCCTAAACATTGGCCACGGAGGTAAAGTCAACTAAAAATGAAAAATTAAAGAAAATTTTCTGAAAAACAGAAATTGAAACCCCCATCCCCCAAAAAAACAACAACAACAAAATAGCAACTACCAAAAAAGAAAAGAAAAAAAACAAAATTTTCCCTTTTCAAGAGACATCAACATCATAGAAGCTTTTAATCTTAATATATCCAGTGTTCACATCTTAGCATTTTAACTCAGTGTCCACAGGGCAGTAACCCTGTAAAGCTACTGATTCTCTACCAAATTTGTCTGTCCTGATGACAATATAAAATGTTAAATTGTTTGCAATTCTGATTAACATTTTTCAATTGCATACTCTCTGCTTGTTGTCTGTTTTACATGCAAAATTGCCCTTGTATTTCTAAAAATTAAAATAGCCTTTTATCTTTCTTAATTGACTTAATTCAAATAAAGTTAGAAATATACAAGAGTATAGATGATGAAAGTAATGTTACATATCGAGTATACCGAGACATCACGAAAATTTGATGTGGCCTATACTTGTACATATATAGTGTGCACCACCTTTTTGGATATTTTTTACCTTTGAAAAAATATAATGTATATCATAAATGCAAATTTACAGCAATGTTTTTATTTGTCTTACATATTACATGTTGTATGTCCCTACAACAGTGATGGTGTAGCAAGAATTATCTCTCTTATTTGCTGAATAATGAAAATAATGAACAAGACAATCATACAGATAGATACTTCCAAACAATTTTTTATCATTCTATTATTTTTTTTATTATGTTTATTTTACTTTTTACCTGAGCTATTATTGGTGAAGTTCTTTGTCTACCAGCAAAAAGCAAAAAAAAAAAAAAAAAAATCAATCCTCCCAAACATGTTGATCGAAAGACAGACGTAAAGGTCTAACACTAAATATACCTAATAAAACAAATTCGAAATAACTTGTACCATATTACATTACAAAGAGGAAGATGGTTACTACTTACGATACATGATAAAGCAAATCCGGCCAATAAGATGTACATTGTTTGGGAGAACTGCTGACAGATATATCCCCATATAAATCCAACAACCTGTACAAAGAAAGGTTCTATATCAACTGCAAAACAACCAACCTCTTTTTTCCTTCTCAACTACAATACCACAATGACTGAAATTCATTTCTAGACCCCAAATTATGTTTAGTTACTTCCATACCCAAAATACTATAGTAACATTGATAGAAGGTCAGTTTAAGATAATTATTTAAGTTAGTTTGTAACTACAAAGTATTGGATTTTTTTTTCCGTTGGAAAAAAGCAAAATAAATTAAGGTTGAAGTACGCAAATGTTTTCTGGATCAGTAAAAAAAACAATAACATATCAACACGAGATCTATGTTTGTGTAATGCGTACATGTGGAAAGTGTGAGAAATTGCATTAATATTTACTACAATGTAATACAAATACTGTTTCCAAACTTTTTAATCAGTATACTTGTTTTATTTTGATTTTTAAATGTAATACTATACATAACATACCCCAAACAAGACAATAATGACTTGAAATAATTGTTCTGCACGTTTCTGTCCTTCATAGTCCTGAAACAAATTAAAACAATAAATATTTACTTAGTAAATACTTAGTAATAAATACAGGTTTTTTGAAGATGTGATATGGTTGATGTCACGATAGCCATATCAGCTTCCAAGGATAATACAGATCTTGCAGGGCTGATATTGGTTTACATCACACCCCCTAGTAGATTAAACCTTTAAAAGCAGTACTTGCAGGGGTCTAGAATTACGCTTTCCCGTTGCCCAGGGCAAGTGAAATGTCATCTTGGGAAAGATAGTTTTCGTGATAAACTTACACGAACGAGAAAATAATAAATTTCAGACTGAGATAGTTAAATTTTCGAATATATTAAAATAAATTAATAACAAAAAACATCCAACTATCAAATCTGCACAAGGCTGCTACATTTCATTTATTTAATCTCTGAGACTTGTCATCGGTAGTACAGTTGCTTGTATAATATCAGAACCAATCCGGAAAGATTTAAAAATTATGGAATGGCTTTAAAATCAGAAACGCTGTTTTGAAAAAAAATGTTTTGTCCACATATGAGATGAAATCAATAGATATTTTAACAAAATAATAAACTAGTACAAATAGTGCTTGCTTTCAAGCAATATACATTAAGAATTCACAATGAAAAAAATAAGCAACAAAATAAACAGTTGTTTATATTTTTTTCTAGATTTCAGTTTTCGAGTTCTGTTTCTTGTGTTAGATTAATTAGAAAAATAAGTATGTTTAAATTTGGATTGACCAACAAAAGAGATACTGACAGTGAGAAAGATAAAGGAAAAACATCAACAGATTCAGAAACAATGAGCGAGCAGGAACAAGACAAAATTTATGACAAAAATAAAAGGAAAAGGACAGTTGATGATAGGGGCAAGTGAATTTTGAAACTGGGCAAGTGGATTCCCAGTCAGTACTTGTCCATGGGCAAGTGGCTTTAAAAAAAATTCTAGACCCCTGTTCTTGTGATAATACACCTATTTTTTACAATCACATTCTCATCATTTTAAATTACTGTTCTTTGATATGATCAGACAATAAGCTTGTCAGTGATTATTTATACCGAGCTCTTAAAGCAACACCTGGGCAAAGAGAAAATCGGACTTTGCACACTGATCCAAACGAATTTTTTTCCGCAGTAACCTGTGGTCCCATAATGCTTTGCGAATTGCATCTCGCCGCAAACTATGTTCTCCTGGTAGCAACAAAAGTTCAACAAAAAATGAAATCACTTTGATTTAATGGACATTGCAGAAAAAAGTAGATTAAACTTTCTTCATTAAAACTAGCATTGTTCAGGCTTCAATTTGGTAAAACAACTCACATATGACGTCATGTGACTTCAGACTCTAGATCGACATACCAAATGTCACATGGGGTTTGAAGAGACGGATGAAAATTAAATCTGAATACTCATAGGTATCTTCGCTCGCCCTAACAGACGCACCATCAACATATTATTTACGAAGATCTGTGATGTATTTTATTACAAAGTATGTAGTAAACATAATAAAACATACTTTTTTCCATATCACATCCTTCGGCCTAATCTCAGCGAGATTCGTAGGGACTAAAAATTTTGGTCTGGTGTCCCTACGAATCTCAGAACAGTGTCACACAAACTGATTCGGGTTAAATCCAATAAAATATAAAGTTGTTGATTTTTCATAAGAATATCCTATTCGTTTAAACCTCCGATGCTGAAGAGTTCCAGCAATAGTCTGCTTCTAATACTTTGTACTATGTTTCATTTCTATAGGGAATAGTAGTAGTACGAAGTATTAGAAGCAGACTACTGCTGGAACTCTTCAGCATCAGAGTTTTAAACGAATAGGATATTCTTATGAAAAATCAACAACTTTATATTTTATTGGATTTAAACCTTTTAAAGGTAAGAAACGAAAGTTTTGTAGTGATAGAGACTTAAAAGGATGTCCAAAGGAAAAAGTTGAAGCGGGCAGCTAATTCATTTCAGCCCGTATTGATTGAAACAAGCGGTCGAAGTCGGGGCAAGAATACCCGAATCAGTTTGTGTGACACTGTTCTGAGATTCGTAGGGACACCAGACCAAAATTTTTAGTCCCTACGAATCTCGCTGAGATTACCTTCGGCCCTCTGGCTGATATTGGTGTCTCGGGCTGATACATGATGTGATATGGAAAAGAGTAGGTATTATTTTCTATGTAACGGTAAACATAAGCCACAAACAGAATTCAAAATAGGAAAATTGTGCTTTCAATACAAGGTAGAGATACATAGCAAATATACTGAGGAAATTCTGACGCTAACATATGGAATTAAATTCCTTGCTTAAGATAATTTATTACATTACGACAATCCGAACAAACAGTTTTGATAAACTACCATATGACAAGGAATCTTCTTGAATTTCTCGGGAAGGAATTGTGTAAGGTCCATTTTATGATTATCCAGAGACTAACAAACACAGCAGAAAAGTTGATATGGAAAGGGAAGTTGTCGTGTAATTTAAGTGGAACTCTTCAGCGTCAAAGAGACCAAAAAAGCTATAGTAATAGATACTAGTTCCGGTGAAGAAAAATTGTATGTGTTTCACAACTTGACACATATTTTGCTAAGATTATTGAAAAATTCTGTATGCTTTCTCACTTTGAGTCATCATTATGGGTGTACCAAAGTTCTATAGATGGGTTAGCGAAAGATACCCATGTCTCAGTGAAACTGTTAAGGAATTCCAGGTAAAAATATTGTTTAATTTTTTTTTATATATTAACAAGTTTCCCGGCTTTGAACAAAAAAGTTATTACTTAACAAGAGTATATATACATATATTTATATAATTATTGCATGTATAAAATACAATTTTAGGGAATAATATTCCAAATTGTCATATTTGTGTGACTGTTTACATAGATCGGAAATAATTTGTTATCAGGTAATCTTTGTCCTTGTCAGTTTATTGTTACCAGGAAATGTATTTAACTTTCACATTTGATATTCTATTTTCCTAATTATTAGGACATTTGATGAATGTTAATATTTTATGTCAATGTTTCTTGGGGTCGAAATTGTACCAGGGACATATATATTAACATATATAGTTCCCTGATCAGGCCAAAAAAAATAATAGTCTTGTTTCCTGCTACCAGCTTGAAAAAAATATGGTAGGTAGGTAGGAAAATTATTTTATTTTATTTTTTCATTTTATTTTTTTCTGATGGCATTTTTTGGATATGAACTAATACAAGTGTAACCGGTTCTTGTAGAAATTAAAAAATGACTGCAAGATGGTATATAGGGTTGGATTCTTAGTATTTATTCCGTGGAGATATATAGTTGATTTCAAGATGAATTAAATGTTTTAAATTAACCCTAAAATAACAATAACAACATATAAATACATAGACAACATATAAACAAGCACATTCACTTTACAACACAAAACGATCACAATTTAAACACATAAAACATTCATTTAAGCCATTACTTTACACTTTATATAAACGCATTCAAAGGGCGATAACTCTTTGAAACTCTTACTGAATTAATGATCTAAATTATATTTCTCTATACTGAAATATTTACAACTTTAAAAATATGAGTTTAACATACCAGTGTATGGAACTGAGTGATTTATCTCTTGATCAGGATGACTTTAAAGAATTATTACATGATGACCTAATGGATTAATAAATTATAAAATCATAATAATTCAAACCCAGATCTTAATCCAAAGATCTACATGAATTAGATTAAAACATATAACTTGCTCTTACTTTACAATATCGATCTTAACTTTAATAACTTTAGAACTTTCACTCTAGCACATTCATACTCATTTAGCAAGTTTATATTAAAATACTTTATTATCATTCATTATCTTTAATTTTAGTTTATGATCATTAGATGTGTTTATAAAAGGTTTACTTACAGTTTATGGGTGTTTAATATACTCCAAAATATCAAATATTAAATTTTAAGCAATCACAAATCTCTAGCTACACCCTTCTCAGACAGTATCTTTGAATGGAATCATAAAACAAAGGTTTCCCGCCTGAATGGACAACTTTGACCAAACAATACCATCTGACCAATAGAATGTAGGAAAACAGACAATACCCTTATTTATAAATGGACTAATCCTTATATCTACCTTAACCCATAGTCTTTGGGTTAAACCATTATTTAAATAGGGATGTTTATGATTTAAACATATAAATAAATAATATATTAGTAATGCAGGCGCAGCGCTTGTATAGATGTATGGATGAATGAATGAATGATTAATTCCTGAAATAAAATATATAGCATTAATTAAAATAAAATAAAACTAAGTACAACTACCACACAAGATCAAATTAAACATGTCACAGGTCAATATTGTCTTTTAAAATTAAATTTCATGTCTTTTTTTATGCACAACTCAAGGGTATTTTATGAAAGTCCATATTTTAAAACAAGAATTTCATGAAATGCTTGTTTTGTGTTAACACCGAATCCGATTATGGTGACAAAATGATGAAATACCGGAAATTCCCAATTTTTTTTCTTCCAAAACTAAAAAAAACTTTAGGGTCGGGTACAAAAAAATAGGGTAGGTCGGGTAGCAGGAAACAAGACTATTTTTTTTTTGGCCTCATACCAATGCTTTTAGAAAGGTAACTGAAATAATGCTGGATGCCCAAGAAAATTGCAGTTTTTTTCCCTAGTGTATACTTTGTATTATGCATTCTATGGTGTAAATGATTACAGTATACTGCAATAGTTTTTCTATTCTTTGGGACAGATTCCTGAATTTGACAACTTGTATTTGGACATGAATGGTATCATTCATGTTTGTTCACATCCTGAAGATGATAATCCTCACTTTAGAATCACAGAGGAGAAAATCTTCAAAGATATCTTTCATTATCTAGAGGTACATTTTAGTAAATAAATGAAAAAAAAAATGTACATGATGACTAAATGACTAGTAACCTAATTCTCATTCACACTATATACAGACAATTAATGAACAGGATATGTTGTATTAACATAATTAATGTGAAGTTCATATCAATTTCCTGATTTTCCACCTTTATAATATTAACAATTGTCTTTCAAGTAATTCCAATGATACAAAATATTACATTGTTTCTGTTGAATAATAAAATTATTATGTAGAGTAAACATATTTTGTCATTCCTTTGTAGTTTTTGTTCCGAATCATTAAACCTAGGAAAGTATTTTTCATGGCGATAGATGGAGTGGCACCAAGAGCCAAAATGAACCAACAGAGAGGAAGAAGATTTAGGTAATGTACACAATTGAAAAGATTCACTTTTAAGTTTTTCTAATTAATTTTAGGATACATGTATTGTAATAGTATTTTGTATATAAATGCTCAAAGTTACTCATAAACCAATTATGACAATTATGTGCTTTTGTTTATGCTAGACTATAAGGAATGAGATTTGACTCGGCTGTAATATTTGCACCTATTTATGAGCATCAGAGAGTTTACATCCATTTCATTTTTAGTTCTGTAAGATTTAATGGTATTTACTTAACTGATGCAGAGGATTTATAAATTTTTCCACTTTATCTGTTTAAGTAAAGTTAGTCTGACTCACTAGAAAATTTTGTAATAGAAATATTTTACTTACTTGATATATTTGTTTTTGCTGATGAAGATTTTTAAGGAAGTCTGAAGAAGAAAAAAAATCTGCAATCTATTATAATAAAAGCATGAAGGCCAGTAAATGCAATAACAATATAATTCTCCATCTTGCATACAATGCAGATTATGAAGAAAAATGAACTGTGAAGCAAAACCAAATGTGTGAATCAACAGTATTTGTCATTTTGTTTTCTGTTTATTATTATTATTTTTTTTTTTTGTTTGATTGATTTTTTTCTCTTTGCACATTTCATTTAACTGGTATTCTATGATTTTGATACACTGTACATGTTTATGGTAATTACCATCTTATTTGTCAATTGATTTTTGAAGATCGGCTCGAGAAGCTGAGCTCCTGGAGAAAAAAGCCAGAGAATCAGGAGAGACCCTACCCACAGAAAAAAGATTTGATTCCAACTGCATCACTCCAGGTAAGGTGGACATAAATTTGTATTAAAAAAAAAAAAAGATTGAAGTGATTAAATTTATCTAAAATATTTACCGTACATCCTGGATATTATTTAAATCTGTGTACCAACAGACAGTTCAGAACCACAGCTTTTACCTGTGTTTATTTTGAACTATTTGGGAAATGCTATGTTCACCTAATACTTAATGTCATAGCAAAGTCAATTTAATTCCAAGAATTTATTCTCTTTTATTATATGTATGTTTTGGATGTTTTCAGTATCAAATTGAAGTAAGGATGAAAAAATAAAAGTATTTTTCACATATTTTTTAATACACTGTACATAAGATGTTGTTTGAGAATAAACAGATTCATGTACATTGTATGTGTGTTCTGTAACAGGTACGGAGTTCATGGTAAAGCTACATGAACAGTTGAAGTATTTTGTCACCAGTAAAATCTCCAGTGATCCTTTGTGGCATGGAGTGAATGTGTATTTATCTGGACATGAGGTAAGTATTGAGTAAAAGAAAGACCCCCCCCCCCCCCCCCAAATAAATAAACACAAACACACAAAGAAAAGAAATGCATGAATTCTGAAAAGAAATTACTTGATTGGGAGATCATTAGAAATGAATTGTTTTTGTTGTAAAATTAAGTGATGCACCAGTAAGCTGAGTTTGGTTACATATGTTTCAGACACCAGGAGAGGGGGAACACAAAGTTATGGACTTCATCAGATGCCAGAAATCTAAACCAGGCTATGATCCGAATACCAGACACTGTCTGTATGGATTGGATGCAGATCTGGTAAATGAATGAAATAGATCAATAGCTAGGATTGAGATTATTAAAAGGAATGATTCATGACAGACTCCTTGAGATAGTCTTTGTGTAAAATGATAAAGTATAAAGAGCCAAGTATTGTTCAATGAAGTAGAATCTAACACAGAGACCAATTTTCCACAGATGATGCTAGGTTTGGCCACACATGAACCACATTTCTCACTTTTGAGAGAAGAAGTAAGATTTGGAGGAAAGAAAGATAAAAACAAAAGGTTTGTCTGTTACTAAAATTGAACATTTTCTGAATATTCATGGCTTCAATAGATAAGATTATTTGTAAAGTGTACAATTTTCCTAAACAGTGAAACCAAAGTGTGTTTACAAATAAAGATAAGGAATTCCTGATGCTGTATATTTGTTGTCACTTCCTGTTATGTATTTATAGACCCGCCACTCCTGAGGAAACCACCTTTCATCTTTTACATCTCTCTTTGTTCAGGGAGTACCTGGATTTTGAATTTGCTGCACTCAAGGTATCAATTTTAACACTTGAAATTCCAAATATTTTTTAAAAGCTACCAGTCTACATTTTCTGCAGAACATGTACATGTATTAGAATATAAACATACATTGCACTTGATCAGACTCAGATCAGTACATACATGTATCAAGCAGTGAACTACTGTAGTGTCACATTTATAATTGTTCAAGATTAAGGGGATGCATATATTACATATGAACTAAATCCAATCCCTTTTTTTCTGAACTCTTTTCTCAGCTTTAAGGACTGATTTCATCAATATCTTGGTGTTGGTTTATCAAGTTTATTGTGTATTCCCCCCATTTTGAATGATTGTAAGTTACACAGGACCCGTAACTTTGGGGGGTGCATACTTTACAATGATGCATGCTTTACTCGTGACTTTATGATAAGTTTATTCTAGTTGTCTTCAACTAAACAATGCATCAGAATGACATTTATGTTGGTGTTTTATAAAGGGGAAGCTACCATTTGGTTATGATCTGGAGAAGATCATAGACGACTGGATTTTGATGGGGTTCCTTGTGGGGAATGACTTTATCCCTCATCTACCCCACCTTCACATACAACATGATGCCCTCCCTACACTCTGGAAAACCTACATGACTATCCTCCCAGAATGTGGAGGTAATTCTTAAAAAATGTTTTGTGAAACAATTTGTGACTTTGACATGTTTTTTCCCCTAGTAATATATCAGTGTGCAGTGAAATGAAAGAAAGGTCTCTTGATCATATTTTTTTTTCACTAAACTTTACTAAAGATAGAGGGTACTATGTCTTACTGAAAGGGTAGAACTTTTGTGAAAATAAAATTTTATTTCTTGATAAAAAATTTCCACCTATTTTAGGGTACATGAATGAAGGCGGCCACTTAAACCTTGAGAGATTTGAGAAGTTTATGAATGAATTAGCAAAGGTAAAATTCATGAATATAAAATCTGTGTATAATAACTGTATCAAATGTAGCATTCTTGTGTTGCAAGAATTATTTTATTTGGCAGAAAGTCATATATAAATGTTTTGCTTTATTTGTATATATTAACTGTAATGTTCTGGTAGCTCATATTTCACTGTATTTGTGACTCAGGTGAGCATTATGGCCCATGGGCTTCTTGTTATGTTAGATCAGTATCTTTAAAAATATGTGATTCATTTTATACCAGTATGATGTAGACAAATTCAGTGAAGTATTCACAGACCTGAAATGGTTTGAAGGAAAGAAGACAGAGAAGTCGGAGCAACAAGAAGATCAAACCAGAAAGGTGTTTAGTAATGAAGTCTTTAGAAAGCTTCTTCTGTTTGAAAATAAAAACATTGCAGGGGAAGTTTTTCTTTCTGTATACTTTATTGTATAAATTCACTTTGCAGATAAATTTGAGTTCTGTTTTTGATAGCTTTTAGGCTTGGACTTTAAACATTACAATTTCATATCTACATTTAAGTATTGTTAACAGAATCTGGTATATTGTGATCCATGTATAAAAAGTTGCATTGGTGATTTCCTTTTCAGAATAAGAAAGAGAGTACAAACCAGTTCTTGTTATTAGAATCTCTTGATAATGAGGCAGAGGAGACTGGACCTTCCCAACCAAGCACAAGTCAAGGTAAGATTAATGCTTGTATTAAGCACAAGTCAAGGTAAGATTAATGCTTATTTTAAGCACAAGTCAAGGTAAGATTAATGCTTGTTTTAAGCACAAGTCAAGGTAAGATTAATGCTTGTATTAAGATAGGCTACATAAAACATAAGCCAGAAAACCTCCTACAGTAGAAATACATGCATTATCAACAAGAATAATGCATGGACATTTACTTCTATTGACTGAAGATAAGATAATAAAGCATAAATCAGAAAATCTTATAGAGTTATTACTGATTGTCGAACGGACTATTAATCATGACAGACATGTAGTAAATGTCTAAGTGTTATAGAGAGATCTAGGACAAACGAGGATGAGGAAGAACTTGATGAGGATGAGGATAGTGACACGTTTGATGAGGAGTTCAGGCTCCACAAGCGTAATTACTACATGACCAAGCTAGAGTATGAGAACGTGGATAAAGAAGTCCTGCGGGACCAGAGTGAGCAGTACGTCCGGGGGATACAGTGGATTCTTCTGTACTACTTTGAGGGAGTTCCATCCTGGAGCTGGTAAGGATTATCGTCGGAAATTCACAGTAGATAGTGTTATTGATGATAGCTTTAATAAATCTTAGTATCAGGGATATGCCGATATACATACATATACAATTGTATATTAGGTAATACATGTATGTGCTTTTTGAAGTTTAAGCAAATTTATCCTTCATAGATAGCATTGGAATTATTGAATTTGAAATTTTTGTTATCCCATTTTATTTGCAATATCAAAGATGGGATGGAATATTTTGAAATAACCATAAAGTACCCAAAAATTAGATAGTTTCATAATATACCTACATGTATTAAACATTTAATTAATACACCACAATTTTGACTTGAAGGTTTTACCCACATCACTATGCACCATACATCAGTGATGTAACAGACTTTAAGGACTTGAAGATTGAGTTTGAGATGGCAAAACCCTTCTTACCTTTCCAACAGTTGATGGCTGTGTTACCTGCTGCCAGTAAAGAGCTGCTACCTGAGCCATATCAGGTGGGATCACATTAGTTTTAAAAGTAATCTGGTCACTCTCTACTAGCTAAATGATGCATTTAAAAGTTACTCTAGTGGAATACCAAAAGGACACAAAGGTAGTACCCATCAGCATGTTTTGGGTGACATTACAAGGCAGAGAAACCTTAACATTTGAGCAGTTTATTAGAAATAGGAATGGTAGGATAAAAATTTTCTAACCAGCATCATGGTCTTTGTTGTCAATTAAACCCAGTTTTTAAACTGACTCTCCTAAAACAAATAGACAATATCTGCACTCCTTCAGTGCAAATTGTGATGAAGGTTATTTTCTTCAATTCAGGTAGAATGTATATCATCTTCATACTAAAAGGTCTATGTAAATGTACTTTGAAAGAGATTATAATTGACATATTTTTTTGTTTACAGAAGCTGATGACCAATGAGAATTCCCCGATTATAGACTTTTATCCGGTGGATTTCCAGACCGATCTGAATGGTAAACAGCAGGAGTGGGAGGCGGTTGTCCTTATTCCATTCATTGATGAGGTTTGTTTTAATTATCAGATTCATTGTGCTGGTATGTTGGCATGTATTTTATTCTTTTAATACATTTATTTGTCATAGTCACTTAGAGTGTTTGAAATATGTGAATAAGCCCATAATAGCTAAAAAATGAATTACTTGTATGTCTTTAAAAAATGTTCTTTGTTACTCATGGATATCTAGTTTTGCATGATTATGAACACTGTGTAATAGACTGTCTACCGAAATTCATGATCACAGCTCAATTTACAAGAGTGGAGAGAACTGCTTTGTTCTGACATAAACTTTGCAACAGAGCAATGTGTGGGGCTTGTAATTGATGGAGTGATGGTTAACATCTTTGGAATTTGCAGTAATGCATGACCATGACAATCAGTTGCCAGTCAAAGCCCATTAGTTTCATGATTTTACATAGAAATGTAAAGCACAAAAGTTAAAATACAGTGTATTAAAAATGATTTCTGCAATGATATTTTGATAAAATGTGCAGTTGTGATGTGCAATATTTATTAATGATTTTAGAAAAGACTAATAGATGCCATGAAATCAGTGGAGCATGAACTGACCCCAGCTGAGAAGAGGCGGAATACCCATGGTCCCTGTCTCCTGTATAACTTTACGCCAGACGTACTGGAACCTTACCCGTCCTCATTACCAGAGGCTTTTCCTGATATTATTAATAATCATGCCAGGTAATTAGTTAATGCTGGTTACATGACTGTTGTTCATTGTATGCATTTTTCTTTTTAACATTTTTAAATACTGTTGAAAGAGTTGATTTGTATCTAATTCCAAATAATACAATTTGTATCTAATTCCAAATAATACAATTTGCAGGTTGACTAAGCTGGGAATTGATGCCTTCAGGGTGGATCCCGAGGAAATGGTGAAGGGTCTGATGCCAGATGTTAGATTGGATGTTTTCTTCCCTGGATTCCCTACTCTCAAACATATACCCCACAAGGTAAGATCCTTAGTCTTATCATCAAACATATACCCACATGTTAAATTCCACAGTAGTCAACAACAAACACATAATCCACAGGGTAAATCCCACAGTAGTCAACAAGAAACACATAATCCACATGGTAAATCCCACAGTAGTCAACAACAAACACATAATCCACAGGGTAAATCCCAGAGTAGTCAACAACAAACACATAATCCACATGGTAAGTCTCACAGTAGTCAACAACAAACACATAATCCACATGGTAAGTCTCACAGTAGTCAACAACAAACACATAATCCACAGGGTAAATCCCACAGTAGTCAACAACAAACACATAATCCACAGGGTAAATCCCACAGTAGTCAACAACAAACGCATAATCCACAGGGTAAATCCCACAGTAGTCAACACAAACACATAATCCACAAGGTAAATCCCAGAGAAGTCAACAACAAACACATAATCCACAGGGTAAATCCCACAGTAATCAACAACAAACACATAATCCACAGGGTAAATCCCACAGTAGTCAACAACAAACACATAATCCACAGGGTAAATCCCAGAGTAGTCAACAACAAACACATAATCCACAAGGTAAATCCCACAGTAGTCAACAACAAACACATAATCCACAGGGTAAATCCCACAATCCTCATCCTCATACATATATCCAACATGGTAAGCCCTCCTTACCATCAAATACATTAAATGACTGAACAACATTCACTTACATGTTCTATTGCAAATGTATCATAAAGCATGATTTTGTAGAGAAGTTTAGTTTGAAATTTGAATACACCACTGAAATTGTGTTATTTTGATGTAGGCATTTTTGAAGAAGGAAGGAGTGAAGGTTTTCCAAATGAACAGCAGAAATGAAAACATGATACTAGAGATACTGGAAGATCCAGATAGGGTAAGAAGAAATGAGATAGCAAGATATCCAGATAGAGAAAGGAGGGAAATGAGATAGCAAGATATCCAGATAGGATAAGGAGAGAAATGATATAGCAAGATATCCACATAGGGTAGGGAGAGAAATGAGATAGCAAAATATCCAGATAGGGTAAGGAGAGAAATGAGATACTGAGAGAAATGAGATACTGAGAGAAATGAGGTAGCAAGACATCCAGATAGAGAAAGGAGAGAAATGAGATAGCAAGATATCCAGATAGGATAAGGAGAGAAATGAGATAGCAAGATATCCAGATAGGGTAAATAGAGAGATGAGATAGCAAGATATCCAGATAGGGTAAATAGAGAGATGAGATAGCAAGATATCCAGATAGGATAAGGAGAGAAATGAGATAGCAAGATATCCAGATAGGGTAAGGAGAGAAATGAGATAGCAAGATATCAGGTAGGGTAAGGAGAGAAATGAGATAGCAAGATATCCAGATAGGGTAAATAGAGAGATGAGATAGCAAGATATCCAGATAGGGTAAATAGAGAGATGAGATAGCAAGATATCCGGATAGGGTAAATAGAGAGATGAGATAGCAAGATATCCAGATAGGGTAAATAGAGAGATGAGATAGCAAGATATCCAGATAGGGTAAATAGAGAGATGAGATAGCAAGATATCCAGATAGGGTAAATAGAGAGATGAGATAGCAAGATATCCAGATAGAGTAAGGAAATATATGAGAAACTGAGAGATCCAGATAGCTTAGGAAGGAAGACGAGATACTGGAAGATCTAGATAGGGTAAGGAGAGAAATGAGATACTGAGATTTCCAGATAAGATAAGGAGATAATTGAGATAGTCAGAGATCCATATAGTTTTGGAAGCTTAGCTTAGGAAGGGAGATGAGATACTGGAAAATCTAGATATGGTAAGGTAAGAAATGAGATACTGAGATTTCCAGATAAGATAAGGAGATAGGTGAGATACTAAGAGATCTAGATAGCTTAGGAAGCTTAGCTTAAGAAGGGAGATGAGATACTGAGAATGTAAGGGATACATTTACATGATGCTGAGTAGAATGAATAGGAATATTTTAAATCATATCAAAAGCAGACAGAGTGGGAAAAGAAGGTTTGAGGATTTCTTATATTCAGAGATTAAAAAAAAAGATATTGAAGGAAATACATGGAGGTTTTTGTTGAGTAATACACATAAGTATGACTGTATTTCCTTAATGTAGTGGACTTTTATTATACTTTAGTGTAAATTGAACAGGAACAACAGGGCTCAGAAAAGTACAAATTTTTACCAGTAATCAATGAGCCATTCATCCCCCATCTACTCTTTTACTATCCTTATTCAGATCCTTATCTGTACCTACATCTTATCATTTGCTAACATTTTCTTAAGTTCAACATTATTTATCCTCAGAAAGTTTTATATTTTAAAAGTCCTGTCACAGAAACATGAAAGAATCATAGGAAAGTGCAGCATTTTGATGGAAGTGAAAGAGGCACATTAAGTGTAATTAGTGTATTATTATAAGTGTAATAACTAACCTTAATACACTACAATCATGATTTCAGCCAAAGGATCTTGAAGCTGTTGCGAACACTTTGCTGGGTAATACAACTTTTGTTAGCTGGCCTCACCTGTTTGAAGCAAAGGTTGTTCAGGTGTCTGATGACACAGAAAGGTAACACAAGCACCTCTCAATGGAAATCTTGTATACATTTCATACAGTTTAATTTACTTGGTACATACATCTAGCTTTTTTTATATTCTCAGGTATATACTTGTTGAGTCCCCTCAGAAGGGAGGAAAGAGCCCCAGGACCAGGGAGATTGTAAGGGAGGCCCAGAACAACACAGAGAGTAGTCTCTGGCACAGAGAAGTGGCTAGTATTAAAGAGAGGTAACTCTTGTCCTATTATCTCCTCTATCATAGAATTCGCAATGGTTGTTGATGCATGGACATATGTACATTCTATAAATATTTGTAAGTAAATGATACTCTACAAGGGTTAGAAATTTCATTGAAATATTCTTATTGTTATACAGATATCATGACAGACTGGGTGTTCTGGTTGGAGAAACCTCCATTTTATTGAAAGTCTTACCAATGAATGGCAGAACGTAAGTTAAACTGCTCTACCCGTATATAGCACCTTTGGCAGAAAGAAACTTCCGCTAATTCAATTACAACGCTAAATGTATTGCACATGAATACATAAATAAGAACATTAAGAAATGCACTAAATCAAATTATGCTAATTTGTTAAAAAATCAATTTCCGCTAAATATTGTACGTGCTAAATATAATACATTTACAGTAGATCTACATACAGTGCATGTATATTGTATGTATACCTGACACTATACATGTATTTATCAAACATATCGTTATAATTTCTTCAAGAATCAACAAATAAAATCTTTCAGATAATTTTTTTTACAAAAAATTCGACTCTACTATATAAATCCCTTTGATTTAGGTATGTCTGTGGCTCACACGGAGTGATAACACTCAAGAAACAGTTCGCTCAGAACCCAGTTCCCTTTGTTTATCAGGCCACTGTTAAAGTAAGTGAATCCTCAAGTACATTGTATGTTCTTTTTGTAGATTATGTACACTTCATTTAGATGTTACAGTAAAACTTGTTGAATCCGACACCACTGATTCCGTAGAAATTGGCCAGATTCTGGATTAGACAACATTTTAACCAATTGAATTTACTGATAGTTACTAAAATTATGCATCTTTTAAGCAAGATTTTGGTTAAAAAAAACATCTGGATTAGACAAGTTTTAATGTATAATTTTTTTTTTTTACTTTTATGAGATTAACACCATCATTGAGCTACCAGAGAAGGACAGTACCTATTCTGTGAACTGATATTTGTTCACAGAGGCTACAAATTAAAAATCTATAGTCTTTTGAAGTAAATATTTTCGAACTGATGAAGAGAGTATGAAAATTAAATAGTACTGCTTGAATCATTTTACTATACTACTGTAAGTCTATAATGTGATGTCATAAAAACCATATTGGGATTCACACTTTGAGATGATGGGAGTTCATATAATCAAAAGGAAAAAAAAATCACCTGTTAGTGTTGAAAATCATTTCAGGAAGAAAGTAGATTGATGTAAATATGACATGTATGTGGTAAATTCTGTAAAATTACAAGTGTTGAAGAAATATTTTTTGCTTCATACGTGTAACAAAGAAAACTTAATAGAAAATTAAAGGAAATATTAAACTTGCATTACATGTATTTCAGGATATATCTGTACATGACCCTAGTTTCTGCCAGTTCCGTACCTTGTCAGAAATGTTTCCCCTGGGAGAGGTGGCTTTTATGTTGGGATGGCCCCACTATGGCTGTCAGGGGGAGGTCTTAGATGTAGAGGAGGGTGAAAGCCCCAGGGTCAGGATCAATGTCACCACTCTGGAGGAACCCAACCTGGCCAAATTTATCAATACAGAGGTTTGTTAAATCAAAAAGTGTTTGTCCTTATATTTACTTATGATGTGCTATGGCATACTTGTATATAAAATGGTTGTTTTATGTAACTACATGATGTATGTCTGATATTTTATGGAGAGTTATTTTAATTTGTTGGTGCAAATTTTTATGAACTGCAAGAAAATTTAAAGTAACTTGGGTATGTCGTTTCATTCGAGAATGTCTCAAGAAATATATCACTTATCAATAAATGTCAATATTTTTGAGGTTTTAATTTTCTGGGTAAAGGTGTCCACAAAATCTACAAAAAAAATTGAACCTCAATGAAATATGATTCCACAAGACTTGACTGGCTTGCAAATGATTAAAGTGAGAGTATTTTGAAGAAGTGTAGGTGCAGAATATAAAAACTTTACAGGTGATAATTTCCATTAGCAATCAATAAACAAGTTTATTGTCCCACAATGCATTCACAAGATTCATTTTACATTTGTTAACTCTCTGTAGAGGTATAATGACCAGTACTACACATCGTTTCAATCAGCCCAGTGGGTGGGAACCAGTTCACACTTCCTGTCTCGTATCACGGGGTCTATCTTCATAAAACGGGGATCTCGAGAAGATCCTGATGATTCCAAAATGGTCAACATTGGCCTCAATCTGAAGTTTACAAAGAAAAATGAGGAGGTGCCAGGCTACACCAAGTTAACGAATGAGGGGTGGTTATACTCACAGAAAGCTACAGACACTGTTCTCGCATACCTGCAAAAGTAAGTGGAAGAAAAAACATAAAATCTGTCATACCTAAGGCATAACTATCTAGCAATTCTTTATTACATGAATATTTAAGAAACAGTAATTCTTTTGGTTGAATGCCTAATACATTGTAGATGTAAATTCAGGGGTAAAGAGACCTTTGTATAACTAGTCATTGTATGCTTCAGATTTCCTGACATGTGGGACACTCTTGTTAATTTGGACAGAGAAAAGAAGGATGTCTTATATGAGGCAGAAATCTTTAAAAACCTGAGGTATGAATTTTTGTGCTTTGTGTTTAATTTGAAACCTTTTCACCATTTAATATTTTTACATGTCTGTCACATCCACAGTTTTAAAGTTACTGTTTTAATTTCCCTTTTTTTCCCGTACTTTTTGTTGAACTCCGATGATTGTATATTTCCCTTTCGGATTACAGTGAGACTATAGACACTGTACTTGATTATGTGAAGGCCCAGCCCTGCTCTCAGATCAAACCACAGAAAGTTGGAGCCGATGTACTGGATGAAGGAGTTATCAAAGCCATAGAAAAAGAAGTCAAAATTGTCAATGTAATTCAAATATTACATTATAGAGAATGTAATAACTGTCAATGTAATACCCAAATGCTACATTATGAAGTAATGAAATAGCTCAGTCATAACCATTGATGTAATGGCCAAATATTACATTATAAAGGAATGAAATAAATGTTGATGTAATGGCAAAATGTTACATTATAGAGGAATGTAATAACTTGATGTAATGCCCAAATGTTACATTATTCAGTACATGTAATGTACTACTGTCAGTGTAATACCCAGACATTATAGTGTAATACATGTATAACCTGATGATGGTTGTTTATTACAGGAGAGAAATAAACAGAAGATAAATGTCAAGAAAGTCAAGATGCAAGTTAAGCCTTATCTCCTCTACAAGGTATAAAAGGGAGGTCTTACTGTTATTTAATAATCGGTTCATTGTGTTCTCTTTTTTTTTTGTTTTTTTTCATTTTTGACTTGGTTGTAATGGTTCACATTTTATATTGTAATTTCTCACTTTTGATTAAAAAATTAAGATAATCTTAGTGGGAGATTAATTGTATATATTGGCTAGTTAAGGTGAGAATTTTTTCTTTACTTTCAGCCTTTGGTCATTCAAGGGGGAGTGTTACCTGATCCTACGGTGCATTATGAGATATTTGACCGCGTCGTCAATATAAGGACAGGTTACTCCGTCCCGTTTGGCCTGAGGGGGACTGTTGTTGGGATACAGAAGGGAGAGAAGGATTCAGACACTATGTATGATGTCATCTTTGATGAGGAATTCCCTGGTGGAATAGTTATCAGGTACATTATTAGAAAATTATGATACATGTATATATATATTTATCCCATGTTTACTCCTTTGTCCCGTGGATATGACTCACTGGATATTTTTTTCATATCCCACAGTTAAGTGCAGTTGTGACGTCACAATGGTTTTTGCATTAGCGTAATGAAGTAAAATGAAGTGGAGTTCTATATAAAACAGTGTAAAACATTGGTTGTAAAGTATTGAATATGGGATAAAAAGAATCTCCCATGATTTGTAGTTGGATATAACTTTTATCCAACTCGTTGTGTGTTTTTATCCCCTCGCCAAGGCTCGGGGATAAAAAAACACACAACTTGTTGGATAAAAATCATATCCAACTACAAATCATGGGAGATCCTATATATATATATATATATATATATATTTACATATATATATATATATATATATATATTATCCAATAAAAAGTCTCAGTGGTCGGAATAAAATACTTAACATAAAGAAGAAAAACACGAAAAAAGCTTTACTGAGGTTTTTCGTGTTTTTCTTCTTTATGTTAAGTATATATATATACATGCTTAATTTTTGATAAAATTTTCTGAAATAAAAAATTGTAGTTGTGGATGATTTTTTTTTCAAGAGAGCATTTTTATTAGTGTAGTCATGTCTATTTTTTAAACAGCTTTTCAATGCTTTGCATTTTAGAAGTATTAATATCTTTCTTTTCAGGGGTTCAACTGAGAGAGGTTATAGACTGCAGTCAGCAGGAATGATTAATATCACTTACGGAGCTCGCAAAAATGGTGCAGCAAAAGAGCTCAAGTCAAAAACAAACCAACAAAACACCAGACTGTCTCAGGATAGCAATTATAATAGTTCTTTGTACCAACAAAAACAGCAGCCCTACCACCAAGGAAACCAGAATAGAATGTATAACTCATATGCTGATGCATCAAGAGGAGGTCAAGGGTCATACAGTGACCTGATGAATAGGAATGAGAAAAGAGGTTATAATGATTATGGGTATGAAGATGGCTGGGGTTATAATGATTATGGAAGAGGACAGAAGGGTTCCAATAGACAGGGAAACTTTGGGGGTAGAGGGTACTCAGGGGATTATCAGGCAAACATTGATTATAGTGGTTACAGTGATGGACAATATTACTCAGATCAAGGAAGAGTCGGGTTTAATGGTGGAAGAGGAGGGAGGAATCAAGCTGGAAACAGAGACATAAGGCAGCAGCAGAAAGAGGAGAACAGAAGGGAGAATCAGATCAAATCCCAGCAAAGTAAATCTCAGGTAAGTTAGATAACTCAGGCAAGTCAGAAAGAGGAGAACAGAAGGGAGAAAGTCAGGTAAGTTAGATAACTCAGGCAAGTCAGAAAGAGGAGAACAGAAGGGAGAGTAAAACTCAGGTAAGTTAGATAATTCATGCAAGTCAGAAAGAGGAGCACAGAAGGGAGAATCAGATCAGGTCCCAGCAAAGTAAAACTAAGGTAAGTTAGATAACTCAGGCAAGTCAGAAAGAGGAGAACAGAAGGGAGAATCAGATCAAGTCCCAGCTAGGTAAAACTCAGGTAAGTTAGATAACTCAGGCAAGTCAGAAAAGGAGAACAGAAGGGAGAATCAGATCAAGTCCCAGCAAAGTAAAACTAAGGTAAGTTAGATAACTCAGGCAAGTCAGAAAGAGGTGAACAGAAGGGAGAATCAGATCAAGTCCCAGCAAAGTAAAACTCAGATAAGTTAGATAACTCAGGCAAGTCAGAAAGAGGAGAACAGAAGGGAGAATCAGATCAAGTCCCAGCAAAGTAAAACTCAAGTAAGTTAGATAACTCAAACATGTTTTAAAATACGTTATGTTCCTGCAGCATAAAAACCAATATAAATTTTTTAAAAAACTCAGGTAATTTAGGTTATTCAGGCAAGTCATGTTATGTTACGATAGCAAAAAACAAGACAAGTCGGGGGAAAAAAACTCATTTAAGTTATATACTCAAGCAAGTCAGTTCATAAGACCAAGACAAGTCAAGAAAAAGAAACAGGGGGAAAGTTCAATGGTGTCAAAGCAACATAAACTAAGGTACATACAGATGTAACTAGGAACAAGTTTCAGCAAAATCAAACTCAAGCAAGTAACTTAAATTGAATTCAAGTCTTACTAGAATAAATATTACAGAAGATGATGAGAAAGAACTCAAGTAAGCTAGATCAAGTGTCATCTGAAAAAATGTAAAAATAATTGGGGGGATTGTCACAATTCTACATGTATATAAACAATAAGTGAAGTTAGAAAACTTGAGGAAACATAAAGCAATAAAATAAACACTGTATATTATTGTTTACTTCAGACATTTAAATTCTGTGATTTTTACTTGTACATGTATGCTATGATTTGCATAAATGATTTCATTGGTTGTTAAAACTGTCTACAGAGCAAGGAATCCCCAGTCAACAGTGACATGTATCTAAGACAACAGAGTTTTGATGGCAGTGATTCTACCAAGCCTACATTTGTGACCCCAAAAGTAGCTCAGCAGGCCCGAAAAGAGGGCAGTGCAAGGAAGGTAATATCTATATACAGTCAAACCTGTATGAAGCAACCTATCAAAAGGTATTGTCTGTATACAATCAAACCAAACCTACCTTTGTGACCCCCTAACATAGCACAGCAGGCCAGAAAAGAGGGCAGCACAAGAAAGGTAATGTCTATATATAGTAAAATCTATATCAAGCAGCCTAGCAAAATGTAACACATGTCAGGTAAAAAGATTCAAAGTAATCCAAAATGCACATGGAAAGAAGTTTGTGTTTACTTAGAGTTCTACTAGAAGCAGAATTAAAGCTGAACATGATTCATAAAAGAAAGAGAGTTATTATTGGCCGCCATATTAGTTTTATCGAGATTGTCATTTGCCAGCCACTATATAAGCCTCAGTTTTGTTCAGAGTTCAGTGTATTTCGCCTCACGGAGTGTAACTGAACAGAAGTCTTTTTCATTATCACTATGATAGACTTGGGCGCGACAAAAATGACTTCTGTATGCCTCTGCCACAACAGGAATCATAATTACCAAAGATACAGGAATGTCAATTGCACTGGTCAATGCATTACAAAGTGAAATAAACACAAATGCATGCATTCAATGAAATAAAATGGAAACAAAAAGATAATGCAAGATATACATGTACTACACGCAGCAGTGACCAAGTAAAAGCAGTCTGGTTTAACAAATGTGAAGGGTTTATATGCCCCAGTGCTGATATGGGAGATAAAGAATTTAATATGGCGTATGCCTATTTATGAGTCATGTTCAGCTTTAAGTAAAGCAGAATGTTTCTTCTTCCAGTGTTTAAGGCTAAATCACATACATTTGGTCAAGATGGTAAGGTTTAGGGATCCCATTTCACCATGTTGTCTTCATGTGATTGTTAATTGTTTCATTTTATGAACGTGAATAAAAAAATATTTTCATGCTCTTACATTCTAAGTTACATTTGCTGAGAGAAATTAGACTGTGTCATTGCATTTATACTTTGAGGCAACAATTTGAGTACATTATATTTTGGTTTACAGAGTTTACCAGAGGGACAGAGTGAGTTTGCCAACATGTGGAAGCAGCTGCAGTCCTCTAATAAACCGAGCTCTGACAAGAAGACAGAGACTGCTCCACCATCATTAGATCAGGCGGCAGCAGCCTTAGACAAGGTCCCAAGTCCTCAGAGACCCGAGGGTGAGACAGACAAAAAACCTCAGAACCTGACACTGGAGAAGCTGTTTATCCAGGCCAAGTGTGCACAGGAGTCACAAGAGTCTGTAGAGAAGGAAAAATCTCCAAAATCTACAGAGATGGGAGTAGAGGTAAGCTATGGAGAAGGAGAAAACTAAAGAAATGGGAGTAAAAGTAGGTTATAGAGAAGGGAAAAATATCCAAACTCAACAGAGATAGGGAGTAGAGATAGGTTAGAGAAAGAAAAATGTACAGAGATGAGAGTAGAGGTAAATTATAGAGATATCCAAACTCTATAGAGATGGGACTAGAGGTGGGTTATAGAGAAGGTAAAATATTCCCAACTCTATAGAGATGGGAATAGAGGTGGGTTACAGAGAAGGTAAAATATCCAAATTCTACAGAGATGAGAGTAGAGGTAGATTTTAGAGAAGGAAAAATCTACAAATTCCATAGAGATGGGAATAAGGGAAGGTTATAGAGAAGGAAAAATTCCCAAAACTCTACAGAGATGGGAGTAGAGGTAGATTATAGAGAAAGAAAAATCTCCAAAATCTATGGAGATGGGAATAGAGGTAAGGTAAAGCAGGAAGCCAAAGATAAAGGAAGGGTTACTCAAAACTGTTCATACAGAAATTGGAGTTCCATTGGTCTTTTTGTTTGTCTTTGTAAATGTGTTTTCTTTTGAACATATTTTATTGTATATTAAATACTGTACAAGGGGATTGGAGACAAGTTAATCCTTTCCTTGTAATATATACAATGATTATAATGATTGTAGAACAAAGTATATGTATTAGTTCACAATCTTGGCTGTGATGTTTTTAAATAGGCTAAGTTGAGGCATTCTTTCAGGTTAAAATCATATTTTTGTACACGTATCCATCAGACATCTTTTTTTAGGTTTTAAATGAAACAAGCAAAATTGTTGAAGTAGTTTATCATTGTAGGAAATACATGTATTGAAATGTGTATATTGTACTTCCCATTTTTTTTAATTTACACTTGCTTTATATGTTTGTTAGGAAACTGCAGCAGCACTGAAGCAAATGCTGAAGATAGGGACAGATCCAGGAAGTACAGATGTTAATTCACCAACAAAGTCTGATAAGAGTTATGGAAGACAGCTTTCAGTTCAGGAACTGTTTGATGGTATGTGATGCATTCAAGACTGTTCAAGAATGTAATATTACATTGCACATTATACAGTATATGTATATGATTTTATTACCAGGTAAAATTCATTTAAATGCTATTTATCTATTGTCATTCTTTATATAAGACATTTTAGATGTATGAGAACCATGATACTAATACAAATGTGCTTAGATATGTACATGTTTAATAAACAGTGTATATACAGTGAAAACTGTCTAATCCAACACCTGTGCAATCCGTTTTACTGTGAATTCCTACCTTTATTTTCATGCCCATTTTCCTTGTTCTTTACACTGTATAATCTGACACCCTGTCTATTTTGAAACAAAAAGCTCATTATCTCCCAGTGCAAGTCAGTGTAATAGAAATGAGTAACAAGGTGATACATGAAGAAGTGTAGTGATGCTTTTTTTTTCAATCATGTAGGAGCTAAACAGCTTCCTCCAACAACTCAGCTGGCTCCTGGTCAGACTGGTTCTGGTCAGTCAGTGCCTGCTGGTGAAACCCAAAGACAAAAATCACAGAAAGAAAACCAGCAACAGAACCAAAGGAACCAGGCACCCCATCCACACCAGGGGATCAGAAGGAACCCGGTGATGGATTTAGCTGCTTGGTGTAGGTCTTTTGGAAAACCAGACCCTAAATACGATTGTGCAGGACAGGTGAGTTCTTTATATTGCTATAGAGGATTACTGTAAACATGGTTAACATGAATTGTGTTTGGATTGTGTTGGCTGTTTTGATAGGTCAGCTTTGATTGTGACAGCGATAAATTGTGTTTAAATTGTGATGATAATGATGAATTATGTTTGGATTGTGATGATAAATTGTCTTGTGTTGTGATGATGATGAATTGTGTTTACAGCCAGGTGCCTATAACTGTATTGTCTCTCTTCCTGATGGTGCTAGATTCCAAGGATCTCTAATGAAGTCTCAGCAGGAGGCCATTGAAAATGCAGCAGCCATTACCCTGCTTCAGATTGTAAGATACTGTATATCACTTTTTATTCATGAGAACTTCATTTTCGCATAATTACGCAAGTCTGTCTGGTCACTAAAATTTTATTCTCACATATATTTGTATTGTTAAGGATTATATACAACAGAAATTTTAGCCTCGCTTATTAATACCAAATAGCTCTCTTGCGAAAAATGAGCTGTCACGAAAATATAGTGATCTACAGTAAGCAGAGATTTACATTCAGTGGTCACCTTTATATAGAGAAGAATCATTGTACTGTTGATTTCATGCAATCACATGATGGTGTGATCTGACTTTCCGGATTACCACACTAAAACTCCAGTTTTCTGAATCCATATCCTCTCTGACATAGTACTTTTCTTGATTGTGAAAAAGTTCTTTGAAAAAAATGTTTTGTTTAATGGATAAAAGTTGTATATTTGATCCTAAAAGTTTTCTTCTATACATGTAATGTTTTGCCAATTATAGAGGGGTACATATTAGATTATTCATTATAACAGTAACTTGATCCAAAAAGCCAAATAAAGTTGAGTTGACATGTGCAAATCATCAGATCAAACTTGAAATTATATGTACATGTATGTATATATATATATCTTAATTCCTAGAGATAGGATCAGCTCTGATGTGGAAATACTCTTATTTGGAGTAAAATGATTTGTTGATAATTGTTCCTGGAATAATATATTTGGACTTGAATCCTCAGAAAAAGTTAATACAATGTACTTCAATTGGGAGTTTTTTTAAGAAGTGTGTATATTTTTGTGCCACTTCTTAATTAAAGAGGCTGGGGGGTTGTGGCCATTTTTAGACTATATTGATCTCCTTTAGAAGAAGAGCTCCATATGAAGATATAGAAAATTATCAAATTTTAAAACTAACATTTTTGAAGTTTTTCTTTGCCAAATGATAGTTGACAGCTTAAGATATCATATCTAAAAAATTAAGTTAAATCTGGTGGTTAATTTGTGGTTAATTTGTTGACCCTCCAGCCTCCTTAAAAAGTAAAATTACTTCTGAATTATCTGCTTTCCATACACTTCTTTGTTACTTGCTTTACGACTGTCCCAAGGCCACATTAAGTAACAAGTGTGTTTGATTTATCGTAGAATCAACTAAATCATATGATGGGTTATCCAGGAATGAGACCGTTAGCTTCACCAAATTCAGCATTTAAACCAGTGCCACAAATGTTACAGTCTCAAAGTAAGGCAGTTTTACTTGTTCAACACATTTAAAGGGAGATAAATAGAACTCTGCTAATGTAAAAAAGTATTTACATGTAGTAGCATTAATGGTATAAATGTGGAATTCTTTGTACAGTAGAACATGGTTATAGTGAACAGGCTTATAATGAACTATAAACTAGCATGCTTAACATAAACTGGTTATATTGTTTGTATAATGTTTTCATTTGAGACTGTACGACCATTGTAGATAGGAATATGGTCCCAGGCATGAGACTTCCCCGACAGTATGGCCCTCCCCACCAGCGATATTATGGACCTCCCCAGCACGGAAACTTTAGGCAGCAATCAGCCAATTATCATACTCATTACAATCAGAACCAACAGGGGCCTAGAAAGCCTCAGTCAGCCAATCAGGGTGCTCGACACGGAGATAGATTGTCAAACTTGACGGAAGTCAAGTCTGATTTAGATCCTCATAGCAACCCTTTTGTACCACTGCAGGTAAACTCTAGCATGATATGTAGAATTCAAATAAAACTTTATTTTAGGAATAAAAATATATATTGTAGTTTATAACATAAACTTCCCTAACCCAGGTTATAACTTGGGTAGCTATTAAATTCATTCCTTCATTAAGCCAAGTTTGCAAAGCTTTTTCTCCCTATAACACACAATTCGATGAAAATTTGCCTTAGCATCCCACTTTTACTGTAAACATATTACACTTGGCTCTGTATTCTGTTTAGCAGATTCCACTAAATCAAGAAAATCGCTAAATGTCTTGTGTATATATTTTAATATAAAGCACATTTAGAAAGTGCTAAATAAAGTCTACGCTAGCTACTTTGTTGAAAAATTTGCAAAAAGTGCAAGCCTGTTGTGTAAGAGAATTCTCAAGAATATAATTCTGTAGTTCATTCTAGCCATGATATTTTTTTGTGCTCAGGTAACAAGACAACAGAAAACTCCCAATAAGCGAAAAGAATCCTCTGACTCTGTTAGGGAGACTAGTGAAAGGACTGTAGCAGAAAAATTAGTGGTAAAAGAAGAACCAAGTTCAGCTACCAGTGATACAAAAGACTCGAATCAGACTGTGATAAAATCAGAAGCCAAATCTACATCTAAGGAAGCTCAGAACACGAAAAAACAAGAAAAAACGCCACAGAAAAGTCAGGGGGGACAGCAGAAAAGAAGGCCACGAATGGCAGCCAATCTTAACTTTGGAACTTCATAAAAAGTTGAAAAATGTTTTTATTTTTATTTCTGAACAATGGGGACAAAAATCAAAAACATCAGAATCTTGCAGAATCTTGATTGAAATTAAACATGTCGACATTAATTAACTTTGTTGCAACAAGTTTTCAGCATTGTAGACATTTGTACTGCAATTTTGTGATATTTTAGCAAAGAGCAGTCCGTCCTATTGATATATAACATTCTTTGGACATTTGTAATTTGTTTTAGTAATCACATATAATAGTTTTAATGTTTGGTATTTGTGAATTAAAAATTTCACAATGCACTAGTGGTGTCTGCAAATATTTTGTATAATACTATTATGAAAAAAAAATTAATGAAATATTCACACACACACACACAAATTACTATTTATTTTTATGTGGAAGCCAGAAGTTCCTCAAATTTATTTGTACTTAGGTAAGAATCCCTTAATTCTTAGTTAATCTTTTTGAGTGAATGTTTTATACTTTATGTCACCAGCTTAGTATACCTCTGTCTGTCTCTTCTCCTGTCACACTTTATTAAACCATGAGAGGTAGGATTTTGATATTGTTTATTGCTTGTCACCTGACTTACAGAAAACAAGATTCTTCATCACATGACCTTGACCTTTGACTGATTTTTTTAAACAGTGATATTCCATAATGCTATCATACATCGTATTATATTGATATTTAGCATGTGTATTTTGTGTAGAAGACCTTTTATGAGTTCTCAGGTTTACTGACCAGATGACCTGGATATCCCTTGATGTACCTTTTTTTTTTAAAAATTCAGTTCCATCTTTCCCTTTTGATTAAATAGAGATGGGGACTTGATGTGTAAGATATGTATCGTGTAACAATTTTACTTTCAAATTGAAAATTCAGAATAACTGACCTTGTTTCTTTGATTTGACCTTTGACTTACATGTAGAAATCAAACTTCACAGGTGAACACTATATGTTGCTATTGCGGGGACACTTTGTTTATTAAACACTAGTTTTGATAGAAAAGAGAAGAAATAAATCAAAATGTCCATGCGTACATTATATTTTTTATGGTATTATAGCTGGTAAATTTGATATGGGCTGGATTGCCATTATTTCAGAATTATTTCAGAGTATTTGAAGTTTTACATTGTATTTCAAAAGTGTTTAGATATTTTCCTGCAGGGAAGTGAATACATGTATGTTCCTTTGCTCATCTCAACCTGAAGTTGAAGTGTTCAAATTTTAAGGTGTACCTTGCGCATAATTCTGTGTACCTTGCATTTATTCACAATGTACAGAATGAATTAAATGAAAGAAATCTGTTAAAATGATTTTTTGTTATTTTGATACATGGAGTTGGTAAAGATACTAATACTTTGTACTTTGTTAAAACACACACACACCCTCACACAAATGGTAAATCACCATTTTTGCATAATTACAGGAGTCAGGATCCACGATTCAGGAGGGGGCTAGTTAAGTTGGTTGCAAACATGTATTAAATCAAAAGCCTGAAAGGCTTCAATGACGTCGAAGAAGAAAAACAATTTCAAAAGATCATTTTGAATTTGAAGATAGCAATAAGTCAAGTGAGTGACCCAGGAGACATAATAAAAAAATAGTTTTAAACAAAATATCACAATTACAGTCTGGGGCCTTATGTCATGGTCCGAATGGAGCAGGGTTCGAATTGACCAGACACCGTCGAACATGTTCATGCTAAATTCTTTTCAGTCAGTTGAAGAACTATGAAGGATTTCATGAATTTATATAATATTCTTTCTAATTGCCAATGTCAAAGCGTTGTATTAGTGATTGCATCTAAACTACAACCAAGACTGTTCTGTTACAATTACGATCGAGTTACGATCGGGCGTGGTATACGGTATACTGGGAAAGGGAGGAAATGGAGAAATACAGTAATACTGGTCAATATCATCGGCTTTTAGGATAGAGTTGGTTAGAAGATTTTATAAGTAAAGCAAAGCTTTAGAAATTCAATCTTTTTAGTCTTGTAGTATTCGTGTTTATGTAATTTTGTAATTATTTTACCTCCTGTTGTGTTGCTTATGTTACACGGTTATCGTACCGAAATGTTATTCATGTCATTCAACGCACCCTTTCTGTAGAAATTCATCCGCAACAACCATCACATTTTTCTTGTGTGAGAATAAAACATGATATTGTTGTTTTGCAATAGAATTAATTGCAGATATAGTTGATGCAATTTTATTTTCAAACTATTATTCATTTTGAGCGTTTTCAAAGAAATTGGTTTATAGCTATTGCTATTTTCTATTGCGGATGCATCGACTGACACATTCGGTCGCGTACATATCCGGTCGCGATTTCAACTGGGCGCTTGCTAGATGACGTTCGAGCTCCAAGAGCTCGACGTCATAAAAATGTACATGTATCTTTAATTACAAAATCTTTACTCCTGAACATTCAGCAGACGGACTCAACTGTACACCAGATCCATTCCATTTTGAGCTCCAGTATGGCACATGTGTATTTCATAGCCAGATTAAATTGTCTGCTAAAGCAAGGTGTCAATTTAATTCTACATTTTCATTTATATGGGCATGGATATTTATGGTTTTTGCCAACATCTACATTGTTTGGATGTTCATTTCAGAAAGCATGTGTCATCTAAAAAAAATAAGAAAATTTTTATGTAACAACCCCCTCCCCCCTTTCTTTACTGTAGAAATTTCTGAGTTTTGAAGTCATGTGCACATGAAGCTGTCTATCTTTGTATCATTTTACAACATGTAATTAATTCAATGTTCCTGGATTGTTAAGAACAGAACCAGAGAAAATGAGACAATTATGTTTCACTGAGCACAGAGATTACTCACTGAGTACAGAAATTATTTTTAAATCTGATGACTAGGGAATTTTTTTTTCATTTGAATTAATTTCAGTTCATCTGCAAGGCAGATTTTACTGTCCAGAAATTTACATTTACATCCTTTCACCACAGCCCATAGATATGATTTTATCTCACATCCAAACATCAACACATTAACCATTATTATACCTCCTGCAAACAATTTTTTTTTTTGGGGGGGGGGGGGGGTTATATAGAAATTACTTTGTGTGCTTGCCTGTCTGTTTATCTCAGCAATAATGTTTGGGCCATAACTTTGTAATGGAGAAACATTCTAAGCTCATATTTGACACAAATATTACTTGTGAGGTGAAGATGTGTCATGACCTTCACCAAAGGTAATTTCTGCAATTTCAAGGTCAATGTCAGAAAAAAAAATGTAAAATCTGTGTCTTTTCCATAACTTTCAAATTGACATTACCTCATATAAAGATTGCTTATGACCTGAAAGTGTGTCATGATTGACCCAAGGTCATTTTATCAAGATCTCATTTAGAAAAAATGTATAACTCCTTTACTGACTGTATCTTGTAATGGAGAAACATTGGAAGCTTAATGTTATTTGGGCAAGTACAAGGTCACTTGCAGAAAAAAAGTGTAAACCATCCCTCTAATGGATAAATATTGGAATTCAATAATTCAAAAAAAAGAAGGATATATCATAACCATAACCAAAGGTCGGTTTTGCAAGTTCAAGGTCACTCGCATAAAAAAAGTGTTTTGTCTGATCCATAAATTTGGAGAAGCATTGAAGTTTCTACTTCACACAAAGAGAACTTGTGACCAGAGGGTGTGTCATTTTCTTAAACTAAGGTCATTTTGGCAAGTTTAATCATTTTTAGGAATTCATATATTAGCACTTTAATAAAATTGCAGTGAGGATATAATTTTGTTAACTTGCTTACAGAACTTGTACGTCTAGTTCACTCTAGCAATCTCAACGAAGCACCAAATTCAATTATATATAATTTATTCAGTTTATGCTTGATTTCAGGAAATGCAAAATAAATGCTTAGATGCAACTGTATCAAATGTAAAGAATTCATGTTGCAGATCAGTTTACTTGTACTTGCTATTAAAAAATATATCTGATATTTTATATTTGTTTAATTTCATAATTTCAAAAGTTGTACATATTTACTTAGTTAACTCAGGTAAACCATTACCATATCTGAATAAGTCAATGTCTTTATTTAAAGTCAAATAGAACTGGAAAATCAGCACAAAATGCAGATGTATAAATATTAAGAAAAATAAATATTGCTGCACATATAGATATCACAGACATACACCAGCACAATAATGTCATCAGATTGGTGATATGTACAAGGAATGTTCCCTGATGATTAAGGATTCACACAGTTACATACACAGTAAACACACATGTATACTAGACTAGAAAAGAGAAGACAATGGCAGTTATACACATGTACATAGTCACACTTAATGGGAATCACAATGAAAGGGCAGTAATGCAGGAAGGTGTTGGTTTTGACAATTTCCTGATCTTCAGCTGTATGAGTAAGTTTGTCTGGAGATAGACCAGTAGTTGTCTCTTTGCTGTATGTATAAGTTTGTCTGGAGATAGACCAGTTGTCTCTTTGCTGTATGAATGTTTGTCTGGAGATAGACCAGTTGTCTCTTTGTTGTATGAGCAACACTTTACTGGTAGAGTCTACTGGACTTTGATCTGGCCTTGTCATTGATCTCACCATCTTCAGTGCTGGATTTTGTAGATTTCTGTGGAAGTGATTCTGAGGACTCTTTACATGATCAAAAACGCTAATGGAATTCTTTTAAGAGGTGTTCTAACTGACGTGCACTGGCTTCCTAGAAAACAAAATTAAAATCGCAGAGCTTAACCGACATCTTAATTTCAGCTGTACAAATTAGGTCAATTACCAGTGAATGGATAAGTATTAAGCTTTGTACCTTATACTTCTGATGTTTCATCTCCAGGTATTTAGCATGATCTCTTTCCTGTTCCAGTTCGGCCTGAAGCTTCAGTAGTTGATGTTTTGTATCAGTATCAGCAATCTCTGCATAGTTAGCTAACTGACTGATTGTCTGTCTGCTTGTCTGTGATATCAAAAAAAAAAAAAAAAACTCAGATTAACATTACACATCAGGTTTGTGTTTAACAAAATAAATATCTAGATGTTATTGGAAAGCGAACATGTTTTACTTTTTTTAGTAAGAAAATCTAATTTATTTTCTTCCACTACATATTCAGAGTAGTCTTTTTCTCTTAATTCTGTCTTCAGATTTTTTTTTAATTCAAAACCATCACATTTTAAAAGTTTAACAAGTTAGTACCCAAGTACCCAGGATAAACTTTTGAATTTATAATGAAAAGGTCACACAAATCACCACCTCTTATACCAGTTTGAAAAATGGTAGGGCAAAAGTGTAAATAGATTGTGACAATTATTAAACTGGAACTGTTGAATTGGTGCATTGAGACTAAAACAGAAAACTACAGTACAAGTCTTTGGTAATAAACAGATACATGTATGTATAATTCATATTCATTGCAAATGTATTTGCAAGACACTTTGCAAATATCAACCAAATGTTGTCTGGAGATAGAATTTGATTGGAGGGGGGGGGGGGGGGGGGGTTATCAGTAATTACATTGTAAAGGGGTTGATGTTATAGTTGTTATGTTGATGTTCTCCGAGTGCAATGCATTTGTGAAAGCATAGAAAAACTTTGAACACATAGCACTCTAAAAAATTTTACTTGAAAGAAGAATCAGAAATGAATCCATTCAAATGCCTCTCTACAATAAATTCTCTTACTATTGTTAAATTCAGTTATTAATTTTTTTTATTGCATGGGTGTGGAATTTGTTAATTAAGTGTATCTTAAAGATTTGATACATCCTCAGTTTACACTGGAAAATTATATTAAGCCAAGTGTCACATTAGTAGCTGGTGCTAAAAGCTAAAACTGTCACTAATATAGTACCACGTTTCTTGGCTTCTTTTCACCCTGAAATGCCTTAATGTAAATGAAAGATACAAGAATAAGTATAAGAAAATATAAATGTACAATAATTATACACTTTCTTTTTACAATACGTCACATAAGTAGATAGTGTTAAAGTGAATTAATACACATTCCTTGATGACAAGACACAGCTTTGTGATGTGTTGTTATGGTTACTGAATGGTTACCTTAATCATGTCTTTTGCCTTCTCTGCGGCTGCGTGGGCCTTCCATCTTTCTACCTCTAGCTGCTTTTTTTGTGCCTGATTTTCATTTTCCAGCACATTCTGAGTTTTCCTACAATACACCAATAAAACAAAATAACGGTGGTGCAGGAATTAAAATATTGACCAAAAACAATAATTACTGTGAAATCATTTGATTTCATGGTGGATCAATTTTCATGGAATTCGTGGGTACCTCTCATCCACGAATTAACATTCT